GTGACGTGGGGGCCGGTGTCGCAGGAGCCGGCGACGCAGGGACCGGTGTTGCAGGAGCCGGTGCAGGGACCGGTGACGCAGGGACCGGCCTTGCAGGGACCGGTATCGCAGGAACCGGTGCAGGAGCCGGCGACGCAGGGACCGGCCTCCCAGGGACCGGCGACGCAGGGACCGGCCTCCCAGGGACCGGCGACGCAGGGGCCGGCCTCCCAGGGACCGGCAACGCAGGGACCGGCGATACAGGAACCGGCTTCGCAGGGACCGGCGACGCAGGGACCGGTGGCGCAGGAACCGGCAACGCAGAGACCGGCCTTGCAGGAACCGGCGACGCAGCGACCGGTGTTGCAGGAACCGGTGCAGGGACCGGTATCGCGGGGGCCGGTATCGCGGGTGCCGGTGACGCGGGGACCGGTGACGCGGTGGCCGGAATGGTGGCCAAGATAAGGGATTTACAACAATCTCTTGATGGGGCGAAGGAAGATCTTGACAACGAAAAGGCAAAGTGCGAAAAACGGGCGCTGGAACTTAAAGAGCTGGGAAAGAGGTACGAAGCTATGTTGCGGTCGATGCTGGTTTTGGAAGGATCTCTCGGGCGGAGCATTGAGACCCTGAAGAAGCAGAAGTCGAGCCGGAGTTCATGGATACCCTTCCTCCACTGAGAGCAGGTGGTGGTGGTCTGGTTTCTTCTTTAGGAGGGGTGATGGCGAGTGCCTGGCCAGAGGCGCTGAGGAGGATTTGGATCAGTTGGCCGGGGCGATGGACGAATGCGTGGCCTCGCTGTTTGGTTTCTCCTTTAACAACCGACCGTTCCGTCTTCTACTTAAAATTGTGGCTTGCTTTACAAAAATCCAAAGATTGTCCCACACAGCATCTCAAATCTATACCCAAAGGCCTAAACTTGAACATTAGAGTTCCATACTCCCAGGTTGCCTTGCCCGACTTGTGACGCGTGCCTTCTAACTGTCAGGCGTCTGCCTCAGTTGAAGTTATCGCTATTTGCCTGCGATGGATCAATTCCCGGGGGGTGGTGAGCGAGGCCGAGGATCGGTTTCGCTCCAACAGCGATCTTGTCTACACGGCCCGGGAAACGGCAGTGCTGGCCGGGTGCACCGTGGCCGATATCGTGCATGGGTTCGGCGCCGAGGGTGATCCGACTCCCTGCACCCTGATTGTGTTCGACTTCGAGCTCGACCGTATCAAGCTTTCACGAACGATCCATTAGTTAGTTATTTCCGTGATTCTAGCCCCGGGAACCAAGGTTCGCAAGAGTGGGTTGGCGCCAAAGGGTCGTGTGCGCTTCGATCCGCAGAAAGTGAATGTCTCCAAGGCCGTCATCTATGGGGGCAAGGCCGGCGCAACCGCCTCCTCTGTCGCAAACGCCGAGGGCAGCGTCGAAAAAAACACCACGGCTGTTTCCGACCAGACCCACTACGCCGCAGTCCACGGATGGACCACCCACCACCCCCGGCCGCTGCACAACAGCCCTTTGCCTCACAACTGCGTGAAGTGGTCCTTGGTCGAGAACGATGTCAAGAAGGACGGCGTTCCACCACGCCTTCGAGCCTCTCTCCTCCTCGAGCGGCTAGACGACGACGAGTTCCAACTCCAGGTCCAAATGGACACCACGGCTGATTTGGCGACGGGAACGGAGGATCTTGCCGGCCGGATGTTACTTGGGAGAACCCCCCCCCCCCCGGCAGGCTGAAGGTCGACCCCTTGACCGGGTCGACGGCGAACCTGAAGTCGTACGATGCGAGCGCTCTGGGCGCTGATGTGAGGGATTTTTACGCGCTATCGTCGGGGCCATTGGCTCTGGATGAAGACTAGGAGAAGGAGAACTGCTGGGTGGTGGCAGCCTCGCCTTGACGTTCAATTGGAAGGAAGATGTAGCGGTTGGAGGGGCCCCACTTTTCGATAGCTCTAGGTATCCGCAATGTACCTGCCATGGAATGCAGATCCGAGTCCAGTTATGCCCTGGGCGCCTTCGCCCATTTGTTTCCGTCTGGCACGCATCGGCGGGGTAGACATGCTCTTTCCACCTTGTCTGCTCTCTGATGACCGCTCCCCGACCATCACAGCCAACTCTCGTTTGGCTGTGCACCAGCTTCGGCACCTAAAACTCATAATGCCAGCGTCCAGTGGGTATGAAGAATTCACGGAAGGGGTTGCCGCCATGGAGTAAGTGTTCTGACCCTTGCTAGGGAGCGCAGTCCCGAGAAGAAGCAACAAAGACTGACGTTGGCATGATGCAGCATTGTCATCCTCCACGGCCTTTTTGGGAGTGGTGAAGAGCCCTGGGCCAACAACGATGCACGACCCAAGTGACTTGAGACCGACCTTTTTGAGCAGAGCGAAGCACGCGTCATCAACTTCGATTACGGCGGCTACAGTATCTCTGATGGAGCAGACGGCGGTAGCGATTCAGATGTAAGACTGCGCGAAGATTTCTTCTCGCCGGGGGTGGTCTGTGAAGTCGCTGAGCAGCTTTTGCAGAACATACTGTCTTGGCGGCGTGGTGAGGACGAGGTAAGACCAAATACGCACTTTTGCCCGCTTGCCATGCCCTGGCCACTGCCGATGAAGTTACCCGGCAGGAGCAGCGACCCTTGGCTTTCATCACCAAAGACCTAGGTGGTATCATAGTCAAACAGGTCAGAATGCTTTGATCATGCCTTCTCCTCCCAAATCACGGAATAAATCGAGCGTCCCTAACATCTCTCCCTAGGCCTTGAGTCTCGCCTCAGAAATACCCAAATATGCACCGATTCTCTGCTCGACATTTTCCATTGTAAGTCACATAAAATTGCCTAACTTCGGTGTCTACGATGATGGGCGTGAGCTGATTTGCGTCTCCGCCTATGGAAGGTCTTCATCTAGTGTCCCCACCGAGAGACGGCCCGCGATTCTGTTGCAAACTGCATCGTCGAGTTGATCTGCAGTCAACCCAAGGCGACTCTCTGCTCCGGAGCCAGCCTCATTCGTGCCGCTCAGCTGGCCGCGTCGGCCGCCGCCTACGTCAACAATGAGTTTCTTTCCAGGGGATTTTTGTCCCATATGAGGATCGCGAGTGTTCTTCTCAACCAATCCAGATGCAAGGAGGGTAGGTTCATGGGTGTTGCCCTGTATCTTCTAATACACATTGTAAATACATTGTAAATACATTGTTATGGTTGCTAACAGACGTGAATGGCCCAGTCGTTCGATCTCTCAATATTGACTATCGGATCAGCCTCTGAGATCCTGATCCCAACTCGCACCTCGCCCCTGAACCTTCTTATTGGAGAGGAGGCCAAACCAATGTATGGGCAATTGCAGAGCATTCTAGGGTATCCTCCACGAGACAATAAAAGTGCGGTGAAACAAAGAACTCTGCACTGGCCACCGCGAGTACCACAGATACTAAGGCAATGCTGACTCTTCACGTACCATGTGGCAGGGGGTTGGGAAACCGAAGAACCACCCGGGGACGACAACCCGGCGGCGCGTCTGGCCAAGTCGGCGGCCACCAGGCCTTGAAGCACTGCTTGCGTTTGCAGTGCCGGCCCAGCTTTCATGCAATCAAGTTCCAGCCCTGTCAAGCGATCTCGTCCTTGAGCTATTTGAGTCGTCCTCAAAGACTCCAGGGGGTGTTTGCTATGTGCCCTTGGGGATCAATCCGGCCGCCGCCGGGAACGCGGCACTGTCGACACAAGGGGGGTTGCCAGCCCCATATGACAAGCTTGTGGTCTTTGAGTTCCACTTTCGCCAAAATGGCAAAGAAACCGACGATTCGAAGCGGAGCATGTCACCTTTTATCGTGCTTGTCTCCCAAGCCATCTCCTACATCATCCCTCGAACGAATGCTGCAAATCGGCCCGAACACATCCTCAAAGCCCTCGAGGCACCGCATCTCATACGGAGCGAGAGAAAGCTGCTCAAGTTGTTTTGGGAGGTGAATTTATGGTTCAGACGTGCTAGACCGGCTGTTACGGAATCTGACGAAAATCGATGACCTCTCCGATGCCAGGCCGGCTGTCATGTTGACTGGATCCGCGGAAATGTCCCCCGTGTTCGTCGAAACTCTTCGCAAATTCTGTGTCTGCACGGTCTACCCATCGGCCAACCTCGATGCCGCGGCAGGAGACAGTATTGCGCCTCACCATGGCCAATTTCTGCATGTCCCTCCCCGCATGAAAGATGTCGTTAGGTCCGCAGTTGAGTCAACACTGAACGGGGTGATGCAGGATGTGTTCTTTCGGTTCCTTGCCCGTCGGTCGGGGGCTTTGAGCCGCGGGCTGTCCATCCGGTCGACTTGCCCCTCACACGGAGAGATCTCGCCGTCAAGGCTTTTCCAGGCGATCTCGGGATGACGGAGGAAGTGCGTTTATGGGCTAGGAAAGTCCTCAGCTGGGTGTTGTATTCAATACGGCCCCTCTCCCTCCCGGAATTGGCGTCCGTGATCGGTATCGAGGAACGTGACGAAACGTCCGCAACTAGTGAGAAGGCGGACAACCTCAACATGCTAGACCTAGCGGTCGACTCTCTGTCCGGCATTGTCCGCATCTCTAACAATGTGGCCGTGCTTGGGCCTGCTGCATACCAGTCTGAGATTGAACTGGTCTTCGGGTTGCAAGGCGAAGCAGCTCAGTTGGAAATCCTTGAATCCTTGTCGAAGCACTTGCAAAAATCCGCGGACCGCTTCCAGAAGCTGCGCCCCAACATTCACGACTTGCCGATACACTCTGTAAGGGACCTCCTGGCCGACTACACGATGGAGTGCTGGCCGGAACACTATAAGCTGGCGACAAACAACGCTACGACCCGACCCGGAGCTGTCAATTGCCTTAAAGGGCTGCTTCAGCGACAGGAAACGTTGGCCTTTTGGGATTGGTGCGGCCGGCCTACCATGGGTAAGAAGGATCTCGCCGTGCTGGAGAATCGCGGCAGGGAGAGCACATTGATGCTGCAGATCGCCATTTTGGCAGCAATTGGGTTCCAAGACCTGGAAGAAATCGACACCTTGGTTGGGGGTTCCAGCTGGAGAACGGGACCGGCATCCATCCTCGCAGCGTTCGAGCAGGCGTTGTTGACGGGAAACGACAATTTGGCAATGGCCCTCGACTTCTCTGCTCTGGATCAGGGGCAAATCAAGGACCTGCTGGGCACCGCTACAGTAGTTGGGGCAGACCTTACCCCCGATATGGTCTCGCGCTTGATGATCCAATCGCGCGAGAAACTCAGAATCATTGATCACCCCCCGGACTTTCTGACGATGCCGGGGGCGATCACCGCGGACCATCTCGATCAAATTTTCGCCGAAGAGCCAACAACAGCGGAATATACGTCAAATCTTTTGGTTTCAGCCGTTCAGGAGGACCTTCAGACTTCTTTGGTGGAGAACTGCCGCACAGGGGACCCCTCTCTGCTTCAAATTCTCCTCCCATATGTGGTGAAGGTGACATTTGGACACGTCCTGACAGCATGTTTCTATGGAAACTACGCTGTCATGGCTGGACTAATGGAGCGGATCAGGGAAGCCCGACACGATGTCGGTTCTGGTACCAGCAGAAGGCAAAGCTTGCTTGGTGACCCTGATGCAGCAAAGGCTCTTCTCTGCGCGGTGCTACAAGGTTTTACCCAATGTACTGCGGTTATCCTGCGCCACGCCGACTGCGAGAAAGACGTCAACCCGCTTCAAGAGACTATCGACAGCTCCATCCAAGCCCCTCGACACGATGGCGTTGCTGTTGAAGAGCGGTGTGCAGCTGAAGAGAGATGATGAAGAATCATCGTTCTTGGCCCGGGCTGTGCGGTGCCAGGCCAGCGAACACATGGTCAGGTTGGTTGCGCAGTGCGTGCCGCACGTGGACGAGCCGGACATCAAAGGCAAAACCGCCCCGCACGCGGCTTCCTCCAGCGGGCGGCTTTCCATCGTCCAGGTTCTCCTTGAAGAAGGCGCTAATGCGAACGCAAGAAACGCGTCAAATGTAACGCCGCTGTATAGTGCCTCGATTAAAGATTAGCATGAAGTGGTGGAAGTCCTTCTTGCTTCGGGCGCGGATGTGCTTGCGATAACTGACGAGGGCTGGTCACCGCTTGAGGCTGCATTCGACTTTCCCGACGTGCTTCGGCATCTTTTGGGCTCCAAGGCAAATCCCCGTCCTGACTTCAGGCGCGCGGTACGGTCCAGAGATGAAGACTGCACGGCGCTCTGGATGGCCATGGACGATGGATGTGGCGAATCAGCACGGCTCATCTTGCAAAACGGCGATCCGGATGTCGATTTCGTCGGCCGAGAGTACCGCGGGCGAAGGACGCTTCTTTCGACGGCGACGAGCAACGGGTGGGCTGAAATCGTGAGACTGCTCCTTGAAAAGGGGCCCGACACGAAATGCCCAGGTGACGAGCTTGTGAGCCGGTCATCGCTTGTCCACCTCGTCACCGACGAGGACACATTTGCGGTGCTCCTGGAGTATAACGCGCCGCTGGAAGAGACAGACGAGGGGGGCTTGACACCTCTGGCGCGCAACATCATTTCGAGCCATGGCGATCCCCCGTCAGGGATCATACGACGACTTCTCAACGCCGGTGCCAACTCACAGTGTGAGATTCGCGGTGTCACCGCTCTCTCGTATGCTACAGCTATTGAAAACATCGAGCTGCTCGACCTTTTGCTGCGTAAAGGCGCGGGCATCAACCACATCGGCCCAGAGAGTGTAACATCACTCCATCTTGGTTCATCACTCCATATTGGTTGTTGGGTCGGTCGGCTGTTATCGGTGAAGGCACTTGTTGAGCGTGGTGCTGATACATATAAGTGGGTTGCACACAGAGGAACCCCCCTACAAGTAGCCATTTTGTCAGCGAATGACGTTGACATTCTACGGTATCTCGTGGATGAGGTCGGCATCGAGGTCCTGACTACTGGCGAAGGCAGCGCATGCAAAGCTAGTGTATTCCGGACGCCGTTCGGCGAAGCTTGCCGCTCGGGTAGCATTGGCGCCGTGAGGCTATTCCTAGAACACGAGGACGACATTCATGAGATGGATCCTACCAAGCAGCCGTCCTGGTACAACCTTGGTATCCGCGAACATGACGCAATAGAAGTATTTGATACGCTGTGCGCCGTCGGCGGTCCGGCCTTTCAGTACGAGGCAGCGAGGGACATTCTTGGTCGGACGATACTTCATATGGCTGCTTTCGGGGGGCATCATGAGCTGGCGAAACGTCTCTTGGAATTGGCGCCTGGTCTTTTGTCTGTTCCTGACAAGAACGGATGGAGTCCGCTTCACTGGGCTGTACGGAGATCTCGGCTCAAAAGGGAAAACGGGACGGGGGCAGATCTGAAGGATAACGAGGAGAACAGGCTGAAAGTGGTACAGCTACTTCTTAAGCAAGATCTCCCAGCCCTAGTGCTGCCTATAAAGCTGGCGGGCAAAGGCCACAGCTTGATGGCACCGGCGAGGCGTTTTGCCGCAGGCGCAGAGATTTGCAAGGTGCTTGACAAGGAGCTTGGCGGACGACTTGATGACGATGGCGAAACTCCTGAGGAGCTGTTGTATCATGGATGGGCGTGCGATGTTTGCGATTCGGTAAGGATCCCCACGCAGGCGGTGCCAGAGTTCCAATGTTTACCCACGGGTAACAATACCCTTACTTGTGCTGACTGTGATAACGGTTTCAACAGGAGCTTCGAGGCGATGCCTCAGTCTGTCAGCACAAACTATGCCGCGAGAGGTTTGGTCTCTGTTGGTTATGTGCGCCGTATCAGCGCGAAGTGCGCGACCTGTCTCACGAGTTCAAGCGCTTCAGTCTAGCTGTGCCGAAGGAGCCTCTTGATAGGGAGAAGCTGGGCAGCGGCGAAAGGAGCACCGGGTGAGTGGGTCGTAGTGGGGAGGATAATAACAGTCGCCGCTGTTCCCGCTGGTTCCGCGTCTACTTTTATGTACTATCCTTTTGCTACAAGGTATCCCCGAACAGAAATCATGTGCGCGACAAGACTGGGCGTACGATGATGGGCATCCCCTCGTGGAGCATTTCTCTAGTGCCAGCCCCTGGGTGGTGGCAGGGTTCTGGAGTATTGCATGTATACTCAACCAGGGAGTTGCTCACACAGGTTGACAGCTACGGACACTTTTACCGCTGACTTGCCTCTGCTGGCCACCTCTTCTGATAGCATGGGGGTGGGGGAGCGAAGGTAGCGTTGGGGATGGCTTCCAACATCTCGTCAAAACCATTCGCACCGACCCGTTTCTGGCTCCCCCTTTTCTTGCGTTCCGACAGAACAACATCGCGTTGCTTCGAACAAGGTCGGCGCCGTGCTGCTAGATACTTACAAACACATCCTTTGCAACCCCATATTCCTGGCCAAGAGGAGCTTCGCTGGTGATCTCGGCCAGTACGCCGCCCACGGTCAGTCGTACACCGGAAGCTGCTACACGGCGACAAACTTCCGATGTTTACCAACGTGGTAGCAACCAGGGCCGGCAGCCTGCCGCCACTTGCGGGCTACGGGGCAGGCAGCGTACCGCCACCTACAAGCTCGCACACTACAAACCACCTGGACGCAGCAGCTAATACCACGGCGTACCGCGCGCATCATTTTCTCATACTACAATCGCTTCTGCTTGCGGAAACGAACGAGCTCCGCCTGCACATGCAACGCCTCCTCCTCAGCAGCCTCTAGCTTACGTTCGAGTTTGGAATGCTGTCGGCTGAAAGATTGGAGCTGCTCAGGTGAAGGACCAAGCACGTCGCAGCGTGAACGTCCCAAGCGGACGCATTCGACGCACCGCGATAAGTCCTTCGGAAACACCTCTACTAAGATGGAAAGCCAACGACCTTGTATGAAAAATAAAAAGGCATGGTAAAAGGAAAAGAAAGAATGTCACAAAGGAGGCCATCACCAAGGGCCGGCACACTGTTCCAGGCCTTGGCACGGAAGATCTGCACGGGCACCGGTGTTGCACCGTGTCACACGGAGGTGCCCAACGCACGGTGTGATCGTCGAGCCGCTGGTCAACGTTAGGCGCGAGCCGCCGACCACTCGGCCCTCGCGGACGCCGGCCGGGGCGGTTCCCGACGCGCCCAGCAACATCCTGCCCTGTAGGAAGTCCGCTACGTCACCGTGACAGAAGCGATGAGGATCCCGGCCCAAGCGCCATTAGCGCGTCTCGAGGCGTGCACACGTATAAATAACCTATACACCAATGCACAGGGTGTATAATTAGAATTGGGAGGTGTCTAGACTCCCGACACCACTTTAGCTAGCACAATTCAACTGTGACGGCTGCCGGTGTTGAGTCTGGAAGCCACAGCGACGCCGCCGTCGGTCCCCCAGGCTGGACAGGGATGGACGAGATCCTGGGGGGATGCTAGTCGTTCCAGGAAAATCCAAGCCTAGGGACTTGTCCGCCGGGGGGCTCGAAAAGGTGCGTTTGAAACTCATCTCGTCGCGTCGTTGCCACGCGTCAAAAGGCTGCGTTGCCGCTAAACCCAACGTCGGATCGTCCGATGTTGGCAAGATGATGTGATCTATGTACGTGCTGCTAGGATGCGACCCTCCTATGCTTTTCAGGGAGCAAGCAGCACGAGGAACAGCCTAGACCCTACAAAATCGTCGGCGGGTGCTTCCTCCACGGCCTCGAGGGTGCCGTGGCACTACTCGGCCCCCATGCCGGCGCCCTCGAGGATGGGGTTTTGCACGACGGCATAAACGCGCCCACTAGGTATTGGTTCCTAAGCCACCGTTTCCCATGGTAAGGGGCGATTCCGTGGTGATGTGCAACATTTGTGGCCATAAACATTTGGCTCCATCACCGTCGCCAAGGACCACGGGCAAATGAAAACGATCAAAATTCCAGGCCAATAGTTGCCCCTGCTATTTCGGGGGGCGCAATGACGATTGCGACCAGGGTCCAAACGGACAAAAATAAAAATAAAAAGCCCGAAACAGGCAGTCAAGAAACGGACAACCAGGAAGGCTGTTAGCCACGCCTGGAATAGAAGCACCAATTCGCCACGGAACCTGAAAGGTCGAGCGAAACATAAATATCGCGACCACCGACGCCAAGCTGCAGATGGTTCCTTTTCCCATCATCACACTTCTCACACCTAATCCTATACAACGATTTCCCTTTGTCTTTTTTCCTTTTGTCTTTTTTCTTTTTGTCATTTTCTTTTTGTCATTTTTCTTTTTGTCTTGTCTTTTTTCTCCCGTCTTTTCTCTCCCCATTTTTCCCTTTTTTCAACACCGGCCTCAAGCCAGCCAAATAACGATGCACTTTACCCTTTCCGCCAGTGTCGCGACGGTCCTCGCCCTGCTCGTCGCGCAGGTCGCCGCCGCCCCGGTTCCCGGGAGCTCGGAGCTCGGAGTCCGCGCCAACGGGGGCAAGGCCGACCCCAAGGAGGTGAAATATGCCGAAAAGATAGCCAAGGATGCCTTGGCAAAGGCCAGGAAGAACCCCACAATGACCGGCCCATGCGGCGGCCTCGGCTGCGCCGGCAACAGCTGGAAGCGCGACGTCCAAGAGGAGGTGGCGGAAACCCCCAAGCTCGGAGCCCGCGCCAAAGCCGACCCCAAGGAGGTAAAATATGCGGAAAAGATAGCCAAGGATGCCTTGGCAAAGGCCAGGAAAAACCCCACAATGACTGGCCCTTGCGGCGGCCTCGGCTGCGTCGGCAACAGCTGGAAGCGCGGCATCCAGGAGGAGGTGGCGCCGGCGGTGGAGGAAACCCCCAAGCTCGGAGCCCGCGCCAAGGCCGACCCTAAGGAGTGAAATATGCGGAAAAGATAGCCAAGGATGCTTTGGCAAAGGCCAGGAAGAACCCCAAGTCGATAGGCGGCTTCTTGAAGCGTGACGTTCAGGAGTGAAGGAGAAGAAACACCCGCGGGGAACGGGGAGGGGTGGACGACGCCTTCGCCCGAGCTGCGAGGGGAAATCAGCCAAGATGCCCGAGCAGGATCTTGTGGAAACATCTTGTATTTTGAGCCGTAGCGCAGCATAGCGGAACAGCGGAGTTGGGACTTGCAATCGATTATGAATTTTCACCACAGAGAACAAGGTGCCAAGTCTGGAGGGCGGCCTCGCTACAAAACACGTTAACCAGGTGTGTCGGTTATGTCGGCACACACACACACTACAGCCCCCACCGCGGCCGCGGCCGCGTGGGGGGCTTGAACGGCACGTACGCCTCCCCGGTCGGCCTTACCAGGAACCCGCCTCGCTCAAACGTGTTGACCCAAACGAACCCCGACCTAAACTGGGCGTAGGACGACCACAAGCCCGCAAACGAAACGTTCCCGCCCCCGGCTCGGCGTCGTCCTCGGGGGTGCACGTCAAAGTAAGCAACTTCGCCGACGGAGCCGCCCATCGGGTCCGAGGGCACGGACGAAACGTTGTAAACGCGCAGCCCCGCGCCGTAGTTTGACTGGTACAGCAGCCCGTCGTGCGGGTTGATCTACTGGTTGTGGTCGATGGCGCGGACCGTGCCCTTCCAGAGCCCCGTCTGCCTCGGCTTCTTGAGGCCGCGGATGTCCCAGATATAGGTGACGGGGAAGCCGTCCTTGGCCGGGCCGGCGCCTTTCTGCTCGTCAAGCCTGTTTTTTTTGTCCATGTCAGCTCGTATTGCTTTTTTTTTTTTTTTTTTGTAACAAACGCAACACGCGTTAAAAAGAAACCTACTCGTCGTCCATGTACAGCCACTCCTGCCGCTGTGGGTTATTAGCCCATCCTTAATGCGCAAAGGTGGCGCCTCTTCTGCTCGGCCGGCCCGAAAGTCCCGCACCGGCGTCGTGGTTGTAACCGAAATATTGGCTAGTAAAGGCGCCATCGCATTTGCTTTCACCGCCGGTCAACCGCGTCGATATAAATGCAAAAGAGATGTTTTTTTTTCGAGTGGTGGAAGGAGGGATCTTAACGGCGGAGGGGAGGGTGACTGCCGTTCAACTCGGTGGTTACCAGCCGCGCTCCACGCCTACGCCGCGAACGGCCGACGCCCATATTTGCTAACGCTGCCGGCGACTTCTAGCAGGCGAGGATGATATAGGACCGATCGCCGCCAGCGTTGCCGACTGGCGCCTTTCGATATCGAGACCGCCGTCGCGCCGCTAAAGCGAGCCCCTCGATGACGGGTCGTCGCCGCCATACAGGCCTACCTAGCATACGTGGAAACCGGCGGCCGAGTCGTTAGGGCCGAGGATGGACAGCTCCCGGCATCCATCAAACTATTGAACATGAATGGCGGCGAGGCGTGATAGAGACATGCTGACGTGCTGCTGCTCAAGGTTTTGATGCTGGAGAACAACCTCTTCGGCCGCGCCAAAATCCCCTCGCTGGTTAAGCCCGGCTTGCACATCGCGCCTAACTCGCGGCTGTACGTCCGCCTCGGCTCGTACGACCACGCGACTACCAAAGGCAGCGACGTGTACGACCTTTACAGGCGGATGCGACAGTGCGGGTTCCCCTCATCCACCGACGGACGGGTAGGCTGGGACGGGTCGGACATTATTGCATTTTTTTAGTCTACCATTCATCGGTTTCCGCTGGATGTCGCGATAATTCTTTTTTGTCCTGGCTTTTACGATGTTTTCGAATCCCAACGCGCCACCGCACGCATCGGCGACATGATTAAAATTCTCAACAGCTTACAGTTCGATTGCAACGCCGCAAAGGTAACACAAAGCAGAACGAGAAAAAAGAGACGACAAACTCGTACGGTTTCTCCGCCCCAAATCACGATCCCGCCAGCCCTTTTGTTAAGGAGCGGTCGGGTGGACCAGGGCGCCATTGTGCCGTGCGCGTCCCACATGTTGGAACGTCCCATTGCCGGCGCCGGCAGGCAGTTTTTTTTTATGCAATGCTCGGGCTTCCGAACTTGTGTGGAGCTTGCGTGGTTTTATGGTGCGGTGGACTGATCCCGTTTTGGGGCAAGATGCCCGATCAAGTACGCGACGCCTGTGACGATGCTTTGCAGGTCCGCTTTCTGGGAGACGGCCTCAGAAAGGAGTTGATGGGGAGCCTGTGAAGCTAAAACATCGAGGTTAGGCCGGCCTCGGAACCGCGGTTTTCTTTGCGGTCATGTGCTAGCACGGTCTGCGTGTGCCTGTTCGCCCTGATAGTAGTTATAAAAATACCATACTATTATCTCCCAATAGTTATCTCTATCTATTGCGTGTTATTCCTAGAGGCCTAATAGCAGACAAACTGTAGCCCCCTCGAGACTCAGCTGTTAAATTGCCAGCCTGTTGTCATATACCTCCCAGCGTCAAGCCTCCGCGACAGCCTTCAGCTCAGACAGCTTGTAGAACCGCCAGCTGGCCCAGGCAAAAAAGCCGCCAGCATCCTCCGTTTCTGGTCGAGGTCCCCACCGACGAATCTGATGTTATTCATGTTTGTCGCCAAACGACAAAACCGTCGCGAGAAGGCGAGGTTACGACCCCTGTCGCTGAAGAACCTGCAGAATTTGACCGATCCTGCCAAGAAGCTACTCATTATTCACCCCGCGCGCGATTTCCAACATTAAGGCCTCGAACTGCAGGAGCTCGGGCATTAGGTTGTCGACGGGGATACCGCGCGAGTTGGAGGTGGAGCACCGGGTGAACATGTCTGTTGGGAAGCTGCCCGCGCTCTTCACGATCCTGGCCAGCCTCTCGTCATTGATGTTCCTTGGCCTCAGGCAAAGGATGGCAGCAGCCATCGGGGCAGAGAACTGGCCGAACAGTGCTGCAATCCTAGCCACGACCCGCTGCTTGTCCTCGGAGAGATCCTCACTAGCTGGATGCTGGTCCCATCGCTTCCGATCGTCTAACACCCACTTGGCCCAATGCTTCTTCGTATTGGTAGGGCACATGGGGGGCATGATGCGGTCGGTGTCTTGGTGGACTGAATCCATGGACGGCAGGATACAATCGAACAGGCCGGCGTCCTTGAGCTGCATCGCGCACACCGTCTCGCACCTGTCCGTGATCTTGAGCGCACCCTGCGACAGGAACTCGCCAAAGTAGTAGTTGTCTCGGACTTGGTGCCGCAGTTTGTCAAAGTACGCGAGATCATCGCCGCAATCGAGTGGGGAGTATTCTTTGTAGTGCTTGATCAGATACGAGTCCCTGATAAAAACCCCCTTTTCGAAGTCCTTGGTGCGGACGACGCAAAGGTGTATGTTCTCGAGCGGCATCGGCAGGAATGTAACCGATTTTGAATCCCTCGAGCCTCGGTAGTGGAGCTGGCATATATACCGGAGCGCATATAGCAGCGAGCTCGTCCAGGACACAAGGTTTGCGCTCCCTGGCGTCGTTTCCCGCCATCTCAGGTGCTTGTTGAGGATGCCTTCCACCTCTCTGTTGTCACGGCAGAGGAGGTCTTGCTGCGCACTTGCTTGCGACTGCGCAGCCGTGGCGCATGCATCCATGGACTTGGCCCAGTCATGGTCGACTTTGCAGACGCTTCTGTCGTGATGGACGTGGAACAGATAGGGCGGAACGTCTTCTAGCCCCTGACGGATGTCATGCTGCTCCGGCGACGGGTCGAATAGCAGGTGCTCGGGCGGTACAATATTGGATATCGCCATGGATTGCAGTTGTTTGCTAAGGTCCGACACCATTGTGAAATAGAACTTTTAAATGCTAGGTAACTGATAGGTGCTTCGAGGAACGGTTGAGGCTGCTTGGAGTTGGGCATGTCTGACAAGGCAGGGGGAAAAGAGGGCGGTTTAAATATACATTTGTCAACCGCTAGGTTGGGCTATTATTTCGAATTCTTGTGGCGCGGCTTAGATGAGGCCTCTATCGACCTCGCGGAGCCCAGGAAGGCCTCCCGCGGCCGGTTTGAACACCACCATCACTAATCCACATGATGACGGCTGCCTGGTACCAGAGGCCATGTTAGTAGGCCAACCAACAACAAGGTTGCATCGATGTCTGCAAAGAACATGTGTACTCCCAACCAATCTGCCCCAAGGGCGTAAAAGCTGCTCCACCTCACAGCCACTGGCCAGCGCCAGAATGCCTTGTCCGTCGGTTGGTCGCCGTGTTGATATCACTGCTGCCTTTGAGGGGATATTGCTATTCGCACATCATGGATTCCACGCCTTCCGCATCGCCAGCCACTCTTTTATCTCCATCCTCCGCCGGAAGCGCCCTCTTCTGCCTGTGCCACACCACCCGCCGGGCCATGCGCTGCGGCAGGTAGAAGAGGCTCCTAGGCACGGCCTTGGGGTTATAGTCGGCCCTTATCGCGGCCAGCTCGACAGTTTTTCGCAGCTCGTCCCCGGGGTTGCTGCGGGTGCGCACAGGGTCGATCTCGCACACATGCGTGATTGCAGAGTGTGTTGCAGTGCGGTAGAACTAGATGCGTGTTACGACTAGCACGTATGCCATTAGAGGTCAGAACAAAAGAAGGGCCTTAGGATGGCTGACGATACCCCACACTTAGGGACAAGAGTTAACGTAGTTCACCACCGAGTCGGTCAGACCACCCAGTCGATCAATTTGGTCGCAACGCGACCCGTCAACCCTCTACCCAAACATCTCAACACCTGCGCAATGGATTCGCAATCCAAAGAATCCAGAGTGATCCTTGCCTTGCCGGCAATCGAAAATGATCCGAAAATTAGCATGCGTGCTGCAGCGAAGCTTTACAATATTCCCTACTCTACATTAAACGACCGACGCCACGGCCGGATTGTTCGATCCGACAGTATGTCTAATTCTCGGAAGTTGATAGAATCTGAAGAGGAGGCGCTTGTCAAGTACATACTCGAGCTGGATTCTCGCGCATTCCCTCCTCGGCCTTCTGGTGTTGAAGATATGGCCAATCGACTGCTCGCCGAACGCGACACGGGCACCGTCGGGACCAACTAGGTCGCGAGGTTCGTCGGTACGCGCTGGATTCGAAAGTACGACTACCAGAGGGCCAAATGCGAAGATCCCAAGCTCGTTTCTGCCTGGTTCGACCTTGTGCGGAATACTGTGGTCAAAACATGGCATCATGGATTTGCCGCTGACCGAGCCGCGAATGTCCTGGCTGGTCGGCCCGCGATCCTCCAACAGCGCGGCATCTTGTCGCCATACGTCAAACTCTAGTTGAGCATCTCGATTAGCACAGACTAATACCGCCTATTCTAACTGCACCGCCACTCCACCAGCACTTCGGCGTAGAGGAGACTGAGATATTGATCCAGGTGGGTGCTTAGGCGTTTCAGCCAGCATCGTAGAAAACCTTTCCTTGTGTGCTGACCTAAACCAAACAGTGAATTCACGTGTACTTGGCCCGCCATTGACTGATTACCTTTTAGCCTTGTTTGCATCGAATGGATCAACTCATTAGCCATTTCGCGCCGAAATATCACAATCAGCTTCCAGGGCGTAAATAAATTGCCTGCAAGCTTCCGATAGCCGATTATTACAGCTGGCTGTGGACTTGTGCGTAAAACATTCAAGATTATCTACGTTCCTAGTAGATGTAGAGGTATGGAAAGTGCATAACACCGACCTTGCCACAGGAAACTTTCTGAAAAGACGGTAGCAAGCTCGTTGAGTGCGAATCGGCAGCTAGAAAAACAGCTAGGGTATCTCGCAGGGATAGAAAACGCCCAACACAAAGGCCCTAGAGCCGGGAACCCTCCCGGGCCCTCACCAAGAATATAAATCTCCCCAGTACATACAATACAACCTCATACGTGCAACCCCAACTCGCCGCGGAATTACGAATAACATGCTCTGGAGACCGCTCGGCATCACCTCTTATATCTATAGTTCTCGAGGGGCCTGAGATGATCTAGATCTTGGATATGTTATCCGTCAAGTCTTTTGTTGAAATCTGGGCTGGGTAGTAGTGTCGAGTGTCATGTGCCGGGACACCCTGCGTAGGTTGGCCCCTGGTAGCTATCCCAAGAGGGACTTTTTCGAAGTTCTGATCTTTGCGGGTGTAGTTTATAACGTTGGATGTGGAAGGAAGTCTAGAAAGCGCGCTCGCATCGAGCCGTTGAAAACTTCCTGACTGGCTGGATGCTCTGATGAGGAATCAGCTTCCAACTCTCCACGATAGGCAGAGCGAGAGTCAAGCAGACTCACTGGCGGGTGTCCATGTTTGCGGCTCAGAAGGTCAAATTATGGGCAGGCTGATGTTGGCAACCGGGCAGGAAGAAGTATTAGGCGTTTGTTTCGGCGATGCAAGAGATCTGAGTTGAAACGGCCGTGCAGAACTGAGCTAGCAGTGTGGGCAGGTACAGGAGAAACTGTCCTACATATATACGTCGAGTAATGAGAGTCACGAGCGGTCTTTCATGTGCAGATGTGTGCGTGTGCCCGAGAAGAGGCAACGACTTCCCCTCTCATGGGGGGGAGGCCGCCCTGTTGGACAAGAAATGGGGAATTGCCCTTTGCTGAGGGTCATGGCCCTATCTAGATGTCTTCAAGGGACATATGCAGACTGTCCTAGTCCCTAGATACATAGGTACCTTCCAAGGCACCTAGTTAATCACCACTTGGCCTCCGAGGGCTCGGGTCTTCAAAGGGCATGTGTACTACCCAAACGTGATGCGATGCCGTCCTGTTCTGCATAGGGTTATTTCTATCCATCGGCGCGTTCATAGCCTGACCAGACCCAGATACAACATCGGGTGATGTTAAAAGTCCGAAAAGGAAAGTCCGGGCTGACGGGGCCAGTCGGTTTGGTCTCAGCGAAAGGCAGGCGAGAGGCGTATTGAAATGGCAATGCCAGACTCGTGCCGCAGGAGTAATACGCGTAATAGAGGCCACGGCCACCTTCCGCGCTGGCTGGTGTCGATCTTGAACCGAATGGCTGATTTTATGGAGGGTCACGCCCGTGGCTGACGTAAATTGCATCCTCTACGGTCATTCCGGCCGCGACAAAATATTTGTCTATGAGGGCAAGACAATTGGGGTGGTGTGATTGATAGGCGGAAGGGTGAGCAGACAAACCCGGCGGGCTCCGGACCTTGACGGCGATAAAAATAAACGGTCAGCGCGGCTGGCTAGCCCCGCTCGTGCGACGGGAGCAGACATTGTAAATCGCGGGGCAACATACATCGTGGAGGCTCAGCCTCGATAACCTTACCCACTAGGAAACCCGGCCCCGAGGCCCGAGTCCCCCTAAACATGAAAGGTTACCAAACCTACTCTTCAGGGTAATATCGGTCCCGAAACGAAACATCACCGGCAGTTCATGAATGGAGCGGCGGCTCCGCTGCGCCAACCTTTGTGCCTTGTATGTGCCTAATCAAAGTACTGACCCGGGGAAGTGCTCTGCGCATGCCGAGGGAGAGGTCCAATGAGCCGCACGCCTTGCGGGCCGCGAGACCCCCGTGACGCACAGTGAACTGGCGAACCACTTTAATCCTTGATATCGTCAGAATGGTACTGGCAAATTCCCTTCTTTCCCCTTGGTTCCCCTCCTGGCCATGTTTCATCACTTCGTATCAAGGTCGTGTGCAGACTGATATGTGTGCTATACGAGACTCTGTGTGCTATACGAGACTCGAAAGGGAATTCCGATTTTTCCCCATCCCCATTCGTTCCCTTCTTGACTTCCCTAGCGGCCCTTGTTTCATGTGTGTCGTATTCTTTCAAGTGCGCTGTGGGAACCGCATATGGCGGGTCGTCAGCACTCGGGTGAACGTCATCCTTGACGCCTTCTTCCCCGTGCCCTTCCTTGCCTACATCCTCCACAGCAGAGTCAAACAGGGCTGACACAAGACGAAGGGAAATACGACCGCGCGGTGCTTGCTCATGCGATCTGAGAATACATAGTGCTGTTGGCGATTAGCCGGGTACCAGGTTGTCGAAGAGTTTATAACATCTCACTATTGCTGGAGGCCTCACAACATGACCGACAGCTAGATATAGTGCAAATAGAAGGGGCTTTGTACATGATAACATTGACCGTTGACATTTATGAAGTATCATTATCATAAAGAGTACGAGGAAACGGAATAAAATCACCGTGGAACAGACGGACGCAAGAAAACATGGAGGCACTTCCTGGACTTAGCTGCCCCGTGACGAAAATTATCATGTCCTTTCAGCCTGGCTGCTGGCCTCTCGAATCCCTAGAACCATACCATCTCTGGCCGGAGTGGTGCGTCCCTTCACTTCCACTACGCGCCTCGTGTCCGGGGTACCAACCCGGATCCTATCTCGCCGAGCTGCTCGTGAAGCGTCGCTTGTTTCCACTCCGGGTTTGAGAGGAGGGAGATCCGTAGGCACCAACGCTGTTAGGGTGGGACTCTTTGATGTGCTTGCTCAGGTTGTCGGGGCGCGAGTAGGAGCGTTCGCAGCCGGCGTTCGGGCAGTAGAACCTGCGGCCCAAGTGCGTCTGCCTGTGCTTGCGCAGGTAGTTCGCAAAGTTCTCCGGCTTCCCGGTCTCCATCGGCTGCCAGGGGCACCACTCGCACGTGTAGTTGCCGGATCTGCCCCCACAGTTGAGCTGCTCGTGGACCGGGATCTGGTCGGGGGCTTGCAGGCAATGAGCAATGGCCCCAACATTTGCAGTGGGAATGTTTGGCAACATATCCACGAGACCAGAGTGGTGACCCTGTGGTGGCGGTGGCGGCGGCGGCATTTGACCCTGGAGCCAAGAGTACAGGGAGCCGTCGTCAGGGTTCCAGGTACTGATTGTATTGCTTGCCGGAGACACGTTGATGTCGGATATCGGGAAGTATTCCGCGGCTGTTCTAGAAGAATCGGGTGTTGGCACAAATGCGTTGATTCCCGAAGCTGTCTCCTCGGTGTAGCCGGATGTGGTGGGCGTCGGCTCCCAGACTGATTGCCCTCCAGCTTGGTCCACGGACATGCCGCCTGGAGACTGGGTGAGATTGTCAAAGTATCTCACTGAGCCTGGCTGGGCAAGAATCTGTATTTCGGGAGCGGCGATTTGCGAACTACCAAAACTCGACGTTGAGGAGTCCCAGGAAGTGCCGGGGACGTCGAATATGACTTGAGGCGAACTCCCAGACCGAGAGCTGCTGGTCTGGCTGCTCGCGAAGCTGCCAGGGGAGTTTTGGCGATAACTCGGCGGCGGCGGCGTGTCCGGCAACTCCACACTCGTGCTAGATGTGGCTTGGAGCTCGTAGGGGGCATCGGCAATATACTCCGTCTTTTCCTGATCTGGCAACCGGTGCAGGCTCAGCTTGTCTTGCACGGTAAGGTGTCCGGTTCCGGACCAGATCCAGTCGGGTGGACCTGGGCTCTTCGCGGCCACGCTTGGAGATCCGCCACGAGATGACGGAGCGCTGTTCCGCCTTTGGCTGCGGATGACCCGAAAGATCGAGCCGGAGAGTTCCGAAAATTTCTTTTTGATGCCGACGGCCGGCGCCTTGGCCTGCCAGCCCTCCCATTCAAGCCACTCCCGTTCTGTGATGGGGTATCTGTGGGCATTCTTGCATCGCAGGCAGTTGAACTCGCCGAACTTGAGCTGCTTGCATTCAAGGAGGTGGCCGATCAGCCCCATTGGCTGGTCGAATTCCTCATAGCACCTCATGATGGGACAGCAAAACATGGCCCGCTCATCTTCTGCGCGGTCGTAGAGGGCTCTCCGGCTCACAAAGTCCCGCATAATCATCAACACGATACGCGAGACGTTGGGGTCCGTGACCACATGCTCCTCGTAACTAGCGGTTGGAACGCACGGTTAGCCAGGGTTCATCCACCGCAGCCTGTCTCTCAACACCCGTTGGTGCATACTCACGGGCAGACAGTTTTCCCAGGCATCGACGGATTCGTCTGAAAGCGGTAGTCGCCAGTGCCATCCAGTTGCGTAGCGTAACCCATTATCTGAGCTTGCGGGTACGACATATTGCCGGACTCTGACGCGTCAAGCTTGCCTTTTTTGTCCTTTGAGTTATAGTGCTTCGAACGGGGGAGGCATGACGATTCTCAGCGTCTTCACTCGACCTCCCCAGGCGCATTTGAGGCGTGCCGGCAGGGACCTTTAAGATGCCGTTGTCAAAGGTTTCTGGAAGCCTCATGCGACCGCAAACCCAGTGCAGTCCGCCATTCGAGGGCCCGTCCCGCTCTCAGTCTGTTCAGCAATCCCCTCCATCCCCTTGTCGATCATTTCCCTTCGCGTGCCTGGAACCCTGGCTCTGAGGCCACGCGTTAAGGCGCCAGACGGCCAAGAATGTAACCAGAGGGACAGCGTGCTCTCTTTGGAAACGATGGAAGGGGCCCAGTAAGCATGGCCGGGCGAAATGTTGGCGACGAGCCGTTCATAAGCTGTGTCGTGGGGACTATAGGGGTGTGGGGACGCAAAAGCGCAGGCTTGGCTCGTGAATCCCCTTCGTGCAGAAAGTCAGGACCTCATGTAGAAAAAAGGCTCAACGGGATTAGATTGCGATGTGGCTTGTGAGTGAGTCCCTTTGGTGAAACCCAACAATCAGCGGTTGTGGAAAACCAGAAGCCGCCCCTCTTTATCCCTCAAGGGCTTTGTCCTCGCAGCAATGTGCATCGTAAGGCAACAGGGCGACGACCCTCCCCAGTAGGTTGCGCGACTGTTGAGGCCTCCAAGCGTTCGCGGGGAGTGTGGTGGCATCAGATGCTGGAGCAGCAGCTCCGAAACGGGGATAATTAACGGACCTGTGAAGGGACCCAGGCTAAGCCGTGCCCGGCCTCGAGGCTGGTGTTGCCCCGGCCCCTGGGGCTTATTTCGCAGAGGCCTCGGAAAGGGAAAAAAAATGAAGGGCCTAGGCCGTCACTGGCCGCGGGCGGCCTAGGCTACATTCCTTATCTCCGGATTGAGTGCGCATCGCCTCCGCTGCAAGGTCCTTACGGCCAAGACCAGAGTACGGGTTGCCCAAGTCGGGTTGTCCGAGGGCGGTTGGTTCGCGGGCTGCGGCGCAACCAACCGAGGGCCTTGAATGGCTTGTCTAGCCTTGTCCCTGTGTCGACCGGAACGAGGAGGAGACCCCGAGGGAGAAGGGGGCATGGCGGCAAGACGGAGGGTGCCAGCCAAAGGGAATGGTAAGGTAAATGAATCAATGAAAAGGGGGCGAGAGTGCGCGGGGTTTTGGCGAGGTTTGCGGGTGTTCGGGCAGAAGAGCTTGGGATCAGACGACACTTCATGTCTTTTTATCCACGAGTATGGATGTTCTGTCGATTAGAAAATGCCGGAAGGCAAAAATCAATCCTCGCACAGAATCGGTCTATTGAGAGACGGGCCTCATGGTTTATAGATACTGCCCAGCCACGGCAATGTCGAGCCCAAAATTAGCATCTCAGCCAAGACGTGTGTATGTTCCAACCCCAGCCGTCTGAGGTGAGCTTGTTGGGGGCGGGGCTGAGCTTCATTTGGGCAGGTATTGACCTATCGATCAGTGACGATTGGACATCTTCGAGCCAAGAGTCTCGCGCCTTTGGGGCGATGCAGGAACAGATCACCGAAGAAGTGGAAATATACTATTTATGGGAAGGCAGCCCGCATGGCCCCCAGTTAGGCGGGCCATTGAGCAGAAGGGATCAACTTTCTTTTCTCCTAGCTTGATAGGCAACCCCTAGACAACATGCATCTCGCCGTCATGTTGCCCTATAACGATCAATGGCCCTCAAACGCAGCGGGCATATGGTCAAGGAGCTCATGTATCTCTGTCGCGGCAAGACCTCTGGTTCGGGCCGCCAGAGTCTATTTGGACTTGCCGGTGGGGATGCAAAATAACACGATCCTCTTGCCCTTCTCGCCTTCCTCCCCATTTGCCCAGTCATTGAGCCCCTTATCCACCCTGTAATATCCTCTCCGCTCAAGCTGAACAATATCGTCTTTCTTGAGCGAGGCGGCATCTGCTCCACACCAGGCGGGCTCCATTGACTCTGTGACGGGCGTGAGATACTTCTCGAGATCGTCCTCCTCCTCAAGCTTGTCCTTGGTGATGAGGTAGTCGAAGTCCCAGAGCTCTGCAGGAACAAGGTCCTGTCCTTTACTAGAGAGCCATGTGACTTTCTTCTCGGTGGTCTTGACATCGCCGGCAAGGTTGAGCTCGACAGTGATGCTGGGGATAGGGGCTCCCTCCTTGATTTCACGCACAATGGCATTACCCCATGCCATCAGCGTAATCTCCTCGCCAACCTTCATCAGGGCAACATCCTCCTGCTCTAGCAGGATCTCAGAAGAGAAGGTGACTGGCTTCAGTCCAACCTCCTTGTTCTTGGGATGCTTCGGCTTGTCGACCGTCTGTGGCGAGGCAGGGGCCTCGGCGCCAGTGATAGTGACCTTCACGACACTCTTCTGAGTCAAGGCCGTGTGGCGCGGTGCAATGGGGTCGATCTCCTTCTTGTTGGCGGCCCAGAATGAAGTCCAGTCCATGCTTGTCACATTCCGGCTCGGGCCCTGCTTAATAATGAAGTCACGGAGGGCAGCAACTGTCATGCCACGCCGACGCACACCTCGCACGGTCGGCATACGAGGGTCATCCCAGCCCCAGACACGGCCAGTATCAACCAGCTTTGCCAGCTTGCGTTTGGAGAGGAACGTCCGAATGAAGTTCATACGCGCAAAGTCCCACATGTGAACTTGGCGAAGCTTCAGCGTGTCGAGAAACCACTGGTACTGCGGGTTCCTGTCCGTGTACTCGGTGGACCTCAAAGCATGGGTCACGCCCTCAAAGCTGTCAACAACGGGGCAGGCAAAGTCGTACATGGGGTACATCTTCCATGTGGTTTTTGTCCTGTGGTGTGGCTCGTCGTTGCATCGGTAGATGACGGGGTCGCGCATCGCCTTGTTCGGGTTGTCGACCGACAGCTTCGCGCGGATGCAGAACCGCTTTCCCTCGTCGGAGCCCTTTTTCATCTCCTCGAAGATGCGCAGCGTCTCCTCGATTGCCATCTCACGGTGCTTCGAGGCGATGCCCTTGCCACGCTCCTCTCTCATCGTCTCCTGGTCTGTGTCATCGGCGTATGCGTGGCCCTCCTTGATGAGACGCAGGCACATCTCATACAAGTATTGGAAGTAGTCCGACGTGTGGGAGAATTTGTCGGCCTCGATTCCCATCAAGGCGAGATCTTGGATGATGGCATCCTGATACTCCTCCTTCTCCTTTGAAGGGTTAGTATCGTCGAGCCGAAGTCGCAGAGTGCCGTTGTAGGCCTGGTGAGCGAAGTAGTCGCTGAGAAGAGCTGCTTTGGCATGCCCAATGTGGAGATATCCACTAGATTTTTGGGTGTAAGTTACAGGAACAGAGAAAAAAAAGGTTCAAGATTAAGGTACTAAGGATACGTACGACGGCTCAGGCAGGAACCTGGTCACAACCCCCTTGTCGGCATCCTGAAGAGCGAGGTTGTAGTTGCCGCCAGCCCTGCTAGCAGCGGCAACCTTTGCCTTTTGCGCCGCAGCGGCTTTCTTGATCTCTCCTTGAATCTCGGGGTGGTTCTGCTCAAGGTAGAGGTACCAGCGGGTCAGGTTTGCAAGGCCGCCCTTCTTGACAAAGGCCACGGCTGCCCTGTTGCTCGCAATTGCGACCCAGATCTTGGAGTCGAGCTCGCCAAGCTGGTAGCCATCGAGGTAGGACCGCAATGTCAGGTGCTTGTCGAGACTGGCAAGGTGCGGCTCGATGGACCGAAAGTCTCCCGACAGGGCGGGAGCGATGCTTGCGACCTCATCGGCCTTCATTGTGCAAGAATCGTAGTTTGGGTATCTCGGTGTTTCCCAAAAGCAAAACGACGCGATGGGCAGGCCAGCAGGAAAAAAAAATGAATTAGCACGCGCCCACGCCAAACGAGAAGGAAATGGTGCGCAATCCCATGGTGGGGTTGACTCAGACGACGCGGGGTGCTAGAATGACGGAGACAGTGGGGCCGGCAGGCGGGGCTCCCAAAGACACGATAAGATAACATGAAAGCTGATCCAGCGGACACGGTGCTAATTACCTCAGCAAGTAACAAGCTCACTTTTTTCAACAATGCGCCTGAGGAGGTTGTCGCGGGAGGCTTGATTGCGGGACTGGGAGTGATATCGGCACGCACCCCCAAGCTCGGCAATGACTTCAACAGGCCAATGCCTTGCCTCGTTGGCAAGGCTAAGCCTTACAACAACAATACGGCCAGCGGCCACGACGGTTCCCCGATTTCTAGCCCCCACGGCTACCCAAGTTCGGTTTGCGTCGCCGTCGAAGAAGCCAGAAAAGAAGAAGAGGCAGCACAAGACGTTCAGAGTATGGAGGAAAGACTCACTGATAACTTTCTCGCTATGCGACGCTATGAGGTTATTTGCGTCACTTCATTTGCAATCCATCCTCTCCACCTGACAACTCATAGCTGACGGTTGGGCCGCTTCCTCCACCCCTTTCCAGATATATCCGCGCCTTTGAGGTTGGCAAGCCGGCGGACAATGTGGCATATGACCTCGCGGTCAAGCTCACGTCCCTCAAGCGCACTGCCATCATCCGAAACCGCATTCGTCTACCCCACACTCTCGCGACAAATATCAAGATCGCGGTCATCTGCAAGCCAGGAAGCCGCGCGTCGGCCGAGGCGCGAATGGCCGGCGCTGCCGCCGTGGGCGAGGAGACAATATTTGAGGCGGTGCGTGACGGATCCATGGATTTCAATAAGCTTGTCTGCCACGTCGACTCGCTGCCGGCTCTGACGGCCGCCAATCTGGGGCGCATCCTCGGTCCCAAAGGAATGATGCCGAGTGCCAAGACCGGTACGGTCGCCAAGGACGTCAAGAGCATGATGCGCGAGATGATTGGGGCATCAGACTACAGGGAGAAGGAAGGTGTTGTGAGAATGCCCATTGGCAAGCTCTCGTTCACGCCCGAGATGCTGGCCGACAACGTCAAGGTCTTTATCGCTCAGCTGAAGAAGGATATGAGTGCTCTCGAGGACCAGACGGACAAGGGCATCGATGAGATCGTTCTCAGCGCGTCACACAGCCCCGGATTCAGTTTGAGCGGCGGGTTCAACCCCTCAGACCCTACCGTGACGACCACGGCACTATCAACACCGATGTAGCGTCGGATGTCCTTAGATTATGTACAATACGCTCTCATGGAGTAGAGGGGCAATGCCGGGATTGGCGCTACTATTTTGATGGCTTCATGTGAACTTTTGTTGGGGGTATACCAAGACATCTTCTTTCGTGAATGGAAATTCTTCCGTGATCTGCCCTCTAGAGCCTTTCCACTTTCACTTCTTCTTGAATACGGCAATGGCGTCCTCTTCGGCCTCGAGAAGTCGATATATAGCAAGATACTTTAGCATCCTTGACTGACCGCGAGCTCCCGCATTCTTCACTTCCTTTGTTGCTGTATTCAGATCGAGCAACAAGGTATTCCGGCACTTGGTAATCCTGTCGCCCATCTTAATGACGAATGGCATTTCGATCCCAATCGAACCGACGAGCTGTTCAATCACACGATATTCCGTCGCTAGTGAAATGAGTTTGGCGGGACTGCTGCCGACAAACGTCCGCTCCGCGTTGGCAGAATCGCCGAAGCCTCCTTCGGCCTCATCGTCCTCGTCGCTGTCATCGACATTGAATATGTTGTCCGCAGCGTTCTTGGGCAAGCTGTCGACCGCCAGGCGGGCCTCGAGCGCAGCGACCCTCTCGTCAAGCTCGAGCATGCGCCGCCCTCTCTCAATGCTGGCCCTGACCTCCCCAAGCTCGGCGCAGGCGTCCGAGACGTCAACGCGGCGGCGACGGACCTGCTCCTTGATGTCTTCGACGGCTCGGCGGAACCCGAGCAGCGCGACGCGGACGTCCTCGACCTTGTCCTCGCCGCCCTTGAGCTCGTCGCCAAGGCCGAGGAAGGACGTGTAGTTGGAGTTGACCAGCTCCAGGAGCTCGGCCGAGATTGCGGCGCTGCGGTCTCGGAGATCCGAGCGCAGATCCTCGAGGGTCTGGTGGCGGTGGGCCGAGGTCGTGTCGGCGTCCGAGGGGAAAAGCGAGGACAGATAGGCGGCGGGGTCAAAGTCAGGGGCTAGGAAGTCCTTGCGGGCTAGCGCGGTCGGGAACGGGAGGGCGGAGTCGTCGTCGTCATTGTCGTCCGAGTCCACGGACGAGCTCGAGGACGGGAGCTGGAAGCCCGAGTAGGACGATGTCGGGCGCGGTGCTGGCGACTTCGGCAGATGGAGCCCCAGCCCGACCCCGGTGCTCATGGTAGGCGAATGCGGGGCGAAGCTTTCTGGGGGATGAATAGCGAGCACCGGGATGCAAACAAAATGCAATGCGATTGTGCTCAAGAATCATGTGTCTGCCTTTAGTTTGGCTTTGTGCTTTGCACAGCACCACAGAGACGCCGAGAGGATGGCAGCCTTCCGCGCTGTCGCGTCTGATGGGTGGTGTGGGGTAGCTTTCTAGCTCTCAGTAGGGGAAAGGGAATTTGTGGGTGGCATGTGCTGCAATCCCAGCATATTCGTGGCATTTGAATTGACGAATGGGGATTTAAGGCCAAGCTCGCACATGAATGTAGCGTACAAACAATTGAGTCTAGGCACAACGGTTACTGTGATTCTTTATTCAACTATGTGATCTCGGACGGATCACTAGGTAGGAGGCCAACACTGACAACTAAGGCTGCATGAAGCCACCATGCGCCGAAGGTGAAGCTCTCTTGTCTCGAAAACTTTGGTGCCGAAAGATGCGCAGATAAAAAAAAATTGAGTATGTATTAGGTATATGGGAAGTGACGGCATAATCTATAGCCATTATCCATCTCAACAGGGCGAGGTCGTGATAATGATAATGCGGCGGCGAAACATTTAGCCCAAGGTGATCCTGGTATCTTCGTCCAGGCCAAATTCCAGTGGCAGCCGAAGCCGCAACCAAGTCGAGGATCCAAGTTCAAAGGAACGAAGCGGGGCAAAGAGTAGCGACTGCCCGAAGTCGGCGAGAGTATGGCTCCCTGAGAAAATGATCTGGACAGGTGGAAAAGAAAGCAGAAATTGCACACATGCCTGGGCAATTCGAGCCGCGCTGTTTTCCAGCTCACCGTTGCCGTCGCATTTTGCCTGGGGCAATAAGACGGCCCAATGATGTGGCCCTAGTGCACCCGAACGAGCCCACTCGGCCAAGGAACCAATGGCCCGGTGTCAATATGCGCTAGCCAATTATAGGACTAGCGCAGCCAGCTGCAGCATGATCTTATCAATCTCATCAGTTGGATCCACTGACTCCAAACAGTGCACAGATCGCGAGGCTTGTTTACGACTGGGCAAGGAAACAGCACGCCAGCTCATCCAGCGTCCAGGATAGCGAGGGTCCTGGAGGATGAGGTAGGCATTTGAGATGAGTAGTGCCTTGTGAGAGATCTTTCCAATCAAGAATGGGACATGCAAAAGATTCTATAGAAGGACATCTTACAAGTTAAGGCGGCTCGTCTCTCAGCAAGTTGAAAGTAGGAACCAGCACACGGCAAGTCAGCTGCGGAATCACGAATCCACCGCCCCGGCCAGCTCCGATATTAGGACCCGGGCGAAGGCTAATTTCTGAGACCAGCCTTCATTGGGACTGGCGAGTCCATAAGCACAAAAACTCCCTGGCTTCCGGTTCCTCATGTGTAGGCTGCTTTCGACTGCCTGCCACCGTTCCAAGCAAAGGAACCAGCCCCGAACGCACGATCCATACCGGCCCGAGGGGTCTCAACAGCCAAATAATTGTGGTGGTTCTCGCTTTCTTTCATATTGCTCTCTCTATTCTTTCACACTCATCTCGTGACCGTTACAGTGCGAAATCAGCCTCAAGGTGCGTTCTACCATTTCGACGTTTCTCAGTACAAAGAAGAGCGAGGTGCTAAAGCTAGTTCGCCTAACGATGAAAAGCCCTCGAGTCGTCTCCGCAGACCCAAATACAGGTGCCCAGCATATGCCAATCTCGAAAGCGCCCATGCTTGCCCCGACGACTCGTGGCGGCGGCGTCGGCTCACCTCACGCCTTGGTGCCGAGCCCCACTTCGACCAAATCCCCTCACACCCATGGAATTTCTCCCACGGTCCTGACTGCCGTCTCCACGACTGATCCCCGACCAAACTCGCTTTTATCAATCCGCCCAACCGCCGGCCAAAGTGCGCGGCCACATCCAAGGTCCCATCCAACTGGAATCCCGATGGCGTCCATACTGTCTCCAGCACCAGCGCCGGCTGCCGCGAAAGCTCCTGGTTCCGTGACGAGCAAGGAATGGGTCATACCGCCTAGGCCGAAGCCGGGGCGCAAGCCGGCAACCGACACGCCACCTACTAAGCGCAAGGCCCAAAACCGTGCTGCACAGAGGGCATTCCGTGAAAGAAGAGCGGCGCGGGTTGGTGAGCTGGAGGAACAGCTGGAGGAGCAGTCCGAGGAGCACCAGCGTGAACAGAAAAAGCTTCAGGACCGCATCCATGAGCTGGAGGTTGAGGCCCAGACTCTCATGACCCGGTGTCAGGTGCTGGAGAACATGCTTGAGAGAGAGCGGCTCGAGCGACGGAGGTGGAGCGAGGGCACTATTCATCAACCTTCTATGGTGTCGTCAAGAAACGGGAGTGTCACGCTGCTCCCGCCGCAAAACGGGCAGCCAGGTGGTACATTCGCTGGGGGGCCCAGCGTGTACAGCAGCCACCTCCAGTCAGCGTCTTCAAACCAGCCAGCCTTTGGAGCAAGGCAGAGCACTACGAGCACGACGTCAGCACCCGCGCCACGACACCCCGTCCACTCCTTTTCCATTTCGCAGATCATCTCCCCGCCCGAGGATGTGGAGACGGGTGAATCGTCGTCGCTCTCGTGCGGCTCGTGTGCTCCGGGAGGGCCATGCGCGTGCGCAGAGGAGGCTTTGGCAAACGCAGTGGTCGGATGTGGGAAATGCACACTCGGCTCCAAGTGCGAATGTCTCGAGGCCACACTCAACGCCGCGATGGGATCGTCAGATCTGAAGCGGCCCCATCGGTCGACATCGCCTTCAACTGCGCCGGGCGAGAAGAGGGCACGATCCGATGCGGCTATGGAGATCGACTTTACCACATTCTTTTCTAGCAGCAAGCCGAATCCTCCCATGCCGGCAGCACCGCGGGCTTTCGCGCCTGGGTCGGTTCAGCTGCCTATCCCGCCCGGGGGGTCCTGCGGATTCTGTACCGAGGGGACCTACTGCGTCTGCGCTGATGCAATGGCTCCAGTGCTGTCGACAGCCCCGACGCCACCCGCCCCAAACCCAGTCGCCAATGCAGCTCGTCAGGTGCAGACACCACCTCCATCTGAGACGGATGTCGTCCCGCCCCCACTAGAAGTGACGGCAACCGGGGCCATCAAACTTCCTGGGGTGCAATCAATCAAAAATGGCAACAGGCCTGCCGCAGCTGCTGAGAGGGTTACCGAACCAAAGTCCACGTGTGGGCCGGGAGGGCCCGGAACCTGTGCTCAATGTCTTGCGGACCCGATGTCTGGACTGTTCTGCCGTTCATTGGCTGCAAACATTGAGAGGAACAGCCAGGGCGGGAAGAGCGGCGGTGGTTGCTGCGGAGGAGGGGGCCCAGGTGGTTGCTGCAAAAAGCAACCGGCAACGACAGCAACGAAGCCACCAAGCAGCAAACTCGGCCTGAGCCTCTCCTGTGCCGACACTTACAAGACGCTATCAAGTCATCGCCATTTCAACCGGGCAACAGACGAGATCGCCAATTGGCTGCCTCTCCTGAAAGCGGCACCGAGACCAGAGGCGGAGCAGCCCACTACCGGCACGGCCCCTCCTCGTCCTCCCATCGAGGTTGAAGCTGCTAGCATCATGAGCGTGCTGAAAGGTTTTGATGTCCGCTTTGGCAATTCGGCTGCTTAGAATGGCCGAGATCTGTTTCAATCACACCCATCCCCACGGCAAGTCGATCGCGTGCTCAAGCTAGGCACCAGTGAGAGAGCCAGTTTGAGGGAGAAAAGATGAAAAAGAGATAAAACATTGAGGATACGCGCAACGGAGCCGCTCACTTGACCCCAGGGTGCTATGAGACGAGGCCTTTGCTGCATGAATTCCCTGCCAACAACCCCAGATGCTCTTGGTGGGTTGCTTCATATGCCAGATGACAAGGAATTGAAGCCGAGTGACGAACCGCGGCATGGAAACACATGGGAGTGTCCTTGGTAAGAAGTCAGCTCCTACGATCTCTCGAATTGGCGTCGCGGTATTTTTTTGATGTTGCAGTCTCCACGGCTAGCTGCATCAACACCTCGACAGCGGCGGATCGTCGCCTGGGAGGACGAATCACACCGGCAGATTCACATTGTATCGCGGCGGGTGGAGGGCGACCCGGACAACGCAGCAAATAGGAAGGAGATTTGGGGCAGGCCTGCATTGATCACTCGGACAGGCCGCCTCTGTTCTCGAAGCACTCGCTGCATCACGGGCTCTGTTTGCTTTTTTTTGTTGTTTGTTTTGCGAAATTTATCCACCTGCGCATGCAAGCTCTTGACCACGCGCGGTTGCACCGATGTGTATTACCCGCATCACCATGGGTGTATCATCGCATGTGGCAGTATAAAATGGGAAGTTCACGTCCGGGCTCAAGCCAAATATTGCTTTTACATGACCCTTGGCAGCGGTTTTCGGTAACGGATCCTGTGACATTGTCGTGGTACCTTGGGACAGGTAGTTAAGTATGGACGTTCCTGTCCCAGCAGACACGGGAGGTCCCTGTTACTACGGTGGACGGGATAGAGGAAGGTTGGTGTGTGAGTCAAATCCGACCGCATCTGAGACCTTGCATGGATCTTGGGAGGTCGCCCGTGATGAGTTGTCGGCGACACAGCGCACGACACAACCAACAACGGGCCTTTCCTGTCGGGGGCACCAGGCGGCATTGAGCCTATACGGGACATGACGGGTGTCTGCAGAATACGTTTCGACGTGAATTGGCTGAGATGGGCCGTGCTGGTGAATGCGGGAGTGAATGAGATCCCGAGATGGTGGGGTGTGAGTGGTGGTAGGTGCCCGGGCTGAAAAGATGAAGCTGAGGTGCAGGACCTAAAGAAACAAAAAAAAAACCCCCCGCATGATTTGTTCGGCTGCAGCACAGCACCATCCGTCCAGTTGCTCCCTCCAGAGAACAGCGTCGTCAGCAAGGAGGCCGAATTGATCGAGGTGCAGCTGCAATCTAGAAATATCGGGAATGCGCCTTAGCGCCTACTACGGAATCTCGGCCACCGTCCAACGGGGCGGCCCTGGCACGGCAACTGGTCGCGTTGGACGGCGTGTACGGATGTGTTCTACAGCAGCTCTGTGGGTATACTTATGTCCTTCTCCCAACGAGAACGTCAGAGCGAAAGAAGAAGGGGAAAAAAGATTACGGAGCTGCTCTGATAGGCAAAAGGGCCAGGGCACATGAGCGACAAGAGGCGCCGACCTGGCCCGGGGATTGGGCGGGCCGTCATTGCGGCGGTGAGCAGTGGACGAGTGCCTTGGAAAACACAGGATGTTTGTTGGCTGCTGGCCCAGGGGTGGCAGTGAAGGACGTCGTCCCGTCACAAGACCTTGACAGATTGCGGCGGTGAACTGGACAGCTCAGAGGAGGGGGAATATCAAAAGCTCGTGGGCGGCTGAGGGCAATAAGTGGATTTCATCAAAATACTGGTGCCCCTCAGGGGGCGCCCCTGGGGCTGTGATGATCTCGTTCATGGCCAGCGCAGATCCAAGGAGGCGGAATATTGCGGATCAACATCCACATGGGAAATGCAAGCAAGCTCGATTTGTCCAGGCTGCATGGAAGAGCACTCCAAACAAAACATTACTCACATGCATTAACTGGTAAAGGTGTCTTCTTCTCCAGAAGACGCCATGCTTTTGTTGGTATCCAATCCCTCGCCGGGGCTTGGACGAATCGCAGGCGGAAGGCCAGCCAAGAACGCGCAGGCACGGCGGGCAGTCTTGACAAAGTCCACACCACCCTGATGGCGCTGCAACAGGTACTTTGCGCTTTGCGCTCGCACGTGCGGTGTCATCTGATGTCAGTCCGCGCCAGGCGGCCCGGAAGGGAGGGCGGAGAAAAAAAAAAAGACCACGGCTGCCATTGGGCTTCTAGACTGGCTATTGCTTGGGCCCGGGCCATTTGGGTGCCGCGACTCCGTTCTCGTCCAGTCCCGAGGAGCGACAGGCTCGGAGAGGTGTGGGTGGGTGGGGGATGGGGGATGGGCAGCCATGAGGTGGGAAAGCAAGGATGGGTCGAGAGACACAGGAGAGCCCGTCGGGTGACAGCAGGACCGAGACCGCTGACTGCCGCCCGGGCTCACATCGCCTCCGCCAGTTGGGAGGGGACCCCGAGGGGTGAATGCAGGCGGTCCATGATTGGGTCTCACGGTGCGCTGGCAGCCGCAGTGCGGTGGAGCCGTCCCAAGGGGAAGGGAGGAAGCAGAGGGAGGCTAGCAAATAAAATCGGTACCAATAAATGAAAACAAGAGGGAGGAAAGGGGGGAGGCGATGAATGCAAGGCAGGCCAGAATGCAATGCACGCCAGCTCACGAGCGGACGCGAAAAAAAAAGAGGGGTACAGAACGGGCTCAGTCACGACCATGGCGGGAGGCCAGGGCAACCATGCCTCGCAAAAACGGGAGCTGTCGGGCTTCCATTCAATGCTGGGCCCCTGCGCAAGGCACTGATGGAAGCGAGCCCGGTCGGCGCAAGGGCTCACCGCAGTTCCATCCGGATGGGCGGGCGGGCAGCAATTCACGTTAGGTGCCTACCACTACCACCACGAGGGCTGCCACTCAGGGTGCCACTCGCTAGATAGATACCACCTACCGCCCAGGCACCTAGGATATTTGCCTCGCAAGGTGTACCTGGGCAAACTGGCAGGCTGGGTACCCACCACACGGGCGCGAAGGAAGATTTGAGGCTGGTCCCGCCGGATGCCCCAGGCCGGCGGCTGCTGTTGGCTGAAGGGGTCAAGTGCGGTGCACGCGGGTATAGCGATGTGCGCATCATCCAGAGCCGCGAACACGAGTGGGCAGGCGGCCGACGACATGACATGCGACCGACTATGACTGACTGCTACATACATATAAGACTCAGCGAGCTGAAGACGGCGTTTATGATGAGCGCGCGTTGCGGCAACCCATAGGCTGGCAAGACTGGGACGGCCCTGACTGTCGCCACATGGAGTGGGTTGTGGCGGGACCGCGGGCTCCTGGGCGGGAGGATGACGATGCGTTGTCAACCAGCCTGGCCAATGGTGGCCGGGGGAGGCCATGGATGGTGAAGCACGCCAGATCAATGGAAACGAAGACGGGGGGCAGGGGGCTAGAGATAAATTCAACGGGAGAAAAAAAAAAAAGGACGGACAGGGATAAGTGCCGAGGGACAACAAAAAACATGTAGGAAACAAAGCAAGTGGGAAAATAATAAAAAAACAATCCAGAATTAAGAATCCAGAAAATTCGGTCGCCCCGAGGTCCCGTGCATTGTTGACATGTCGGCGGTGCTGCTGCTGGGTGGGATGGAGGGATGGAGGTGGGCATCTCGCGGCTGGAAAGGGTGCTGGTGGGCTGGTGGTTGGTTTGCTGCCCGGTGGTGGCCTCCAGAGCTAGCTGGCGTGGCAGTTGCAGAGTGGCTTCTCCCGTCCGTGTCCCCGAAGGGCACAACCGCGTGGCCCTAAACGAGCCTAGCTCGCCGCCGCAGGGGCCAATCGAGTGCTGTGGGCGCCGGGGCGCCGCGTCAAATTGAAATCCACACTCACACTCCCAAGGTCTGCCTCTGGCTGTAGGTACCCTACCTTGGGCCTTGGGCAGGTACGTACCTTGGCCCCATGTCCCTACCCTCCTACCCCACGCACGCCCAGTGCTGGGGCGCACCGCAGCGCCGTGTGAGCTGCTGCCGCCTGCCTGCAGCTACAACGCAGCCTGCAGCCTGAGGGCGCGGAGGGACCCAGCCCGGCAAGCACTGGACCACCAGACCAAGACCTGTCGCTTGCTTGCCCACGGCCTTACTGCTGCTGTTCCTGCTGGTGCTGGTGCTGGTGCTGGTGCTGGTGCCGCCGCTGCTGCTGCCGCTGCATGCACGAGAGCTCAGCGAAACCCGGCTCCTGCTCGCTGCCAGCAGCCAGAGGTATTCCCATTTCTGTCTTAGACCAGGCCGGCCGGCCCCAAAAGAGAAGCGTTGTCTCCATCCCAACTGCGGACAGACCTCCCTGCTCCCCTCCGCGCCCGTCTGGACTCCTGCTGCCACCTCCTGTGCTCCCACCACCTAACCCCAGCTGTCAGGCCTTGCATCCATCCGACTCCATCCGACCCGTGCGGGACATATACCTACCTACCTGCACGCCTCCCCCGAGCGCGACTCGACCCTACGTCCTCGAGTCCAATGCCGTAGTTGTTAACCCTGCGCGAGACTCGTGAGGTTACGGCCATCGAGGCAACCTGACCGTATACCTACCTACCACTACCTCCATACCATACCACACACATAGAGCTTGGGCGTCGACGCTCGCGACCCGCCCCTCGCAAACTCGCACAAACACGCCCACGCGTGCCACCGCACCGACGGGTGTCATCCCTGAATCCTGCGCGCCGAGGTCACCTCTTTCCCAGTCCAGCTTGCCGGCGGAGGCAAAGCTCAGGCCCACGCCGCCGCCTCCAAGAAGACGAGACGAGACGATCCGAGATCGCGCCGTAGCTTCCCCCTCGAGTGCTCCGCCCAACCCGCCGAGACCCACATCGAGGACCGGCCCAAGTACGATTTACAGCTTCTTGTGACGGCTGGTTCAGACTCTTCCTCTTCCATGCGCCCACTATGATCTCCATGCAACGATCACTCTCGTCGCCCATATACTCCAACTCACCTGATCGTACGTGCGCCGGAGCCCCACCGGCGTCCAGGCCTGGCGAAAGCCCCCCCTGGAAACCTCGCCCGCTTGCAAGCCCCCTGCTAACCGGCACCTTGCTCAAAAAGCTGAGCCTTCTAGCCCGGGCCCCTTCCCCTCCAGGTCACCGTCGCCGTCGCCGCTACCCTCTCCCGACGGCCATGTCGATACGTGCAAACCGCAGAGAACAAGGTCTAGGAGCCCCTCGCGAACGACTAGTAAGGCCGCCGCCGCCGCCGCCATGTCGGCCAGGCGCAGCGATGAGGTGCCGCGCCGCTCCGAGCACCGGTCCCAGACCCTATCCCAAAAGCCCATAATTGCGCAACAGACCTTTCCGCTGCCTCTTTCCCAGGACCAGGTCCAGAGCTCCTTGGGAGAAGGCCTTGCCACCGGCGATGATGACAGCCTGCCCGCCCTGGGTGGCAACCCCACGCCCCTCAAGCTTCCATCGTTGCTGCTGCATGATGTCTCGCAGTACACGAATCCCTTCTTTGCCGAGCCCGAGCCCAACAGGCTGACGCTGGAGGAGCTGGCCCATCTGGTGCGCCTGTCCAAGTATCAGGAGCGCAAGCGCGCCAACAACCGCGTGCGCCTGCAGCGGAACCTCGTTGCCACGGCGCTCTCGGCGAGGCTGACCCGCTGCGGCGAGATGGCCTACCGCAATCTGGTAAACTGCTTCCGCACACAGGAGAAGAAGGCCTTTGCCAGCCTCTACAAGGCCGTGCATGATGTCCGCCTGAGCTGCATGGAGAGCAGAAAGTACGCCATGCTGGAGCCCGAGATGGAGTCGCTGTCTTTGCATTCCCCAGGCGTCGGCTCCTCCGAGAGCCTGAACTCCCCGGGCCTCGCCGGCGACGCCAGCGCCCCTTTCCTGAATAGCATCGCCGCCTCGTCCAGGGAGGCGTTTTTGGCTTTCCTCACACAGGTCAGGACCAACCCGGACTATTTGGCTGCCAGGCTCTGCTCTCTTGACTCGACCGAGCTTTCTGCCCTGAAGACGTTTGATCAAAACCCCGAGCCCATCGATTCCGTCCTCCCCTCTCACGGCGCCTCGTCCTCCTCCTCGCGCCTCCCCACGTCCAACCTCAGGGACCGGACGTCCGCGTTGAGGAGCGGGTCCCACAGGTCGTCGGCCAACCCCGTTAGCCACGTTGAGCAGCTGCTTTCCTTTCAGCGCCATGATCCCCTCTCTTCCTTGATCCACACCTGTTTCGCAAACTCGGCAGGCCCGGACAGTGCCGAGGACCGACGCAGGACCGACATCTGGGCCACTGCCATGGCCCGGCTGATCACTGAGCAGAGGACGGGCAACGATTCGATTCTCTTCTCTGTCCTGAATGCATGGTCCTCCATGCGCGACTGGCCCGGCCGGACCAACATGGAGTGGTACCTGATGAAGATCCTGGAAGACGGCGCCTTCATTCTGGATAGGGCAGAGGACCAGAACGGAACCCGCTTTAATCTCAGCAGTTGGTCCAGGGATGACTCCAGCGCCGCTGACAGGTTCTACGACAAGGCGGTCGAGCAGCTGTTCGAGATAATGGACGACGAGGACGAGACGGGGATCCCCGAAGGTCTCATTGAGCTGGGCAACGAGATTCTGAAGAAGCTGGACGCGCAGTTCGTCGAGAGCACGCGGCGCGAGCTCGTGCTCCGCTGGCTGTTCCAGGTGTGGCTCCCCGAGGTTATGATACACCCGGAAACCCGTGGCATCATGGCCGAGTACCACATTACGGACTACGGCCGCCAGAAGATCCTGCGGACCGTGGCAATGTACGCATCCAGGCTAGCCCAGGACGTCATCTCGGGCAAGCCAGTCAAGCCCGACACCACCAGGCACATTGAGAACATCCTGGGCCGTTTTAGTCCACGCTCCGCGAGGAGGAAGACCAGGCTCCTGCCCGCCCGATCTCTAACATCGCTGAGGGAGACGGTCGAGGTACACCCGTACCTCGTCATTGCACCGGCCGATTTGGTTACCATGATCAATGCTCTGTTCCCGGAAAAGAGGCCGCAATCTGCTCACTCAAACAGGCTAAGATCGGGCGCCAACTCGATATCTGGCATGTCTGTCATCTCACAGCCCATATCCGTGATATCCCCACGCAACACCGGCAATAGTGCCAATCCCAACAACACGAACAACAATGACGGTGCCTCGGTCATCAGCACGAGCCTATCATCTGTGCTCAGCGATGCCACCACCTCACACGAGCCTCTGCTGGAAGAACAGCGGACCGGGAACTCGAGTAGATACTCGCCCCCGATTCCGTTTCAGAAGCGGGTCAAAACCTACGAAGAGGATGGGTTCCGCCTCCGGGAAGCGCTCCACGAGATGACGCAGACGCTGGGCCCCGAGGTTGTCCAGGGCACATGCCACCCGTGCATGGACCGCTGGTCGGTTCTGTTCATCTCTGCCGACGGCAACATGCTCTCGACGCAGATGACTTACGACCCAGACGACGAGGTCGACGAGGACGAGAACTCCCCGACAAGCGACACGGATGAAGAGGAGGAGGACGACGACCGGCCGGACCTAGGCAAGGACTACCACCAGCTTCGCGATTCGATCCTGAGGCTGGTCGAGGAGTACGAGATCCCTCAAGAGTCGCCAGACAGCGGTGCGCATGCGCCTACTTTCAGCAACCGCACCACGTCGACGCTCAAGAAGTACCGTTCCAAGAACAAGGTTATCTCGACAGAGAAGAGCACACAGATCAGAAACTCGAACAACCCCTACCGCCAGCACACACAACCGGTCCCCGCGAGCGCTGTTGATATTGAGTCCAGCAACGCGGCCCACGCCGACCTGAGTTCTTCTGGAAGCGGCTCTGTAGACTCGGAAGCCGGCGCTGGGGGTCAGGAGTCGGTTCTCGTCTCCATGTTGACGGCAGCATCTGCTCAGTCTCGTGCACAGTCCGACTTTGTCTCTGCGCACCAGTATTGGCGGACCCTGCAGCGCCTCAACGCCCTCTCGTCATCGTCTCTGCGATCCAACGGCTTTGCGGTTCTGCTCTACATCTTCTCTCGCGGGCCGCGCGACTCCATCCGGCGATCGGCATCCGCCATTGAGGAGTACGACGCCTGGCTTGTCTGGCTCAAGCAGTCGCAGGAGCGCGCCGAAGGAGCCATCGAGGGCATGATGAGGCGGCTCTCGGCGCTCAGAGACAAGGCTTGGTACGTCATCGATGTGCGGAACTCGACACACTACGACTTTAGCTCCAACATCGCCGCCGCCCTCAAGTCCATGGGCGCTCCGGTTCCGTCAGCGCCCTCGACCCCCAAGACTGCGCGTCTGGCGTTCCTATACAGCAACGAGTCGCAGATGGCAAACATGCTCAGCGGCGGTAAAGACTACGGCTTCCGCAACAAGCTCTCTGACGACCAGTCGGAAACGACAGCGCAGTGGATTCAAGAGTTTGGCGTCGAGAACTTTTGCAAGGGCGAAGAGCGCATCCATCGCCTGAGCGTCGAGGTGCACTCATGCGTCAGCAGGCTGATTGGCGACGGAGTCAACCCCAGTGCCGAGCTCTGGACGAATGAGCTCTACGCCGTCGACCGGGGACATCTCGACGGAAGCAAGGCTAGAGACCGGGATGCTCACTGGGATGACGCATCCAGCGTCGTCAGCGATGGAGACCGTCGTTTCCCTGGCCGCTTCAGCTCCGTCTCTCGTGACCTGAGGAGCGTCTCGTCCTTCAACATGAGCCAGCACTCGTTCGACTCGAGCCGATTCAGCGCCTCGAGGGCCACGGTCAGCAGCACGCTGGGCGACGCGGTCGATTCGCCCGACTACTTTGGCGCGTCCTCACCGGTGCATGGAATCGACTCGGGCATCACGTACTGGTCCCAGTTTCAGTCTGCCCTTTCCGCGGCGCCTACGGTTCCGCCACGCCCTCAGTCTCCAGCCACGAGCCTGACTAGCTTCTCCGGCTCCTTCTCGTTTCCCCATCACAGCGCTCTCTCGCCCCAGCACCAGGCCGTCCGGCCGGCGACTGCGGCGTCTTCCAACGAGACCATTATGCTGCAGCGACTGTCCGAGGATAAGACCAACTTCCTCGCACGGCTCAAGCGGTCGCTCACAAGCCTGCTGCTTTCCGACTTGGGCAACCTGGTCTTTGCCAAGGGATCCGAGGCCGACCTTTGGTTCCAGGACCTTGGCCAGAAGTGCATTAAACATCGCGACAAGATGGACGCCCAGGCCGCCCAGGCTGCGCAGGCGGGCAACTCCCCGTCCCCGTCCCCGGCACCGCCGCAGACTAGCGCCTCGGAGAAGAGGAAGTCCAAGGATGGGAGTGGGCGACGTTTCCTGGAGAAGAAAAGGAGCTTTGCGGACCTTCGCGGAGCTGGCGAGGGCCCGTCGTCGGCCGAATCCAGCCGGCGCGACACCGAGAGCCCGCGTCTCCCGGAGGATCCGTCGGCTCGTCCGGGTGACTATGGGGAGCACAACGACCCCTCTCGTACTCCCCATCGGAGGCCCAAGCGGAGGGAGAGGGATGCCGAGTTTCCCTTTATCAAGGCATACCAGCGCCTTCTACGCATGTTCTGTGTGCATCCGAGCCCCTACGTCAAGCTGGAAGCCTTGTACGAGCTAGAGCACCTAATTGTGGCTTCTTTGGCGTCGGGCGGCTCCAGAAAGCGCACAGGCACACATGCTCGCGCGGGGAGCACTCAGGACGCTTGCACCACTGACGACGGCAAGCCGGCCCAGTCGGCGATGATGCCGCTGGAGAAGGCCATTGACAACGTCAGGGAGCGCCGCTCGCACACAATGACGGCACGCTCTCAGGCGCTTGTTGGAATTGACGGACAAGCCCTGCCCGCTGGTCGTGGCCGCGGCGGTGGCTTCGACGCGCGGACCGCGGCAGCAGATCCGAGCCATACGGACGGCATCGTCGAGGTCCTCCGGTCGCTGTTCAGGGACGCGTCGGTCCGGCCAAAGACGCTGTTCCGAGACCTCCAGTTCATCGCATCCTTTGTCAACGCCTCGATTCTCGACAACACGGACCGGGGCAAGGCGTTCTGGAACGCGGGATTGGCTGCCCTGCTCCTGAAGCAGGAGGTTTGCCGAACCATGGTCGAAGTCGCAGACAAGATTAACGAGTCGGCTCGGTTGTCCTCGTCCAAGAGCACTCCCTCGGGCTGGGTCGGAATCGAGCCATCAATCGGATCGACAGGCGCTCGGTCAATCGACGCCCAGAGCGTGTCATCTGCGCGGTCTGCGCGGTCTACTCGGTCTGCCGTCTCGGCAGTGTCGGCATCAACGGCACGCAGCGGCAGCGCCCTCGAAGGCCACAAACCATCGTCGCCCCCGGCCTTGTCGTCGCTCGGCAAGGTGCACGCGGGCAAGATGCTCACCATCACGGCCAAGGAGGGAGATCCGACGGCGCAGCGCGAGCTAGCGCTCTCTTTCCTGTCGGAGCCCGAGATGCTCGAGCGGTCGACGCTGCCGCTTTCCAAGCTCAGCGGGGTCTTCCGGCAGGTGGTGCTCGACAACTACGCCGCCACGTCGGGCGGCGGGGCAGGCGGTGGGAGCCGCGCCGGCAGGGGGCTCGGCGTCGGAGGCGGTGCCGGTGGGGCCTCGGGAGCGGGTGGCTCCCGCGCTGGCGGCGGCAACAGCGCGAGCCTCGGCGGCGGGGGCTCCGTCGGGGCCGGGGGCGGGCCTGTCGGGTCCGGCCTCGGCGACGTCCGCACGGACCCGGCACCCATGTGCCTGGCCATCCACTGGATGGCGGCCGCCGCGGAGGGCGGTGATAGTATCGCCAAGAACTTTATGGCGCAGCAGGACGAGGCCTTTGGCCGAGGCTGAGTGGGTTATCGTTGATTGTTGGTGATGTCTTGGCGTGCAATGCCTTTGGGGTGTGTTTTGGCCTGGGCTTACTGGCCTTTTGGAGCACCGCCAACTTCTCGGTGTGTCTGTTTTGTTTCTCCTCCCCTGTTGTTTATCCCGTTTGATACTGTCCCCTCTTTTGTTTTCGTCCTCGGCAGCATTTTCCATGTTCCGTCTTTTTTCTGTCTCCAGCAATATCTTTCTCTGTCCTGTCCAAGCAAACGTATACCCAAAGCACTTTGCATTTGAACGCTAGTTAGTATATGTTTTACGAAAACATCGTCGTGCGCCTCCCCACTTGTTAGTTGTTTTTGTTTAGCCCTGTTCGCTTACACGATAGTGAATCTCCCTTGCCTCCGCCTCTACTTATTCCGTCCGTCCCTGTCTTGCAATAACTCGATTCACCTTTCTCTGCCTTTTTTTTCCCTGTTGCATTTGATTGATACTGGTTTCGCAAGCAAGGGCTGGGTTTCATGTTAAAGTGGTGGATATACCAAGGCGCGAGTTTGGATTTGGAAGTGTGTATCATGGAGACTGTTTGTATTCATTCACCATACTTGTAGATGTTGTGGTTAGATACCTGTTTGTGTTGGACGGATGCTTCAGGGGTCATCAAGCGTTGCTTTTCCATACAACTGGCTGATATACATGGATATCCAATTATGAAGGTTGATGTGGTAGTTCTTTGTCTGTTTTTTTTTCTTTTTGCCTCGGTGGTAATTCGGGTGTGAACGCATCCATTCTCTCCAGGCTGCATGTCAATCTGCCAAGCCCATCAGTCCCCACTGTCCCCTCGTCCGCGCCCCACCGAGAGCGGTATTGCCATCCATCACCGCCAAAAAATCGCGTTTTGCCTGGTCTTTGCAGAGCTTTCGCATCAAAGATGCTCACCAGCCTTGGACAGCCAATTCCAATTCCCATTCTGCATAGCCTCAATCTTTTCCAGCACTGCAAGGAACGAGACTTACGGCAATATGGCAGGCTTCACAGGAAAAAAGAGGTCAAGAGACGAGAAGCCCAGGCTGCCCAAGGGCCGGCCGGCCAAGAAACCGAGGAAGCAGCGCGAGTACCACAGCTCCTCCGAGGACGACGAGGAGGAGGAGGGGCCCGGGGGTGGCCAGGACTTCGCGGCGGTGAACCTCCTCGACTCGGACGCGGAGGACCTGGACAACATGGCCGTCGACGACGGGGAGTCCTCGGGCGGGGACGATTCCTCCTCGGACGGGGAGGGCTCGAGCAGGGAAGAAGGCGCAAGAGTGAGGAGTAAAGCCACAAAGCCGACAAAGACGCAAGCGGCAAAGAAGGCGCAGGCGAGGAAAGCCAAGAGCGGCGGGGGCGACGGCGACAGCGAAGGCGACTCGGACGGCGGCAACAACAACAACAACGACAACAATAACGACAATACCGACGACGACCCGGAAGGCGCCTCGGACTCGGACTCGGACGGCTCAGGCGCGGCGGCGGCGGCGGGCAGCAGGCGCGGCGGTGGCGGCGGCAAGAAGCAGTCGAAGCGCAACGACCCGGCGGCGTTCGCAACGTCCATGTCCAAGATCCTGTCGACCAAGCTGAGCACCTCGCGGCGGGCGGACCCGGTGCTGGCGCGCAGCGCCGAGGCGCACGAGGCGGCGCGGCTGGCCGTCGACTCGGCGCTCGAGGCCAAGGCGCATCGCAAGATGGCGGAGCAGCGGCGCCTCGCGCTCGACAAGGGCCGGGTGCGGGACGTGCTCGTCGCCACCAACAATAACAACGGCGACGGTGGGGTGGAGGAGAAGAAGGATGGTGGGGATGGGGACGAGCGGCGACAGGCGACGGCGACGGCGACGACGACGACGTCGGAGATGCTCGAGGCCGAAAAGAGGCTGCGCAAGGTGGCGCAGAGGGGTGTCATCAAGCTGTTCAACGCCGTGCGGGCGACGCAGGTCAAGGCGGCCGACGCGCAGCGCGCGGTGCGGGCGGATGGCGTCGTGGGCATGAACAGGCGCGAGGAGAAGGTGACGGAGATGACCAAGAAGGGCTTCCTGGACCTCATCGCCGCTGGGGGCGGTGGGCTCAAGAAGGGGCCGCTGGAGGAGGCATGAAGGCCTCGAGGATCCTTCTTTTTTCATGAACTCACCGGCTCATCGAGTCGCTCAATGCCATAATGTCTTGTAGAGCCGAATAAGAGCAGAGACTGTTGGCCTCAATTCCGCGAGCCCGTTATGCAGGGCCGTGCGGTCATATTCTATGTATATGACACAGCGACGCCGTCTACGGCCATGTCCAGAACCAGCCCATACCTACTTTTTTCCTTTCCCGGAATTACCCGCTGAATGCTTGATGGTATCGTGAAGTACAAATCCAGCCATTGGGCACTCCCGGCCCCTCCTGGCCTAGATTAGAAGAACAGTGAGAAGCCCCCTTCTCTCCCTCCTATTTAACCACCCTCCCACTTTGGGCCAGGTGTCGCTATTTGAAATCGCTCGCCTGCAGATTCCTCGTCATCGAGGGCAGCCGGACCCTCAGGCCGTCCAGCTCCTTGGTCATGGTTACCTGGCAGCCGAGCCGGCTCGTCTCGGTCAGGCCAAAGGCCAGGTCGAGCATGTCGTTCTCGTCGTCCTCGGGCTCGGGCATCTTGTCGTAGTAGGCGTCGTCCAGCACTATGACGTGGCAGGTCGAGCAGGCACAGGAGCCGCCGCAAGCCCCTGGATGCGATTCACCTATCAGTCAGCATTCTGGCCTGGTTTGCTTCTTGCGCGGGAAGAGAGGGAGGGAGGGGGATGCCTGGGCTGGGGCAGGGGGGGGCGCATTACCCTCCATCTCAAGGTCGTGCGCTTGCGCAATGTCGAGCAGGTTGTCCCCCTTGGACACGGCGAGCTTGACCTCCTGGCCCTCCTTGTCTATGAATGTCACCCACAGTCTGCGCAGTTTCCCCCGAGCTGTGGTCAGCTGAAAATCAAACAATGTGGATAGCTAGGCGAGGAGCTATTAGGGCAACTGCATACTCTTCGCCAGGCTTCGGCGGGGTGACGTGACCGTGCAACCGGGGGCTTGTCGTCGAGAGGAGCCGTGCCGGGGTGGAGGTAGATATCCTAGATTTCCCACCATGGGAGGCGCGAGGTCGAATTCGGCCGGAGCTGCTGCTGCCGCTGCTGTTGCTGCTGCTGCTGCTTGTGCGAAATGTGCGAAATGTTCGGGTGAGGGGAGAGGCGCGCGAGGCCGAGGCTCTTGCCAGAGGACCTCGCGAACCCCGTAAGCATTGTGCGAAGAGGCTCGGGGTGGACATGGTGAGGCCGACGAAGGTTGGCGGCAACTTCGGGGAAGAGGAAGGAGCTAAAAAAAAAAAAAAAAATTATTGAAAAAAATCACGGTCACACAGCAGCTATCCGAGCTCGGGATCGGAGCGCAACGGATCAGACAGAGCGGGCAGGAGGGCACTAGAGGACCAGGGGTGCCTCGGACCAAAGATGCAGTCTTTGGTCTTCAACTGGATTCTCAACGTCGCGCCTCTCAACTCAGATCCGAGAGCTGTGCCAGCACCGGCGCTGGAAATAAGCTTGACATCACTGGCCCTGAGATTTTTCCTTGTTGGAGTCGACAACCCCCCCTCCAGCGGGCCTAGGCGCCCCCTGTTTAAGAGCTCGCGTGCTCTGTGCCAGCTGAAAATGGACCCTGGGCGTGGCCAAGGTACTCTACCGGGCAGCTCCAGCGGGGGGAGGGGCTGCGAGGCTGCTATCTCCGATGTTGCCGCTCACCGTCTGTGTGGTGCTGGGGTCTTATTGGTGGGGGTGTCCAATCAGCTCGTGCCAATCAGCGGGGATGGCGAACTTACTGGCCGAAGAATTTCATCGGCTGCACCAACAAATGGGGGCTGCGTCCAGCCCAAGCCCGAACTTGCTTGATCTCGACCCAACCTGCTACAAGCATCTCACTCCCACACCAGCCTGCCCAGCCCAGCCATGAGCCTGGCCGCCTCGCAACACCATCATGGCGAGTCATAGCAGAGACGGCGGCGTCAACCCGCTCCGCCCTTACTACATCCCGCCCTCCATCGGCGCCCCGGCCGGCGACCACCCCCATCACCACCACCACCACCAGGCCGCCACGCCCAGCCCCAGCCCAAAACCCCTCTCGCACCATGGCGGCGGCAACGCGACGGGCGCCCACTACGCGTCCAAGGCCCGCGACATGTTTGCCGACATCGACTACAAGGAGTACGTCTCGGAGCCGTCGCCCTCGGCCGTGCGGGCGCTGAAGGAGCTGCTGGATGAGTCGCTGTGGAAGTACATGTCGGTCCTGATGGCCCAGCCCTTTGAGGTCTCGAGGACGATCCTGCAAGTCCGAAGCCAGTACGGCGTCGAGCCTCCGCCCATCGAGCTGCCCGAGACCAAGCGGCCGACGGTGCCGTCCCTGCCTAACGAGGTATGTGATTTTGCCGCGTGGCCTCGTGCACCGTGATGCGTGATGCGTGATGACCCTCGCTGACCTGGTCGTCACCCAACTCGCAGTGGGCCGCGGACACGGACTCCGAGAATGAGGAGACAAACTACTTCACATCCAACATACCCGACACGCCCACCCCCTCACAGCGAGGCGGCTCGTACCGGCAGAAGGCGAGCCCGACCCTCGAGCCACAGGACGCCGCCGCAAGGACGCCGGCGGCTCAGGGTAACACGGCCGGTCCCGGCCAGCTCCAGATCAACAAGCCAGACTCGGTCCTCGAGGTCCTGGCGCAGCTCTGGCAGAAGGAGGGCACGTGGGGGATATGGAAGGCCTCCAACGCCACTTTTGTCTACTCGGCGCTGCAGTCGCTGCTGGAGAACTGGTCGCGCAGCCTCCTGTGCGCCCTCTTCAACGTGCCCGACCTCGGGGTCAAGGACGATGTCACACGCCTGGTCGACATCGCGTCCCCCTACCCGTGGGCGTCGTTTTTCATCGCCGCTGGCGCCGCCGTCGCCACGGGCCTGATTCTCGCCCCGCTGGACCTGGTCCGGACGAGGTAAATGCTGCCCCTCCCAATCACATGCCAAGCGGCAGGGGTCTGCCCTTTTGGCACGTTTGACATGATCACTGACAGGGCTCTCCTCACGACACGACCAGGCTCATACTGACTTCGGTCTCGCGGCAACCCCGCCGGTCGGTCGAGATGGTGCGCAACCTGCCGTCGTACTTTTGCCCGCCGGTGCTCATGATCCCGACGATGCTGCACTCGCTGGTGCACCCCGTCCTCACGCTCTCCACGCCCGTGATGCTCCGCGCCCGCTTCGGCATCGACCGCGAGTCGTCGCCCACCTCGTTCAGCCTGAGCAAGTTCTGCTCCTCCAACGTGGCGCTCTTCGTCAAGCTGCCGCTCGAGACGGTCCTGCGCCGCGGCCAGGCCTCGGTCCTCGCCGAGGCCGAGCACGTGCACGCACTCGACTCGGGCGCCACCGCGCTCGACACCATCATCCCCTGCGGGAGGTACGAGGGCGTGCTGGGCACGATGCGCCACATCGTGTCCAGCGAGGGGACGAGGGTGGTCACGCCGCCGGCACCCCGCGCGGCCGCACCTGCGAAGGGCAAGTCTGCTAAGAAGGGCAAGGCAAAGGCCACTACGGCCCCCGAGCCTGTGGTCATTAGGGGCCAGGGCATGGAGGGCCTCTGGAGGGGCTGGAAGGTCAGCTGGTGGGGTCTGGTCGGACTGTGGACTGCCGGGCTCGTCGGCGGCGGCGGCGACGGGGAGTTTTAAAAAAGTGCGGTGCAGGATGATAAGACGTGGAGCGTGTATGAGACGATGAATTGGGACTCTCCATTTACTCGTCGTCTTGATCTTTAGGGCATTTTGGGTGGTGGTTTTTTTTCTTTTCTTTTTCCTTACGGTTGCCACGGACGGACACTTCTCTCTCTCCTCATGACGGTATGATATCCCCAAACAACAAAAAGCTTTCACGTGTACTGCGAGTATCACACTTGACTATCATGCATATTTTTGCGCCTGCTTTCGACCTAGATAATTTAGACAGCTCGGTTGATTATGCGCTATCGATCGGGTTGGGTGTCATGCTTGGCATATATCACTATGGCGCTATACCCGATATTAGGAAGCGGGAGATTCTCGGAGAGACTCTGCCAAACAGGCAGCAAGTAGTGTAGTATCCGACCACCCAATTTTTTTTTTCCTTTTCACAGCGCCTGTACACCCACACACTCAAGCAAGTTGCTGCGTGTATGTATGCTGCCTGCCAATTACCCCAGCCCAGTCAGCCGCTTGTCTGCCTACCGAGTGCGTGGGGGCCAGCAGGGCGGTGGCTGCATCAACCCCTAGGCGAGCCGAGGTCCAGCAGAGGTGGCAGACATCCGCGGCAAGCTATATATGCTGCTCTGGGGCCCAATTGATACAGGATGGTTGTTCGGCTGTTGATTTTGTGCTTTTTCTTCTTTTTCCTTTTGATCCCTGCCTACGTTGACAACGAATCCCATATCAAAAAAAAAAAAAAAAAAAATTAAATTTAACGACCCGTTCCCATCCACCTACAATAAACTTGCAGGCGCAGCGGCTCGTCCAGGTCAGCACCGCATCCGACCGAGTGTATATAAGTCGCCCAGCCCGCCCGAAATGGCCGTGCAGGCCCCCGTTGAGCCCTTGATATCTGTCATCGCGGCTCCGGAGCATGGGCCCGATGTGTTTACGAACGAGAAGTGAGTGTTTATTTGTCTTTTTTTTTCTTCTTCTTAATCCCGTTCCCTGCACTGTACATCCCGCCAATGCAGACACACCCACACACAGCACCCGAACTAACCTCACACCCCCTCCCCCTCAGCATCCCCTGGACCCCCGGCCAGGGCTTCCGCGGCATCTTCGGCGGCTTCCTGCTGGGCCACGCGGTGCGGGCGGCGCAGCTGAGCGCCGACGCGTCGCAGGCGGTGCACTCGCTGCAGGCCACGTTCGTGCGGCCGGGGCAGGCCTCGCCGCGGTTCCTGTACCGCGTCGAGCGCGCGGGCGACGGCCGCACCTTTTGCACGCGCGTCGTGCGCGCCGAGCAGGGCGGCCGGTGCGTCCTCGTCGCCACCATCGGCCTGCACAGGCCGCCGGATCCGTCGTCCCTGCCTAGTGGTGGTGGTGGTGGTGGCGGCGGTGGTGCTGCTGCTGCTGCCCCTCCTCCCACGTCGCCGGATAGCAGCAGCAGCAGCAGCAGCGGAGTAAAAGACCTCGAGGACACCATCGCCCCGCCGCCGATGGACGGGCTCGCGCCGCTCGACATACCGTCGACGTCAAGCAGCGCGCTGCTGGCCCTGGTCGGCCTGCAGAACCCGGCCGTGGACTCGGCGCTGCACCCCTTTGAGTGGCGCCACATCCTGCCGCCGCCGGCAGCACAACGCCAAACCAAGCGCGGAAAGCCGTCCGACTTCCGGCTGCGCAGCTACGTGCGGTCCGCCGCCCCGCTCTCGGCCGACGCCGCCACCCCGGCGCACCACCTGGCGGCTCTCGCGTTCCTGACGGACGAGCTGCTGATCACGACGGTCAACCTGGCGCACCCGGAGGAGGAGGAGCAGCCGCGGCAGGTGGAGGAGGGCCAGAAAAAGAGGAGGAGGAGGAGGTCGCGGTTCTCGGTGCAGACGAGCCTGAATCACTCGGTCCTGTTCCACGACCCGGCGGCGCGGGCCGACGAGTGGATGGTGTCAGAGCGCAGCACCAGCTGGGCCGCCGACGGGCGCGTGCTGGTGGAGCAGCGGTTCTGGGGGAAGGACTCGGGCCGCCTGGTGCTGTCGTGCTGGCAGGAGGGGTTGGTGCGGGTAAACAGGTCGAATCTGTAAGGAGGTTTGGGGTTGATATAGATGGCTCGCAGTCACGAGTCTCGACGGCGAGCAAGGATTACTTATACAAAAATTAAAGTTTAAAGCGGGAGAGCCCGAAATCTAATATACATCGGATGAGCTCTTACTTACTTACCAAGTAACGACGAATTAAACAATTCCCCAAGAAAAAGAAGCCAAAAAAAAGTTACCGAAATACCAGCGACTCAGCAACCTAAACAGCAAAAGTAAATGCCCACTGTCAGAATCGAACTGACGATCTTATCATATTACCAAGCAGGTCTCAGGAGCGGATCCCAAGCGCCGTACTAGTGATACGCTTTACCACTAAGCCAAGCGGGCTATTGGATGGTTGTTGGCGGTGGGACTGGGGGCTCTTATATGGAGCATGTGGAGCGAGCTGTGTGACCACGACTTCGGCCCCATAACACGAATGCTTGACATCAACAAGATAGCACTGTCTTAAAATGTTACTATAAAAGACGCAGCGGGAGGCCCGAGGAAACGCAGGCGTTCCTTGCTCAATGGGGTTGGGTGGGGGTATCGAAGGATGATATGTACAGCGTTAAAATGAAGTGGAAGATGGGTAAACAAGTGTAGGCAATAAAACCCCGCTGCTGTAAACAAACAAACGCTAAAAAGAAGCCGTCGTCATATGCCCTGTCCTGTAATTACGAACTATTTTTTGTCCCGTTCCTGCTCTCTCCTCAAGCGCCTTCCCCAACGCAACATGGTAGACTACTCGAGCTTCACGGCGGTGTCGTAGGTCCACGTCACGGGATCGTTCTTGTCCGCGTTGAAGGTGTGGAACGAGTTGCCGTCGCGGGCGAGTGCGTAGATCTTGAGGTCGTTTGAGACCGAGACGGCGGCGAAGCTCTTGCCAACGTCGGCGGGCGTGTTGCGGAACACGGGCTCGATGGGCAGCCGCCACGTGTTGCTGTTCCAGTGCATGGCCTGCACGGTGCCGTCGGCGGCGCGGAGCAGGACGAAGAGGAAGCGTGCGGCCGAGTTCTTGTAAAACGACGTGGCGTATAGCTGCACCGGCTTGTCCACCGGCATGTTGGTGACCAGTTTTGTTTGGGCTGCGGATCGTGGCAGATATAGTTAGCATTTTGCCCCGTTCTATCCAACAGCCTTGGGGGAAAACGTACTAATGGTATAATAGGATGTCCACTCCCTCGAAACCTCCGTTAGGTTCTGCGACACCGAATCTTGATAATAAAGCTTGATGTTTTGTTGCGCCGTGTTGTTGGGGTTGTTATCCATGGCCGACGTGAGGGCGATGCCGGAGCCGGGGATGATGTCGACCACGATCCTGGTGGTGGCGTTCTTGACGGCCTGGCTGGAGCTGTCGGTCAGGCCGGGCCACAGCCACGCGCTCTTGTGATCCTCCGTCTCGTAGTTGAGCGCGACGAGGCCGGAGCACGCGCTCGTCTCGCACACGTCCCATTGCGCCGCCAGCTGGGACGCCCTGGCCGCCGTGACGGGGTGCGTGACCTTTGACCAGCTGGCGCCGCGGGGGTCCGTAGTGCGCAGCTCCTGGATCACGTTGGAGGCGGACAGGAAGAAGACGGAGACGGCGTGGCGCTGGTTCTGCCCTAGCCTGGGCCGCACGGCGGCGGCGATGGGCGTCCCCGGCAGGGCCTCGACGGCCTTGGAGTCGGCCAGCTTGGAGTTGACGCTGATGACCTTCCAGCCGTCCGTCTGCGCAGACGAGTCCCATAGCGAGTACACGAGGTTGCTGCTGTCGTTCCGGGGCTGCCAGAACACCATACGGTAGTCCGTCGTGCCTACCGTGTAGTTGACGGCCGCCATCGCCGGCGAGCCGAGGGCGATGCCCGTGGTGTTGGTGTTGGGCTGCGGCGAGGATCCTCCGCCGCCTCCTCCGCCGCCTCCTCCGTTGCCGCCGCTGTCGCCACCGCCGGTGCTGTTGCCGCTGTTGCTGCTGTTGCGAGCCGCAAGGGTGCCCCCTACACCACCACCGACGGCGGCGGCGATGATCAAGAAGAGCACGACAGCCCCTATTATCCACATCTTCTTCCTGCTCATCGTGACCGTCTTCTTGGGCTCGTCCGCGGGCGTGCCAATATCATGTTCGGCCTGTACTGGATACAGGCCGCCGTCGGCGGACTTGGCGTTCGGATTGGGAGATGCCTGGCCGACGACGGTGGGGGACTGATCCGAAGACAGGCCATACGGCGCCTTGTTGAGCGCGTAGAAGCCGGCGGGCTCGGGGGCCGACTCGTAGTAGACCTGCGGGGCGGAGCTGGCATGCGTGTCCGGCGCGACCTCCAAGGTGCTGTAGTCGGGCTGCTGTGGCGGCGGCGACTGGGCATATCGCTGTTCCTGCTGCGTCTGTGGTAGTAACGGTTGCGCCTGAGCCTGGGGCCCGGGCCCGGGCGACCTCGCGCTCCCTTCCATCGCCAAAAGATGATACCGTGTACCAAGCCCGACTCTCCTCCAGGCAGATGAGGGCTTGGGACGAGAAGGCTTTCTCCACCAAGAGACGTGCCCAGGCGGAAGCGGTCGAGGAGGGCGGTTGGCTGTCCGGAGCTGCAAGAGTTTGGGGAAGCGGGCAGAGGAGACTCGAAGAAGGAAACGGGAGCAAGCGCAGCAGCGCGGGTGGAGCGTGAAAAGATGGAAGCCTAAGGTCTTGACAGGGGGCCAGAAGAACGGACAGGTCTCAACCCCAGGACTGGGCAGCCGTCCGCATGGGAAATCTCGAGCGGTGGGGGGGGGGGGGTGCGCGGAGGATCGAGCCGCCCCAGCCAAGCCTTGAAGGGCGAGCACCTACTGGGTAGCGGTGCACGGTTGCTGATGCTACCGAAGATGCGAGCTCGATTCCGAGGGGGCCAGGGGTGGCCCTGTTTCACAGCACCGGGCGGCTCATATCATATGCATCTGCGCTCCAAGGCTTAGTTAAACGGTGCGGTTGACGTCGTTTCCGCCGGCGGTGTAGCAGGCACTGCCTACGCTGAGCCTGCCAGCGAGAAAGCCAGCCATCGGTATTGCATATCGTACAGACGTTTTCTTGTTTTGGCCGTTCGCGTGTCGAAGCCAACCCCTCGACGGGTTAGGGGTGGGCTTCTCCCCCTCACGACATGGGCCGCCCCTCCCAGGGCAGACAGGGATTCCGATCCACTCATCACGGAACGCGACAGAGGCGGGCAAGATCCCTACCACGAATTGGGATGGGGGTGGGCATGGTGGCATGGCCCGTGGGGCTGTGATTGATTGCATCTTGGACTAGGCAGCCGCCCAATTGTCGACTGTTGAAAAACCGTTGCTGCGCCTCGAGCGAGCACGGAAAACCGCTGGGCCGAAAGGAGGTTATTTCTAGTCTAGCGCTAGCGCTAGCGCACCGGTGGAGCCTCCAGCCACTGTCAGCAAGACGCTGGCCACTAGAAGGGCGCGGAGCCAGGATAGCCTCGGACAGCGCAATGCAGGTAAGACGGCTTTGATGCTCAACAGCGCCAATCGTTGCCGCTCGTGTCAACCCCTTGTTTGCCGCTGGAGACGATAGGCGGGGGAACTGAACCGGACTCGCAGAAGAGAAACAGGCGCGCTTCTATGGCCCCCGAATCCTTCAAGAGAGACGCCGAGACACAGCTGCGACGCTCTGGAAGCAGGTGTCCTCAGCCGCACAGCAGAATGTCGGGCGTTTGATCCTTCACATATACCTAGATAGGTATACCTAGATAGGTACCTCGGTGTCTGCCTGTCTTTCCATGACGTGTGTATCTAGGTACACGGCTTCCTCCAGTGCCATTGCAAAGACAGCCGCCCACGCTCAAACACACTGAGCATAGTACGGGTTGAGAGTCGAGCAAGCCCCTTGGGCGCACGCCGTCGGTCCGTTCCAGCCGCTACCACCGCACTGCCCCCAGCGAGTCTGTCCACCTCCGCCACCACCACCACCGCCACCGCCACCGCCGCCGTTCCCGGGCGCCGTGGTTGTCTGCGGGGGCTGCTGTCCACCGCCGCCACCGCCGTTGCCGCCGCCCGGCGCCGATGTCGGGCCGGGGTTCCCACCCCCTCCTCCTCCTCCTCCTCCTCCACCACCCCCGGGGAGGAACGGGGAGCTCGTGGCCGTGGCGCGCGTGCTGACCTGCGCCACCGTGCTCGGCACCCCGGGGATGAGCGCCGGGCCCGGCACGGGGTAGACAATGGGCGAGTTGTACAGCGGGAAGTGGATGCCCGGGTCGCCGGCCCGGTACAGCGACGTGCCGGCCACGCCCGCGGGCTGCCTGGACCCGGACCCCGAGATCTCGAGGTTGAAGCACTGCGGGTAGGCCTGCGCGCCGTTTGGGTTGGGCGACCCGTGCAGCGCAATGATCTCGTGCCGCAGCACGTAGTTGCCCGGCGCCACGTCCTCGGGGATCTGCACCACCCACGAGAAGCCGTTGCCGAGCAGCACGTCGGCCGCCCAGTGGCCGGGGGCCGCGCCCGAGATGTACGACCCCTCGCCGATCTTGAAGAAGCGCAGGGCCGTCTTGTCGACCGTCTCGCAGTCCCCCGGGCACCGCGCCAGGTAGTCGAGGACGGGCCCCTTGTGCGACTCGGGCCAAGTGTCCCACTGCAGCAGGATCTTGTCGCCCGCCCGCACGCGCGCGTGGCCCTTTGCCGGCTGCGCCCCGCGGTGGCAGATGATGTCCGGGTGGCCAAAGTTGTTGGGCTCGACGAAGCCGTTGTCCGTGTTTGTGGCCGACCACCCCACCACCGTGGGCGCGTTGGGCTGCCATGGGTACTTGGTCACGTCGTATCCGGGGTAGAAGACCCCGTTGACCACGATATTGCTGACGTGCCCGTGCGCCAGCACCGTCGCCGCCGAGCCCAGCGCCGACACGAGCGCGCGCGACTTGAAGCCCATGGCCGACGTGGTTGGTCGCTTCGACAGATGAGGTAGTAGGTATGTGGTTCGTAAGTGATCCAAGGCTCGAGGCTTCTCTCTCGCCACCGATCACGATGTCCGCTGGAGGGTTTCCCTGTCGATCCTCTGATGTGTCCAAAGGCTTCCGGGTTGCTCTCTGGCCAACAGGGCAAACAACATGGGCCATCTATCAATATATACACCCAGAGCCGTACGCCCGGGACCGCTCATATCCCTTCGCCTTCCTCTGTAGCATTCCGTGTGCCAACCGTATCACATCAGGCTTTGCAGCGCTCGCGCCTTGTGTTATCACATTCCCGGAGCGGGGTCAATGCATCGTGGCGTGTACCATCCATCGACAGCGCCATGCCGACACCGAGCCTCAATATTTGCACGCTCAACCAACGCTATCGACATCTCGAGCCCCGTCCTCGAGTCACCAGAGCCACGCGTGGACGCAAAAAAAAACAGGCTTACAGCTGCTGTATCCGGTGAATGGGACAAGCTCTCCCGCCTGGGCGACGTCTTTATGGGGTTGGCGCCGGCTGCCTACCAAACTTGGGTGCCATCTGGTTGATGGAAGCACATGCGCTCCCTGGCACCGCATCTTTGGGGAGCGCCATGCTACATGACGGGGGAATAGTCTCGCGTGTCGACAGGGGGGTTGGGCAACGGCGAGCTCCCGGTGCGCCAATGACAGCCGCCTCGCGGGCCTCCTTGGCATTCCAAAGGTTTGCCCTCAAGACCGCCCCTCTGCCGCAGCAAATGATAATGCCCATGCTGGGCCCCCGGGTGACGAGTGCCAGCTGCGCATTCGATGAGACTCCCCGCATCATATGGTGTGTCGTTGTGTTGGGGTAGGAGGAGAAGTGTGGAGTCGAGGGGGGGGGCGAGAAGAGGAAATCGCGGTCCCTGAAGCTCCGAGAAGGGGTCGTCTTGGCATGCTGGGCACCTGCCCGCGAGGGTGTGAACTGGAAGCGAGCAGCGCCGGTGCGGTTTGTAGGGTACCTAGGTAGTATTCGGGAGAGCCGCCATTGCACATAAAAATGTCCGCCCACGTTTATGTTTCCGCTTTCCATGTCACATGTTAGTGCATCTTTATTGTCCGATGGCAACCGGCCCTTGACTTCTTGTACGGTAGCACTGATTATTGGTAATCACCTTCTGACTAAACGCTCCTGTCAGCACGAACCTGGCGTGCCTGGGTGGTCAAGGCCACTAATGAGAGCCACTTATTGGCGGCCTTACCTATGACCCCAAGATTAATCATCCGCCAAGGAGGAGATGCCTAGTTTCCACTTAGTTCAATGGGTAGCAGACAGTGGCGGTGTCAAAGAAGGCCGAGTATAAGAGGTACCCCGAGTCGTAGTATTCCTTGTTCTTGTCAATCTCGGTGCTGTAAACAAAGGGCGAAGGTCTAGAGAGACGAACCGATAGCAATACAGCAACCCCAAACCCTCTAAACTGCACCTACTACAGCCATGGCGCGGCCCTCATATCACGTCTACCCTGGCTACGCCGCCGGGCTGAGCGAAGGCTTCAACTATAGCCAGTCCGTCCGTGTTGGCGATCGAATCGAAGCCTCCGGCCAAGGTATGTGTGGTGACCTCTGAGCGCTCCAAAAAAATAAAAAATCGACGCGCCGTTCCGGCTAACCGCCAAACGTTTCCACAAAAGGCGGATGGGACCGCGAGACGGGCAAGATCCCAGAGGACGCGTTGGAGGAGATAAACCAGGCCTTCTCGAACCTGGACGTGGCCCTCAAGGACGCCGGCGGCAATGGGCTCTCGCAGGTCTACAGGCTGAACCTGTACATCACCGACATGGCCACGCTTTTGGAGCCCGCGGGAGAGGCCATGCGGAAATGGTTTCCCAACCACCGACCCCTCCTAACCGCCGTCGGGGTAGCCTCGCTGGCTCTGCCCGGCATGCGGGTTGAAATCGAGGCTGTTGCGCTGGATCTCGAAGGTGATAAGGCAAATGAGGGTTAAAGTGAAGGGAGTTTGATAACTACATCTGTCGTATGCAAAAGGGGGCTTCGGGACAAAAAAAAACGCGTTCAGCAAAAGCATTATTAGATGGGTTGCGTGTGCCCGGACTCGAACCGGGAGCCCATCGATGGCAACGATGGATTTTACCCTTAAACCACACACGCTTCTCGATAATGCTTGATGTGTGACTGGGAGCGGGTCTAAACATATCAGGGAGACAGGCAGAACGTGACCAAGGTTGTGGGGCATGCCACCGTCTATTGCTGGCTATCGCGTGGGGTCATCCTTGGCTTCAACAGCGCCGGTGACTATAAGGAATCGCCCAGGATCCATCGTATTCTTGCTGCTTGTGTGCATCCGGATGGTTGTCCATATATCCAGTCATTAACTTGGTGTTCTGTGTTCCTTTATATAAACTCCGTACCAAACAACACATTTATCCGTTTAAATCGTCGAGATGGTCAACCACGGATGGGAAATGGAAATTGTGCATGATCGTTGGGTGGTGCGGATCCCGGCGATCAAGGCACGTGCGTGGAGTCACCTTAGGTTTTAGGCTTCTTGCGCACCAATCCGGCGCCAGGTACGTTGGCGACCGAAGGATCAGAAGCAGAGGCGTTGGCATCATTCGTTGCATCTGAAGACGCTCCCGGAGCGGGCGTCTCCACATCATCGTCAGGCTTGCGTTTCTTCCGGATCAGACCTGCCCCCAGCACGTTGATGGCAGGCGTCGAGTTCGCCGGCATGGACAAGGAGCCATCCTGAGAGTCATCACTGCCTACCGGCTTCTTTCTCTTGATCAGGCCGGAGAGGTTGCTCACGGTCGGTTGCGTGATACCGTTTCCGGACGCCGACGAAGCGGGCAACGGCCTGGCGCCGACCACGTCAAGGCCCCAGGCTGAGCCCAGGCCAACCTCGTTGATCCATCGCCTAGTGCTACCGATGGCTAGCTCTAGGTTAGCAAAGTCTAAGCGGAGCAGAAGTTCAAGCGAGCGCTTGTAACCGTCTTCTTTGACCAGTCGGCGGCCCCGACCCTCGGCTGGCCAGTAGTAGTATGCGGTTGTGACGGGACGGTTGGTAAGGTAGTTGCGCTGGCTAGTTTTGACGCGCGGCTGGCGAGAAACGATGGGGCCCGTGAGCTTCTTCTTTTTCTTTGTGCTCTTCTTCGTCTTGGTAACCACCCGAGGTGGAGCTCCACTATTCGTTTGGGGAGCCTCAAACAGCTTGCGCGGGCTGGCTTGTGGGGGTGTACGCAAGGGTAGGACATGGCTTTGCACGCGAGATGGCGTGGTGGGAGGCAATGGAAGTGAGGGGTTGGATGACCCATTGGCCGCCATCAGGGCGGGCGTGCCGGCCTCAGAGGAGGCGGCCACAGCAACAGCCTGGGCCGCGGCTGCGCCTGGAGCGGGTCGCCTGTTGGCCTCGGTGGGATCCATCACAACCCAGATGAAGCCGGTGAGCGCGCCCATAGAGCACTCCTGCCGGTATGCCATCAACTCCCAGAACTGGTCCAGGTTCTGTATGCTCTTCCAGGCGCCGTTGCGACCCTTGCCACAGTCGGCTTCGATATCGAGCTCATCGCGGAAGCGAGATTTGGGATCGTCTGGGTAGTGTGCAATGAGACACCGCGGCGGCACCCAGTCGTACTCGTATGTGTAGTGTGATATGCGCTCCAGAGGGTGACCGAGCACCCAGCCTGTGCGAGTTGCGTTGTCCGTCGGCGAGCGAGGAATAAAGGCGCGGGTTTCGTATGTGTCCAGGCCAGGCACAAGAAGGTAGCCCTTGACGCTCTTCCACGCGCCCTTGTGCGCCGTGTCGCGGTCTGCACCGTCAAGCAGCGGGGTAAGAGCCTTGCACCACCATTTTACCAGCCCCCGGTCCGTGAGCACATGCTTCCCTTTGTACTCGACGCTCCCGGGGAACAGGTACTGGCCCTGCGCACGCGCAAAGAGGCTTACTACCGACTGAATACCCTGCCGCCTTCTCTCATGCACTAGGTAGCCGACAAAGGCCGAGGTGATCTCCCGAATAGGCGAGGGTGTGCCTTTGGGAAGGTCTAGGAGGTGTAGGAACCCAGTCGAGTCGGCTTTGGACACGAAAAAGGTGCTCGAGTAAGCCGTGGTGTATACGAGAACTTCGAGACCGAGAACCAAGACCTCTCTAACGGGACCGGCGGCCCCATCCACCGTCGGATCTGTTGGAGCCGGGTCCTGGGGCGGTGTCGGGATGGCGATGGCGAGGAAATGGCTCTCGCTGTAGGTTCGGTCGGGGCGCGCGTCGGGAGGGGCTGGGAAAAGGGCCTCGGATCGAGACGGCGGAGTTGAGAGATGGTAGGCGCGGAACTTGTAGCCCTGCGGCAGAACCTTGGACAAGCTCTGGAGCAGGCCTAGGCTGCTTTGGTTTTCGGTTGAGATCGGGGTCGCCGCTGGGGCCTCCATTACTGCGATGCGAGCGAAGAGCAATCAAGGAGGCGCTGGTTGCTATGTTGGGAACGGTCAGCTAGCAGATGGAATTATGCTCCATGACAGAGAGAAGATATCGGGAGAAGGGTAGGGTAATTGTCATGGTGGTGTGGAAGAGAGGAAGAGGCTGGGGCGGCGTTGGGGCGGCGTTTCCAGGGCTAAATTGAACGAGGGCGAGGGTCGCGACTCAATTCCGATGCTCGTCTTCGTTTGCTACAAAACGGCCCGCCGGGTGAAGTCATACCCAGGCAGTGATTGGCCAATTGACTCTCCGATGTGGGGGGAGGTGGGGGCAGGCGGGACGCTGGCACCACGTGACTTGGCGACTTGACTCTGGGCTATCCAAAATTTTGGCATCGCGAAGCAGCGAGCTCTGTTGGAGAGGGAGAAGGACTCGGAACAGCCGCCGTTCAGTCACCATACATCTCACCATGGCTTTCAGCTCCCCCCGAGCTGGGCTCTCGATATCAAGGCGGGTCTTGCAGCAATGCAAGCCCCCATTGCCTCTTCAGTCCTTCGCCTCCCCCGCCACAAGGTCCTTCTCCAGGTCGCCGGCTCGACAGCAGGAGGCGTCCTTTGAGAACATGGCTGCCGAACCCGCCACGGACGCTGCCGATGCTGTACCAAACGAGCAGGACATGCCCCGGTGGGCAAAAACACCCGATAGGATGAAGGCGCCCTTCTCCCTCGCCATACCAAAGGAGGGGGATGCGGCACCCGCTTGGAAGATCAACGAGGACCCCGCCGTCCTCGACGAATTCTACGAGCGCTTCCTGGGTCGCAATGGTCACAAACTGCTTCCGGAGGAGCTCAAGTGGCTTGCGGTGACGCACAAGAGCTTTGACCAGGGGAGGAGAGGGTTCAACACTAGGCTCGCACATTTTGGTACGACCCCTACTTGGCGACCCTTTGGTGTATAGTTTAGGCAAGGCTGGGCCGAGCTAATAGCTGTTTACTCTATAGGGCGACAGGTATTGGTCCTGGAGGCAGTCAGGTTCATCATGGCCACCCCGGCCGGCCTTTCGGCGCCGGTGGAGGGGGAAGGTGCCGAGCCGGTGCCTGAACCGGCGGCCGAGCTGGAGGCGGATCGCAAACCTTTTGAGCACCCGGCACTGGCCAACATCGATAAGTTGTCGTTTATGCAGCCTCAGACTCTTCTCAGCCAAGGGAAGATCACTAGGCTCGCGTTCAGGATCAGACTGAATGAAGTGGTCAGGTGGCAACCAAGAAATGTAAGTTTTACAGTTCGGCCTGGCATCAGGCTCATTTGCACATAGTCTGGTGAGCCCTACTTACTGATACCTCCTAGGCCCAAGACCTGAAGAACTCGGGCCAAACCATCGTTGTTCACTCGGCTCTCTACGCCATAGTAGGAGCCCTGTCCCTCCAGCATGGCGCTGCCGTTGCTTCCAGGATATGTAGAGACAGGATTTTGTCTCGCCTCGAAATCTAAGAAAAGCAAACGTCTGGCGGGGATGACTGTTTATAATCTGTACAACACGTGGCCATGGTCTCTCGGCTCGGGCCAAATACCCTAACGTGCACATATTTGCAATCTATGGAGTGAGCGTGTAGCCCGCATGAAGCAGCGGCAAATGCCAGAGGTCAATTATATCAGTCTTGATGGCTGATGGGGCCTTGGGGGATCTAAGATTTCGTGAGACCCCTGATGTCACGAACATGTTCAATCCTAGGCCGGAAGACGTGTTATGGCAGCTGCCGCTCAAGCACTCGTCGGTGCCTCTAACGACATGACAATTTGAATAGTTTCCCGAAATAAGAAAAATAAAATAAAATAAAAAGTTCAATCCTTGTGCGCCTTGTCTGCTGAGCAAAGATTACCATGCTAACTAGTGTATTGGTAAATGAAACAAAGGTCCCGACCAACCCTGGGCGTCGTCGTTGCGCTCCAGCTCGATTTATGAATAGCCCCTGGGAAGGAAGAGCAGATCCATGATGCGAATCTCCTTGTTCGCCTTGCCCACCCTCAGCCACTGGCCGTCGGGGCTCTTGAAGTGCTTCCCGACCGTCATCTCCCAGCGGCGCAGAAAGTCCTTGTCGGCGCAGTCCTCGAGCACGCAGCGGCCCTGGGACCAGGGCTCGGGCGGGACGCTCCAGACGTACATGAAGAGCACGAGCTCGTCGACGTCGCGGAACACGGTCTTTGCGTACATGGACAGCAGGCCCTGGTGCTTGAAGCAGGCGGCGCTGACGCCCAGGCGGCGCACGCCGCGGCCCGTCGGGTCGGCCGCGCGCACCACGCCGAACAGCGACCGCAGCAGGCTCAGGTCCAGCTCGCCCAGCAGCGCGACCGTGTCCGAGGCCGGGTCCAGGTACAGCCGGTGGTACGCGTCGGCGCCCGGGTCGGCCACCGAGGCGCGTCGGCGGCCCTGTGGTGGGATGGTTAGGGGGATGGTCACCGAGTAGCGGGCGAGGGCCATCTCGCGCGCCTCGACGTTTACCGATAGCGCGGCCGGGTTTGCGCACTGCGAATGCCACTGCGGTGTTGGGATTGTGTTAGTCTCTGGCGGCTGTGGTTACAGAAGCGGCTTTTTGGGGATCAAGTTGAAGAAGGACCAAGAGGAGAGAGGAGACAAGGTGGGCGGACAAAGGAATAACAAAAAAAGAAAGTACGGGAAAAAGAGAAAAAGGCTTTGACTTGCATAAATCTGCCCGCCATGGCGAAAGTCGTCGGCGTAGTGCAGACGGCGCGTGTGCAGCTCGACCACCCGGGGCTCAAACGACAGCTCCCACACGCGGATGCGCAGCTCGGCCGGCAGCAGCGGGAAGAAGCGGAACCCGGCGGGTGGCGGGCCCACGACGGCCCCATCCCCAAGGGCGGGGTCACCACCCTCCACTCCCTGCTCTGGGCTCGCCGCTTCTGGCTCCTCCTCCTCCTCGGGCGGCACCGCGGCTGCTGCTGCGATGGGGTCGCGCCGCGGCGGTGAAGCCGCGTCGGGCGTCGTCGCCGGCGACGGCGGGAGGAGGAGCCCCCCCTCGGAACCGGCGTGCTGTTGCTGCTGCCGCCCGGGCGTCGTCGTCGTCGCCGTGATTGGCTGGTAGTGGTGGTGGTCCCTGACCGCCAGCTTCCCGAGCTGGCAGTCGAGGTCCGCGTCCGGGCTTGCCGGCGGGGTCTGGAGGCCCGTGAACCTCACCGCCCCGGCACCCAGCGGCGGCGGAGGGGTCCTCCCGAGGCTGGAGATACGCAGCGTGCTGCGATGCATGGTGGCGGCGGCGGGTGGGTATAAACCGCCTCGAGATATGGGCGATATGCCCCGGGGGCGGTGGTGGTGGCGGCTCTCACCGACCAAGGTCTGGGGCGGGCACGGGGCGCCTTGGCTCCGCTGACCTTTTGGGGGGAACTAGATGGCCCCGGAAAAGGAAGGGCTCACCGTCGGCCGCCCGCGGTCCTGCTAGCGCCGATCGGGTTCCTGGAATTATGGGTCTCGCCGGCGAGTTGATGGCTCGTTTTAGGCCAAGACGGGGTCGGCGAAGCTTGGTTTTCCTTCCTTTTTTTTTCTGGTGATCGGTGGGCAGACGGGCGATCACGGTCAGAGGACAGGGTGGAGGGTCTGGCTTTTTGGGCAGGAAAGAGAAAACCTGCTGGAGGATAATACCGTCTCGACCGCTGCTTTGCCCACTCGCTGTCCTCTTTTCCCCGCCCAGGTAACGAGAACCCCCGAAAATGGGAGGGGTGCAAGGGTTTATTGGGGTAGGAAGGAGAGGGCGAGTCCACAAAATTTGTCAACTTTTCACCCGTCGGGGGCGTTTCTTGGTCAGACGCCTGCGGAATATGCAAGGCTCGACGCTACGCCCTTCGATGGACATGCGAAAAGGGCGGGACAGTCCATCCGTAAATAAAAAATAAAAAAGCGCATTGACGTCACGACGACAGGGCCCTCGTCAAACAAAACGTGTGCTCCCCTCCGGATCTATCTGACTGCGTTCATCCTGAGTTTGAGGAGAGGCTCGTGGGGGGCGGCGGACAATAAACATGGGACAAAATCAGTGCGCGACCAGAAGCGATGCACAAGGGTGCTACCTGTAATTTTTTCTCGGGAACGGTTTTCATGGTTGAACCCACCCAGTGTGTTGGTATGAGGTTGGACCCTTACCATCTTGGCATCCGCCCCTCGACTCAACATCCCAGCGCGGCACTTGGTCGATCTTTTTTGGAGTGACCGACCAAGGCGGAGGAGAGGGACCGGATGAAACAAACGAAAACGGTGGCTTAACGACGGCCCTTTTGACCCGACCATGGGTCGGCGGTAGGTAGGTATTCAGCAAGTCTTGTTAATGCCTCTGCGCTGCTAGTGATCTGTGCGGCCAAGGTGGGCTATCGCAAAGAAAGATTGACTCGGCGTGGAATCTATTGAATGAAGTGAATTCATACATGGGTGCCTAGGTCGGGGACACCAAACTGCCGTCTCAACTGTATTTTTACTTTCAGTTGCTTTCCTTTGGTGTCACCCAGAATCCTTCAAAATGCTGGCTCGGCTCCAACCCGGCGATGGATCCCGACCTTTCTTCCCACACCAGGGACACCCTGCTTTTAAGGCTCGGTGTAGTTGTCATTGCCGTGCTGGACCCTGACACTGCCTGATGAGCTTTCAGGTTTTCCCTTGTTTCGCCCGTAGGCGACGGGCCGCGCATAGCATTGTCATAGATATATGTGACGGAAAAGCCATTGGCCTCTGCGACAAGTGTTAGATAGATGCAAGACCCCTTATTCTGCAAAGGAGAGCTTGGATCGGAAAACAGAGTTGTATCACTAACCAAAACTATATTTTATAGGAAGCCTACCAAGGGAGAACGTAGCTATTCAGTACCGATTTTCACCAACTCCCTAGCCTATCCCAATCATGAAAGCCCCATTTTATACCTCCAGACACGAGTTCCTACAAGGACACGAGAAGCCACCTAGGCAGATCACCAATCCCCTCGCCCCTCCCAGTTGATCTTCATAGTCGTGGCCAGCGGCGAGAAGGCGCTCTGGTCCGCCGACGTGAAGGTGCGCAGGCCCGACCAGGCCGGGTCGCGGGGCGGCCTGCCCGCCTGGCCGGGCCACTGCGAGGCCGGGTAGCTCCTGATATCGCCGCGGGGGCCGGCGACGCGCCGGAGGCCGTCGAGCTGCAGCAGCACCTTCATGACCGACGACAGGGCGATCTGCGAGATGGGCTCGCCCGCGCACCTATGCGGGCCGAGCCCAAAGTGCACGTACGACTCGAGCGGGCGATCTAGCCGCACCTCCTCCGGGTCTGGGAACGCCGCCGGGTCGTGCGACGCCGTCGTCAGGTCCACGAGCACGCGCGTGCCCGTCGGGAGCTTGAGCGTGCGGGCCGATTCGGCGACTTGCGGGTTGGAGAGAGGGCGCGCAAAGGTCGGGTCGTCCTTGTTGGGGATACAGGGGATGGTGTCGTCGACCGCCTGGTCCGTGGCCACGGCGCGGTACAGGGCCACGCAGCCGCGGATTCGGCAGCCCTCCATGGTGCTGTAGTGCAAAATCAGAGTTAGCAATCATTTAGATGTATGTCTATGCGCCCGCGCATTAGGGAGTCGTAGAGGCAACTTACTACTTGAGCAGCTTCTCGTCGGCCTCGCTCGTGTTCAGCATAGCCAGCCGCTTCATCTCCGGAAGATGCTTCTCGCCAACGCCGAGGTAGTAATCAAGACACTGCGCTAGCAGCTGCGTCTGGTTGGCGGTCCCGGCCATAACGACGGGAAGGATGGTGCCGCTGACCGTCTCCTCGATAGACCTCCCGCCCTGGCTCAACATGCGCTGGAGCAGCTGGTCGCCAAAGCTCCTCAGGCTGGGAGCCGCGTGCGGCACGCCGTTTCCATTCATATGGACGCCGTTTCCATTCGTGTGGACGCCGTTTCCATTCGTGTGGACGCCGTTTCCATTCGCGTGGACGCCGTTCCCATTCGCGTGGACGCCGTTGCCGGTGACCAGGTCCTTTAGCTTCCCGAGCGCGCCCAGGAAGCCGGTGCCGGCCTCCATCTTGCGCACGTGCTCGGCGATCAGCGCACCCATCTTGTCTGCGGCCGCCTTGGACGCCTGGTGCAGCTTGAGTGAGTTACAGACGTCCGAGTCCCAAAAGATGGCCGCGAAGATGGTGACGAGCGAGCGGTAGAGCTCGTGCTCACCGTAGGCGCCCTCCTCTTTGCCCTCCTCCTTGAGCGGGAGAGAGAAGAGCGAGGCCATGAAGCGCGCGTGCGCGAGCCCGATGACGTCGCGTATCACGTCCACCTCGTGGGTGCGCGGCCCGGCGCCGACGCCGTGGACGGGGGCGCCGTGCCGCCGGAGCAGGTCGCGCGTCGTCACCTCGTAGAACCTCCGGACCTCGTCGCGCCACTGCTTGGGCGCCGTGAGAGCGGTAATGACGTGATGCCTACTCGCGGCATTGGCCGGCTCGTCACCAGCCAGCGCGAACGAGGCGGCCGGATCGCCGCCCAGCATCTTGATCGCAGGGCCCCACGTCACCTTGTAGTCCTTCTGGTTCGAGAGCACCTCGAGCACGGCCTTGTGCGAGCGGATGAACTGGATGGGGGCCCTGGCCTTGGGGGGATCCCACGAGTACTTATTCGCGGCGCCGAGACCCTCGAGGATGAGCTTGTTCTCCGAGGGAACCACGAAGGGGAAGTGGGCGTACACGCTGTTGGGCAAGAAGTGGTTGGGGAAAGCGCGGAAGAACAGCTTGTAGGTAACATGACCCCAGTCAACGGCCTTATCGGTACTGGCCTCGTTAAAGCCCCAGTTGGTGATGTTCCGAGGAGTGTAGTCGACCGTGTAGAACCGGTCCCCACGAACCAAAGCCACAGCATCCGAAAGGATGGCGCGGCTGGTGGTATAAGGCGGACAGAGGCCGCTGCCGGGACTGATGGGGGGTTTGGCCGCCTCTGCCATAATCCCGGGATACAGTTCGACAGCGTCTGGCGAGTCGTACATCTGTGCCAGGATCTTGCAGATCTTGGGGTCGGGATTCATGTGCTCAAACGTGTCGTGGGGAGTGAGGCCGATGAATTGGCGGAATTCGTTCAGCGTCGCCACGTTCCACGTCCGGGACAGCTTTATCCCGAGAATCTCGATGGCCCTCATGCATGCGGGGACGTGGTTGGGGCCAAACGCGCCGGCGACGTCCTCGATCGACTCCTGGAGAATCTTGACAAGCTCCGTGTCGTCGAAGGCTCCGTCCGACTGGCGCGTGAGGCCGGCCAGGGTGCGCTTCTCGGGCTCGTCCGGAATGTTTTTCTCGAACATGCCCAGCGCGCGCATCACGTCCTCCATCTTCGCCGTCGCCGGGTCCTGGCCGCCCAGGGCCTCCCGCATCGCATCCGTCGTCCACTTGTCGTCGCGCTCTGAGATGGTACAATGCCAACGGTAAATGAGGTTGAACTCGACCGAGACTTGGTTTCCAACAGCCTCGGGGGTCGGCTTGCTCAGAAGGCTTTTGCCTTCCTTGGTGCGAGGGTCGAGGTTCCAGCTTGTGTCGGCTCTGTTGAGGTTGAGGATGGTCCGGACATAGTCGCCCAGAACAATATTGATATAGAGCCCGCAGGTGATGAGCCGGCCCGTCTGGAAGAGGCTGTTGTCGTACGTCTCCCAGCCGGCAGTGTCATCGGGCCTAGTTGGTCGCTTAAAACGACCACCCTCGTTGATCCTGGAGACAGCCAATATCAGCTAACAGGAAAGGAGAAGATCTGACAACACCGAGACGAGAGAATGCGTGCTTACTTTGCCAGCTGCGTCACCACATAGTTGTGGAAGCGGTTGAACATGATCAGAAACGCGCCAACGCCAGGCGGGAAGCCTATAACTCGCTTCGAGCTGAAGGTGTCTGGCTTGAGCAGGCCGTCCTTGCCGGTCCTGACTGCCATCTGCTCATCGTGATTCCGGCCGTAGAGCGGCGAGAGATCTAGGTAGGAGGAGGTGAGATTGACGTTGAAGTCTCTAGGTGACTGTTGTTTTCACAGAGTTAGCAACAGTCTCGTGAGCTGATCGGCGCAGCCAGAAAGCCAGAGTGCTCACATACCGTTTGAAAGATGTCGTGGGTGATGATGGTAGCAAGGTAGAAAAGCATGCTGGAAATTTTGTTCGGATGAGGCCTGAACTTGGCCGGATCCCGCACCATCAGCGTGTCGAAGATGGTGGTCGGGTCGGGAGGGTTGGGGTTCTGGAACACGAGCGGCTTCGTCGACCGCGCGTACGGCGTATTGGCCGCCCCGAGACTCGGGAGATGGATGTTGTTGTTGGATCCATCCGGCTCTCGGAAGCTAGTAGCCGTTCCGTCAGCAGGGACCCGGCTTGGCGCATGGGGGAGGGAGACTCGAAAGCACGTTTGAGGAGGGAGCTACGAACCTGAACCCATTGCCCAGCGAGGTCACAGGGGGGTGGTCAAGACTGTCCCAGAGGTCGTTGATAAGGCCGTCTGTCAGCTTCTTGCCCTCCCTGGATGCGGGCGGCAGCTTCGCGAGGAGCTGGATCAGTCTCTCTAGGAGAAACTTCTGGTCGTCGTTGACGCCTTTGACGGCCGAGTTCAGGAAGACGAGCAGCGTGTCGATGTCCTTGAAGCCAAGCTTGTCGATGTCGTCGGCAAGGCCCGTGGGCACTGGCTTGGCGCTGTTTCCGGGCGCATTGGGGTACACGGTCGGGCTCTTCTGGTTCCCGAAAACGTGGTGCAACAGGTCGCGCAGCCTCCCGGACAGTCCAGGGCTGTCGTGGTGGGTGCTACCAGCCATGGCGCCGGTGATAGAACGAGATTATGTATTACTGCTCCTTGACCGAGCTGTAGCCAGCCAGTGACTATGAGTATTGATGATGGTAGCGTAAGGAAGAGTAACTGATATGTTGGATATTCAGTATCCTGAGGATGGGGTGGAGGGGTATATTGGGGGGACAGGGAGACAAAGCCAGCACCTAGATGGAAAAGAAAAACGGGCGTAGAGGGCTAGAGGCCAGAGCGGCGAGATGTGCCCGTATATATATGCCGGCGCGGTCCCTCTTTCCACGCACAGTCGAGAAGGGTGCCCCGTATCAGGCGTAGCTACCTAGACAGGCACAGCGGTAAGCGCTGAGACGCAAGCAGGGGACGTTGGTTCCGGAGCTTCACGGCCAGTGCATGGAGGTCGCGCACCACCGACGTCGGGTAGTAGTATCCAGCCTGGCTGCGCCGCGCTGCCTGCAAGAAGTCACAGGTGGGCGTCGAGGCAGCCGGGCTTGAAGTGGGTACATTTAACGAGTAGGATCTCCGGGCGGAGGGTTCCAGCAGGCGAACTGGCCGCCAGCAGGCAGGCACGACAAGACCGCAGCAGTCAGGCTCTACAGCAGGCACCGCAGGTGCACCCGACTGACGGGGCCGAGTGTGACGCTGAACCTGGATTCCTGGGTCTGCGAGGCATATCCAGCTGCTGCGGATCGTGCAGCCAGGACGGATTGGGGCGGCGGCGTTGCCCAAGACGGAAAGGCGTGCCCGAGGCGCCGGGCTCTCCGCGAGCCCGTAGGGCAGGAGCAAATGCAGTCAGAGAGGGACGGCATGGGCCCGTCAGCTCGACGACAGGCCGGATAAGACCAACGACCCCTGGGGAGGAGGTGAGGGGCGGGAATACGGGGTTGGGACCACCCTGGACCCAGCCAATGGGTAGGTAGGAACGTAGGTACATGTACCTCAGCAGGTATTATGAGATATCACTGTCCAGGTCGGGACTTCCGGGCGGCCTTGATGGCAGAACAGAAAGTGCAGGTAGGTGCTTAAGCATGCAGGCAAGTACCATGAAGTGCCATGATGTGCTTATTCGTGCCGGTGCCGGGTCCGGGCAGCAGCAAACAAGCTGGGTGGTGTTGTACGCAGTCCGTTAGTGAGCCTCCACTCGGTAGCCAGAGCCCAGCCATCCAGCCGTGGCCAGTGGCCTCAGCGTGCGGGGCAGTGTGACCGTTTATTGGAGCTCGCATCGCTCAGCCCGCCTCACGATGCGTGCCCAACCCGCTCCCACGCATACACTCGCGATTACGGCAGGCGCCAAGTCGAGAGTCTTAAGTAAGGCAGAAGGCGCGGCAGATCATCATCGACCCACCCGACAGCGGCCGCTCGTTACTTCCCTTCACAAGAGCTGCGGGGCATTGAGGCCATGATGCTATGGGATGACAGTCCCGCCCGTCGGTTGGTCGGTCGGTCAGGTCTGGCGGTCAGCATCTCTGTCTGACACGGGTACATGTACCTTCCTCATATCACACCAGGCGAGGCAGCAAGCGAGGTGCAACCGGTTGAAAGGAAGGAAGGCAGAGCGCATGCAGCATGCAATCTGCAACCTGAAATCTGCGTGGTGCGAGTGGCAGCATTGAGAGAAAGCAAGTAGGTGGGTGGGTTTGAGGGCCTCCAGCTCGTGTTGGAAATGGAAGCAAATTGAGGGTCCCTGTAGCGTGGAGCTTCTTGTGGCCTTGGTTTTTCTGGGCTCCTTCTTTGTTTCTGCTCCCCTGCGTCTCATGTCTTATGCGGCCCACCGCAGCTCCAGCCGTACCGCCCAGCCGGGCAATCACCTGCTGCTTTGTTTCCTTTGCTTGCTTTGTTTCCTGCGTCTTTCGGCAAGGGACAAGGGATGCTGTCGTGCTCTGTGGGCCGCCTCATCTCTGCCGTGGTATTGCAGAGGGTCGAACCCGGGCACTGCCTTGGCCTGCCCTTGGCCTGCCCGCGCAAAGTTTTCCAATCACACGGGCCCTCACAAATCACTGGGCCGCTTGCTGCGGCTCAATTCTACCGAGTCCATCGAGAACGACACACGTGTGCGACGCCCTGCAAGTCCTCGGCCGACTCCCACTGGGACTCGAGGTCTGGACCGTACGAACGAGTGACGGGCGAATGGGAACATGACCCAGCTGTGCGACCTTGATAAGGCTCCACGACCACGCAATCACAAGCGAGCGGGGAAATTCACGCAAACGACATTGAGTGCTGAGTGGTGTTTGCTCCTGGCGCCTTTTTCTTGCTGACTGCAACTTTCCCCTCAGACGACGAAAAGAGAAAGAAAAAAACCCCCATGACGACGACAAAAAAGCTGGAGCCCCATCCTATTGGACAGAATACATATATCTACCACCTTGCCCTAGCTTACCCAAAGTCTGATGTGGGATGAGCTCAGCTGGAGGACAGTCATTGGCAGACCAGCTGCCACCAATGAGCACAGCATATGCCGCTTGCAAGCCAGACAACTAAGGAACCCCTGGAGAAGCTGCTTACGGTAGAGTGGGCACCATCTGTTGTGCCTCCATTCCCTTCCCCTTGACCAGCACCCCGGCCTTGCGCAGGGCGTCGACGCAGCTCTGGATCGTGTCCAGGCTGACGGCCGCCGTCTTGGCAGGGAACCGCACCGTGTCCAGCCACGCGCGCGCGTCCGCTTCCGAGTAGTCCAGCTCCGTGCCGATGTACCTTACCGCCTCCTCCTTGTTCTCGTTGAAGTGCGCGACGCCCCGGTCCAGCTTGGCCAGCATGTCGGCGACCCTGCCGTCCTGCTCGGGAGGCGGCAGCGCCGTCGACGCCACGATCTTCCAGCTGCTCCAGGGCGTGTAGATCTCGCCCACGCGCCGGATCTCGCCCGAGTCGTGGTAGCGCTTGGACGTGAAGTGCTCCCACATGAAGAAGTCGCACTCGCCCGAGTTGACGCCCGCGCGCAGCTTGTCGAACGTATTGAGCACCACCATGTCCGAGTACGGCTTGACACCTCCCTCCAGCCAGCCCTGCTGGTCGGCGAGCACGAAACCCATGACGAAGCTGCCCGACCCGATGCGCGATATGCCGATCTTTTTGCCCTTGAGGGACGCCACCGAGTCGACCTCGGGTCTTTTGGCGCCGGTTGAGATTGCCCAGCCTGCAGGTGTGTGTGTATGTGTGTGTTAGAAACATGCAAGCAAATCCATAAAAGCGGTGAGGGGGAGAAACGTACACAGCGGGGTCTCCACATATGTCCCGACGATGCGGTAGCCGCCGTCCCCGGGGGCATCCTCCTTGCCGAGGCCGGCGATGAACCCCTCCGTGAGCCCGATGCTGACGTCAATCTCGCCCGCCCGGATGGCCGTGATCATGTGGCCGGTCCCGGAGGGGAACGGGATCAGCTCGGCATCGAGGCCAAAGTGCTTCTTGGCAAAGTATAGCGGGGTAGAGAAGTGCTCGGGGACGTAACCGATTCGAAGGGGCGTCATGGTTGCTGTGTTTCTTTTTTCTCTTTGGCTTCTTGAGGACCAGCTCAATAATTTCTTGAATGTTTTTTTTTGTTTCTTGTTGATCAAAGCACGCTGTTGGTTGTTTGCATCGCCTCGCCAGACACGCTTCCGAGCTTTTAAAAAGGTTTGCCTTCACTTTCAGGCTGAAGTATGTCCCCGTGTTATCGTCCGGGGGCTGGAGGGGCCCTGGTTTTAGGAGCTCCAGGTGCATGCAGCGCAGTAGCGATGCCTCAATGCCCCCACTGAAACCAACTCAGCAATGGGCACGCGGGCACATCTGGGATCTGGGGCCTAAGGTTCTACAATGACGCCAACACAGGGCGGACTGATCTAACAGCCCGCCAGTCGCCCTCGTCTCAATGCCAACGTGCAAACGCGCTGCTTTAACAGAGTTTGCTTGGTGGCGAGCCGAGAGTCCAGACTCGGGGGTTTCGGGAGGTTGGTTACAATGCCGTGAGGGGGCTTCACGTCTTTGTTGGGCCAGTGGTTGGAATGATCTGATGAAACTGCCGGACAGCTACGACGCATGCATACAACAGGTTTATATAGTTCCGGGGCGTGGAACACTATGAAAATATTATAACGATTATACCCTCTCATGCCGGTTTAATTCAGTAGGACGAACCCGTGCGCCGCGGCGGAAAGTCGAAAACAAGCAACGATCCCACCACCACGAGGCCAGGACAGGAAAGATAAAAAGGCCTGTGGAACTGCTATGTATCTGGACAGCGTAATTTGGCTGTCTCTCTATATACAAGGGTCACGCTTGGGCGTAAACCTCGATCCCTGCTAAGTCCCTTCATCCTAGCTTTTTTGCACCGTTTCACTGAATTAAACCAGCATGAGAGGTACCTATGCCAGGGCCGGCATCACAAGCCCCTAAGCGTCCTATTTCCTCCCCTCAGGTGAACTAGAACTAGTCCCTCGCCAGATTCTGCACTTCCCTGTCGATTATGTCGGCAACCGGGAAATTTGCGGCCTCCTTTTGCATCTCGAGCACCCTGTCCCTGTACCTGGCCTCGGCCAGCACCTCGAGCACCCCGTTCTTCACCTGTTCCGGCGAGGGCCGCTCCGTGGTCAGGTCCACGCCGATGCCGGACCACGCGATCCTCCTCCCGTTCTCGGCCTTGTCCTGGCCCTCGCCGGCCGCCACCACGGGGATCCCGGCGGCGATGGCCTGCATCACGGCGCCGTAGCCCGCGTTCTGGACCCAGACGTCCACGTATGGCAGCACGGCGCCGTACCTCAGGTAGTCGACCACCCGCGCGTTTGTCGGCACCTCGGCGCCCTCGGGCAGCGCGGCGCCTTTCCGGCAGAGGATGGCGACGAGGACGAACTCGCCCTCCTGCCCCCGCAGCTCGGCGGCCGCCCGCATCGTCGGCACCACCAGCTCCGTGAGGTCCGTCTGCACCGTGCCCTGCGTCACCAGCACCACGCGCTTCCTCGCCGGGTCGTCCCTGGGCAGGGACGCGTTGGCCACGAAGTCGCCCCACCACGGCACGTGCGCCGTCTCGTCGTCTTCGTCGTCATCGTCGCTTCCGGAGCCGCCAACGACCTTGTCCTCGGGCGGGAAGACGCCGACAAACTGGAAGCCGGCCGGCCAGTCGTCGCGCGGGTACTCGAGGCTGGGGAGGCCGAGGTGCAGGATGGCCTCGTGGACGGCGTAGTTGTGGCCCGCGAACATCACCTCGCCGCCCAGACCCTCGGCGGCGCCGGCCTCGAGGATCCGGCCGTCCAGCGCCGCGGCCAGGGGCGCCGACATGGCCGCCCAGCGCTGCCACAGCACCTCGGCGAGCGCGGCCCCGGCCGGGCTCGGGTCGTAGGGGAACGGGAAGCCGAAGGGGACCTTGCCGGCGCCGCGGATCAGCGGCGGGCACACCGAGACGCACAGCGACCGCGGCTCCGCCACGCCGTCGGGCAGCGCCGCCCCCTGCTTGAGCGGCAGGTAGCCGTACACGAAGGGGTCGCAGATGACGACGACCTTGCCGACGCCGCCCCGCGTGTTCAGCGCCGCCAGCGTCTCCTTGATGCTGCCCCATTGGTCCGGGATGGTGTCGAGAACTTGGGTCTTGGTGTCGAGGAAGGCGCGCTCGTGTGGCGGCAGCTTGGCGTACTCGGAGGCTCCGCCGCGGCGGCGGCAGAAGAGCTTGTCCTCGTCGAGGTCCGCGAGGCCACGCAGCTGGAAGAACTCGATGCCGGCCGCCTCGATGCGGGCGCGGTGCGACGTGGGACCGAGGAGGCCGACGGGCCAGCCGCGATCGAGGAGGAACCTCCCGATCCTCAGGAAGTGCGTGATGTGGCCGGTGAGGGCGTGGGATAGGATGAGGACGTAGACCCCTTGTGGCTTCCGCCCCTGCTGCTGTGCCATCTGAGCCATGGTGACCACTGTACTGTGTCTTATCTGGGCTGATCAAGTGGGCGCGGGTTTCTTGGGGGAGTCTCTCGCAATGCTTCTCGGGGGTGGTGCTTAAACGCCACCACCCCCAAAGGTCTGCTACGTCGACATCTCCCTCGACCTACCTATATACCTGACTGATGCATTGATTTGGATACCGATGGTCTTGTTTTGGGGCGCGAACGAACCCCGCGACCGGCGTGCTACATGCCTAATAGGGCCGGAAATGAGGTTTTAGTAGCCACCTCTGGGCATCGTCTAGCAGCATCAGCCCTCTTGGCCCTCGAAGCAAGCTCGAGCTGGAAACGGCAAGCAGCGAGTGGCGCCCCACCGCCAACAAGCCGCACACGAGAAGTGATTGGCTCCAGGATGAGAGAAAACCGCGGTCGACGGGCGGCTTCATCAAAAGGGGACCCCGTTTTTGGCATCGCCACGTGTGTGTGTGTAGCATCCAGAACCGAGCGGGTGGAAGGCCCGGGAGGCTAGTGACATGGATACCGAATTGGGAAACCAGGTCGTCCATCGCAAATGGACACGAGCAGACGCGGATAAAATGCCCGCGAGGCTCGTGCGCGGCTTGACAGAAATACAGATGCATCCCTGCTGAGGGCCGCCGCTCCTCAGTGGGCCCTGGCACTGGCAATTCGGGACACTTTCCCATGGCCCGAAACGGAACGGCGGCCTACGACGAAGTCCAGTCCCTTTGTGGAGGCTTGGTCTTTATCGCAGTGCTTAGATACCTACACAGGCATGTGGGCATTCGAAATTAGACAAACACCCCAACTCCTTGAAGATTTATGAATGGCAGATTTTCATTGTTATCGTCTCCATCATCTATTATCTTCGAGCCTCTTGGCAAGCTTCGACACACTGCATTGTTCGTAGAGAATAGATACCTAGAGATTATTTTAATGATGTGTCTCCCACCACTGCCCCATTTTCGCATCGAGCTTCAAACTCACCAACGATAGGCTCAGGAAGCTATTCGCACTCAACACATCTCATCACACAGATACTAACAACGCAAGCGTTGCATATCCCACAACCCCTTACACATATGAACCTTACCATCTTCTCGCTCGCAGTCCTGGCTACTGTGTTAGGAACCACAGCCCTCGCGATCACGAAGCTGCCACTTGAGGTTGAGCGCGAAGGATACCACGACAGTGGTCGCTGCTCCATGGAGGGCCTCCTCAGTGGGCGAATCAAGACCACGGACTTTGACGACTCGCTAGAATCGCACTGGTGCAACTACCCCGGCATGAAATACAAGTTTGCGGGCCCAGGGTCCTCGCTCAAGCTCAGCAACTGCCTCGCCAACGTCAATGGGAAGCTGGTCTGGAAGAGCCAGTATGTACACGTCTTTTTTCTTCCTCTCCCTTTTCTCCCCTGGGATTAACTATGCTGACCACTGGCAACACGAAATAGAGGAGGGGCAATGCAGACCTGCACAAGCTGCAGACTCCAGGACCGCAAGTCCCCCTACCTTTCCTGTTCGTGCGATGACGGCTTTGGCCGCTCAATCGACAGCGGCGTCATCAACCTCAGTAAGTAGCGGCACCCCTGTTCTCTTGTGCCATTAGTGTGCACTAACTTTTGTATTTTCACAGACGAGCACATCTACGTCGACGATGCAGATGGTGTCCTGGCCTGCTTTGGCATCAGGGGCACAATCACAACTCCGGCTATTTGAGGGCACATGCAGTTGAAGGAGGGAATGTGTGCCCACCATCGATAGGGAGCTCGGTCTAACTTTAATCTAATTTCGGTCAAATTCTTGAAAGAAGGACAAGGCAGACGAAGAGCAAGGACACCGTCAAGATGGCTGTAATTTCACGTTGCTTCTGGAGATACCCTCGTCAATCCCAACTTGGTAAATGTACCATCGGCTGTCCAGCATGTACAAGACTTGATGCAACCCTGCCTGCGTTTGAAACCAAGCTCGTGGCGTCCCTCATCTTCGTTTGGGATTAGGCCCAACGGTGCTGTTAGTTCTGCGCGTGGCGCTTTGGGGAAAAAAAAACGTCGCAAAGCCGACATAGCGCTAAGCAGCCACTGCGTCGTGGACGCTGCCACATGGCCAAGGTCAAAGCCCACACCTGGCACGCAGAGTTGTCATGCTGGGCCCCGCGGAACTCAGCCTCGCCGGGCCTACCTAGACACGTAAAGATGCATAACTCCTAGCGGAGGTTTAATTCCTGGGGGGCAGCGTTGTCCAGGAGCCGGTGACCTCACCAGCTGTCGCTGGCAGCGACAACGACGAGCTCACTAAGACCTTTTCCCCGGATGCGCTGATTTCCAATTTTTTGTTTTTGTTGGGTTTGCCGCATGATGCTGCAAGTATGCAAGTGAGAGAACAAGTGCCGACAGCGACGAACTGGTGGTGCCCACAGACTTAAAGAGAGCGGTAGGAAGCGCTGGGGGAAGTAATTTGAAGATGGCGACGGCAACAATGACCCGCGTCCGTCAGCACTCGTCGACCCTGCTAACATGCCCTCTTGCTGCCGCCCCGATCCGTACCCGAGCAACGGCGTTACCTACTACACCCGCGCCCCGGACGCCGCGCTGAGGGGCGACCTCGAGGTCCACGGCGAGGTCGAGATCGAGCACGCGGCGGGCTGGGGCTTCCGGGGCACCCTCGCCGGCAGGGTCAGAGTGCCATCGGGGCGGGACGGCGGTGGCGGTGGCGGCGACGTCGTGGCCGACGGCACATACGACGGCGTCTTCTTCGCCCCTGGGGTCACGTTCGCGGGGCGGGCGACGGGCAAGCTGGCGCTGTCGCCGGCGACGGTCGTCGGCCCGGCCCGGGCCGCGTCACGATGCTTCCCACGACGCAGCTCGTCGGCGCCGACGAGCCCCGCCGCGCCATGTGCGGCTCCAGGTTCTGCCTGCAGGGCCGGCTCGTCTACGTCCCCGGGGCGACGGCCTTGGACTACCGGCGGCGGTTCTGGAGCGTAAGTGGCGAAGGAAGGCGGGCGGGGAGGGGGAGAGACGTGTGACGTGGGACGAGATGACGGGTAATACTTCACTGATGCACGAAAACTTTTGATTTCGCCAAACAAAGGGACCCGTCTCGCCCTACTTCTACCTGCTCAAGTCCGATCACGTCACCTGGATGCCCATCTAGAACCTGGTGTACGGGCACCACGGACGGACCCAGCTCCTGAGGCGCCGCGTGCTGCGGCGGCTGGACATCAGCAGCAGCGCCATAGACGCCGACAACGCCGGCATCGTCACCGTCTGCTCCATGGGCTTTGAGCGCATCGTGTCGAGGGGCACGCTCGACGTCCAGTTCCACGTCGACTCGGACCAGATCGACACCCGCCGCTTCGTCGCGCGCTTCCACGTCGTCGACAGCGACTGGCCCTTTGCGAGGTATGGCGCCGACGCCCTCTTCGTCGACGGCATGGCCGAGATTGCCGCCCGTTGAGGGCTTCGGGGGGAAGGGGTGGGCGGCTCGGAAGAGAACGTGAATGGCCACCTATGGCACGGGAGCCTGCTTTGGGATGAGTGTGAAGTGTGCCATTCGCGTTTTTTTTTGTGCTGGCGGGAGTGGCAGGCTGGCGTGTATTTTCAGAGGAGTCAGGAGTTGTTTGGTCTGCAATGTTAGCATCATCTCGCATCCGTCACAAAGCCTTGACACCGATATCAATAATACGGCCCGGTGAGAAGTGGGGAGCCGACGGATGTCTACAGCCTTACCTTCCGAATTTGGGTAGATGGCGTGGGAAACCAAACATGATATGGTGGGTGGCTGCGCAGCAAACACTGTAGAGCAGCTTCCATTCGCCTGGTTCAATGTCGCCGGTCGACGCGGGAGGCCCCCCAGCCACGACAGACGTTGAGCAAACGGACTGGAAGCGGGGATATCATTCTGTGCCTGAGGAGGTACGGGAAGCCGGGCTCTCCATGATATGGGTCGATATGTATATAATGCATTGCCGGCCTTTGTTCGTCACCGAAAGCCAGCCTCGAGCAGCAATGCATTGAATAATGCAAACAGGCGACAAACATGTCATCGACAGCATGGAGATCGCTCGAGGTGGAAGAGAAGTTCCACAAGCTGTCCTACAAGCTCGCGGGCACACAGTGGGAAGAGATACACTACCCGCGGCCGTCGCGCGACGCCGGCGACACCGGCTACACGCTGGAACCCCACCACGAGCTCAAGCTGGCCAACCACCTGGCGTTCCTGGCGCAAAACATTGGCGGCGCCTGCTCGGTGTCGGCCGTCTGCCTGGAGGAGACCGAGGGCGGGCTCGTTGTACGGCTGGCTAGCAACGAGCGCCCGCCGCAGCAGACGGTCGACGGGCTGCAGGAAATCGTGGACAGTCTAAGCCGATACTCGCGTAAGGGTACGTGTACGGGTAGGGAGCAGGCGGGGGTCGTGGTTGGCTGTGGTTCCTGTTGTCGTGGCCTGCCGGACATCTTTGCTGACGAGCATCGGCGGCGCCCCTTGGGCAGAAATACCACGCGAGGCCTTCCTGAGGGACGTGTCAGGGCAGGTCTTGACATTGTCCAAGAAGAGGATCCGCGAGCGCGAGCGCCGCGGGCAGCAACGCGGGGAGCCTAACCGCAAGCTTGGCGGGGGCCCCAAGGAGCTGGCGGCCCGAGGCGTCCATTGGCTGGGCCTGGCCAGGCAGGACCAGGGCGATCCAATGAGGGTGGTGGAGCAAGCGCGCCTCGTCTCGGCGACTAAGGAGTGGGGGGACCTCACCGGATCGTCCCGGGGTGGTATTTCTGTACCACCGAGAGTTCGCAATGATGTCGAGAAGCTGGCGCGCTATCATGTGGATGTGCTGTGCGGAGACCTCGAGAAGATTGGGTGCAGGTCCAAATACCGGCCGCTGTTGGGGAGCATCTCCGTCGTTCGCTGCGAGCACTACGGGTCCCGGCAGCCACGTGGCGCGCAAAAGACATGCCACGTCCACGCAGAGGTGCAGCTGATCATGGGGTATGAGGGGAGGGAGGAGAAAAGCACCACCTCGCCGCCGCCCCGGGCAATCGGCTGCAGCAAGTCCGCCTGCTTCCTCTGCCATCTGCTGATTCGAAAACTGGGCATATACACCATCTCCAACACCCACGGACGCTTTTACGAGCGGTGGACCATCCCCAACGTCGCCTTGCCCGCTGGGAAGAACGAGACCATCATGAGGGCCATCGATGCCATGATAGCCGAGATGGAGTCGGTGCTCGAGCGCATGCGGCTCCGGAAGCGCAAGAACGGGAATTTCGCCCCCGAAAGTCGCCCGGAGTCGATGCTGTCGGACCCTGCCACGCTCAGCCAGGTGACGATGACAACCCACGACCCACAAACGCACGGCATAGTATCGTCCTCGAGCTCGTCGACATTGACCATGTGCGAGTCGAGCGGGCAGCAGCCGCGTACCCAGCGAGCGAAAAGCATATCCAGCAGCGTGGCCCCCATCCAAACCATCGAGTCGCGGGTCGAGGGGCATGATCATCTCCAAATCGCCTCTATCGTCTTGTCATCTTCTGCCTCGTCCGTCTGCACGCTGGACGGGCCCAGCGAGGAACAACCGGCATTCCGCCAGCCCATCACCCCGGATGGCATCAGTTACCCTGCCACAGGGGCTGATATCAGCCACCCCGCCACAGGAGTCGAGCGGGAGATCGGAGAGCAGGACTTCGCACTAGCCGGCTCGGTTGTCTCGTCGGCAATGTCGTCAAAAGCGACTATCGGCGAGGCCATCGAGGCCGTTGAGGAACGTGCGACTGTCGTGCAGTTTCAGATCCCAGAAATCCGCGTGCAACGTGCGGACAGCATCAAATCGGGACGTGAGGGGATGGCACCGGGGCCCAAAGAGAGCGTCAACAGCGTCAACAGCATCAATAGCATCAACAGTATCGTCTCGTGCTTACACCTGGAACGGGACGACCTTCCCTACGAGCACCACATGGGTATCGGCTCGCCGATATTTGAGCTGCAACTCGGCGCACTCTCCCTCCTCTTCGATTGCCTTGGCGTCGAGTCGGGCCACGTTTCTGTTAGACGGACGGCTGAGGTTCCCAAAAAGCTCGAGGATGAGGCAAGGATGATGGAAGCAGACGATATACCAGACGACGAGGAGCTGGGCTTCGACTGCGAGGATGACTCACGATCTCTGACTCTGCGACTGACGAGTTTCGGCGGAATCTCTGTGGACATAGAGGTGAAATGGGGAGAGCACGAGGATTCGTAACACCCATGAGATGCGCTGCCCGAAGGAACCGGCGGGCGGTTTGGCGTGTGGCCAAGAGTGAGGTGGGGGAGGCTCGGCCGAGATGCACAAGAATGTACGATAACAAAATGGCGTAAACGGAGTTTGGGGCGTCTTATTCCTTTTGTCATGTCCTAAAGGAGGAGGACCAAAATGAAGATTGTTTGGGTATATAGATTTCGAAGGCTAGGCTTGGGTTGGTAAAAATCGAGGCCTGAAAACAAGGCTCAATCAATGCCCTAGCGTCGGTGTGCACGCAGCTTCACAAGCGACTCGCCATGGATTTGTGGCCCAGGAATTAGCGCAGCTCGTATGTTGGGCCATGATATCGGGCGTCTTGCCCTGGTCTTCCCAGCGGCAACAGAATTAGTATACATTTTACATACTATGATGTAGGGAGCTCACCAAGCGATTGTATAGGTTAATGCTAGGCAAGGCAATGTTCATTCCAGATGTGTGATCAGAAGCCAGATAGACAATTTCGGCAAACACATGGATGCTTAGACCAGGGGTAGCGCTATGTGCTGAGAAAGAACTCGCTAAAGACTGAAGATGGATGGGCCTGCGCTTGCAGACGGTGCCGTGACGTCAGGGAGCTACCCTGGATGAGAAACGGAGACCAGAGCGAGTGCGGAGGGCTCCATCATGTTGAAGGAAATTTACAGCCTTCCAACTCGTGGATTTTGTGGTCAGATGAGTGGCGTCCTTGTCTTGGGTTTAGGAGAAGGCTGAAGTTCGGAATTCACGTCGTTTTCTGGAATCAACAGCACCTTAGACTGTCAGCCGTTGACGGCACCCACTGTCGGTAAGTGGGGCCAGAATCAATGGGCCGAGTGGCAACCTGGCGGTTCACCATTTGCCCCCACCAAAATTGCATCGCATCCAGAGTCGAGAGCGGCGACACACGAATCCTTGTCCAACTCGCACTCTGTTTTCGCCAACCCTGGATACTGCGACGGCGACGCGGCCGACCTCGACGCCATGGTTCTCCAAGATCTCGGGCGCCGCATCAATGCGGCCGTCACCGACCTCACCCGAGCGCCGAATCTCGACGAGAAGGCAAGTGGGAGAGGGCACTCGGCGAGGGGCGCCGCCATTATGCGCGCTTCGCGGGCCTTGCTAACGTGACGCTTCCATGCGTCCCCGGTCTACAGGCCTTCGATGCTATGATCAAAGAGATCTGCTCGGCCCTGCTCGAGGCCGACGTCAATGTGCGGCTTGTCGGCCAGCTCCGCAAGTCGATAAAGAGCACTGTCAACTTCAAAGAACTGCCCCCTGCCGTCAACAAGAAGCGACTGATCCAAAAGGCCGTTTTCGACGAGCTCGTCCGCCTAGTCGACCCCCATGCCGAGCCGTTCAAGCCCAAGAAGGGCAAGACCAACGTCATCATGTTTGTTGGTCTTCAGGGTGCCGGAAAGACAACGACATGTACCAAGCTGGCGAGGCACTACCAGACCCGTGGCTTCCGCGCTTGCCTTGTCTGCGCCGATACCTTCCGTGCCGGAGCCTTCGATCAGCTGAAGCAGAACGCGACCAAGGCCAAAATCCCCTACTACGGCTCGCTGACCGAGACGGACCCCGCCGTGGTCGCGCGCGACGGCGTGGAAAAGTTCAAGAAGGAGCGCTTCGAAGTCATTATCGTCGACACGTCGGGAAGGCACAGGCAGGAATCAGCACTGTTCCAGGAAATGATGGACATCCAAACTGCCGTCAAGCCTGACGAGACCATCATGGTGCTGGACGCCAGCATCGGTCAGCAGGCCGAGGCGCAGGCCAAAGCGTTCAAGGAGGCTGCAGACTTTGGTGCCATTATCATCACCAAGACTGACGGCCACGCCAGCGGTGGTGGCGCCATCTCGGCCGTCGCGGCCACCCACACCCCAATAGTCTTCATCGGCACGGGAGAGCACATGCTCGATCTGGAGCGATTTGCGCCACAGCAGTTTATATCCAAGCTGCTCGGCATGGGTGATATGGCGGGGCTGGTCGAGCACGTGCAATCGCTCAAGCTGGACCAGAAGGACACCATCAAGCACATCACCGAGGGCATATTCACCATTCGGGATCTGCGGGACCAGCTGCAGAACATCATGAAGATGGGCCCGCTTTCCAAGATGGCCGGCATGATCCCCGGGATGAGCAACATGATGCAGGGGATGGATGACGACGAAGGAACGAACAAGCTCAAGCGCATGATCTATATCTGCGACTCGATGACAGACAAGGAGCTTGATAGCGACGGGAAAATCTTCATCGAGCAGCCGACGCGGTTGACACGGGTGGCCAGGGGTTCAGGAACCCACGTGCGCGAGGTCGAGGACCTGCTCACACAGCAACGCATGATGGCGGGCATGGCCAAGAAGATGGGCGGAAACATGAAGAACATGCAGCGCGCCCAGTCCGCCATGGCCGGCGGGAACAAGCAACAGCAACTGGCGGCCATGCAGAAGCGCCTGCAAAGCATGGGTGGCGGCCCAGGCGGTGCCGGAGGCGGCATGCCTGACATGGGCGCGCTGATGAAGATGTTTGGAGGCGCTGGTGGTGCCGGTGGCGGCATGCCAGGAATGCCGCCCGGGATGGACATGCAGGCCATGATGAGGCAAATGGGCGGCATGATGGGCGGCGGTCAGGGACGGGGCAGGAGATAAAGTTTCGGAACTTGCAGCTGCCATCCAATGTCATGTTATTTGCGGGTTGCGATTTTAAGGCTGGGGCGGTGGGATAGGTCAACTGCTTTGGTAGGGAGTGCATGGCCTCGGAGTTATATGTGTGTGCGCTGGCTTTACTTTTGTTTATGGCCCAATTTAGCCAACGATGTGGAACATGATGTCCATTCTCTAGTTGTCGTAGTGCAACCACGCCACCGGACTTCCGCCGCCGGTGCCTGCATGTGCTTGACCGCCTGGAACCGCCGAGACGAGCCCAGGTAACCATAGAGTCGAGCTGATAAACCCTTCTACCGAAGCGAGGACTGCTCGCACAGAGATGTGCGCGAAAGATCTAACTCTACGCACATCATAACCGGAAAGAGCCACATATAACAAGACTACAGTTGCGAATATGCTTCGTTCCGTCTCACTATTGTTACTATCGCTAGCTGGGGCAGCCAACGGGTCAGCATCCACTCCACTAAACATCACGGCACTCTCCTCTCGGGGAGGGTACTCGGTGCTGGAATGCTGGCAGTTGGAGGCCCTGCCGGTTGAGGCAATGTCGGCCATGAACTACAACCTAGGCGACACCGTCAAGGCGACGTGGTCCATCATCCAGCCGCGGACGACGGTGGGCGAGGCATGGGCGCCGACAGTGCAGTAGGTTTGCCTCTCATTTCCGCGTGTCACCACGACTCGGGACAGGTGGGCAAAACAGCCATACCCAAGCTGACTTTTGACCCTCTCTAGGCTCTCGGTGATCCTCAACGGCATGATCCGCATAACCTCGCCGGCCCCCGCGCCGGTCGGGTCCACGCCGGCCCCCTCGGTCGGCGGCGGGTCGGCGGCCACGGGCCCGCCGGAGCAGGCGGTCGCCTACGTGGTGCCGGGCACGCTCGCGTCCTCGGTCGTCATCGCGGCCGACCTCAAGTCGATCAGCACGCTCCGGGGCCACTTCACAGAGTTCCCGAGCGACGAGCCGACGGTGCTGGTGCAGGTCCCGTTCGAGGGCGACGTCCCGCCGCCGCACTCGGTGCTGCACGACGGGGCGTGTCGGCCGCCGGCTGCGTGAGTGGGAGGAGGGAGAAGGGAGGGAGGGGGAAGGGTGGGTGGGAAGGGAAGCCGGGGGTCAAGAGAGTGCGGTTCGGAAATCCACCCGAAATGGCTTCCGTGATGGTGTGCTGAGTGGGATGTTGGACTGTAGCCTCGTAGACTTTCGGTGTCGGCAATTGTCCGATGAGTCTTTCATACAGGCAGGCTGGCTCGCTAGCGGCGCTTGCGTGATGTGATGGATGAATGGTGGCTGGGATGGTTGCTGCTGTGGTGCGTCGGCTTCCTCTGAGCGGTGAATCGGGCCAATGTCGACCGACCTATGGCGCACCCACCCACAGCTATCGCTCTCGCAACTCCCATGATTTATAGCGGGTATAGCGGTTACGGTCTCCCTTCTGGGTGGGTCGACGACAGTCGGCAGGCTCAGTTTGGTGGGCCTCGACGCTTTTCGGCAGGCAACTTAAAGCCCGCTGGCGGCTTTTCCTCTGCTTCTCCAGGCAGCCGTCCTGTTACCTCCAATCACCCCTGCCCTGATTTTCTTCTCCTCTTGCCTGGTTCCTGTGACCCTCCTGTTTGCGGCACTTGATTTGTGGTGTGTTTTGTGATACGGGTGGCTTTTCTTGCCCCTCCTCTCCCTCCTTCTTCTCCCACAAAGAGGAAATGGACTCTCCCTCGGACGAGACCACTCCCCTCATTGCACAGCCTAGCAAGGAGTCGCGGCTACGATGGTCGAAATCATGGAGTCCCGCCAACCGTGTGTTGTTGGCGGGCTTTCTAATTACATTATCGTTTTCCTTCACACAAGTACCGTAAGTCAGCCGAATCCTCGCCCACTTGGCTCATCTCCAACCGAGCCACCCCCGTTTCCCTAGTGTGAATCCAACGCCTTTTCGTCGGGGCAAGGACAGCACCCCTGAGACACTAGCAGCTCGTAGCGCCATCCGAATATGAGAACTAGGAGAGGAACAAGAAGCTAATGTGAGGCTTTGTCCATGCCTGCCCCGATGCCAGTATCATCTACATTGTTCGTCAAATGATGTGCGATGACTACTACACCAGCCATGCGCCGTACGAAGGCGACGGTGACCGTTGCAACCGCAATGCCATCTCGGCCGGCACAGCTACCCAGCTGAGCTATCTGGCAATGTCCACTACCATCTGTGGTTAGTGTCACATCTCCGAGATACTCACTTGTTGCCTGCCGGTGTGCTAGCCCGTTGCTAAAGATCTCTGCGTAGGAACTATCAACTTGTTTGTCTCTGCGTGGCAGTCCAAGAGACTAGGGCCCCGTGCCGCTCTGATATGCCAGGTCTTTGTACCGGCCATCCGTGTGGCTGCGCAGATCATCGGCATAATCCTGGGCGGCAAGCGTGGACTCATCACCATCCAGGCGACCCAGCTCATCACCGTTCTCGGGGGCCCCGCCGGATACCTGCAAGTCCCCCCCTCTCTCTCTCCCCCCACCGTCCATCCTCGGTGTCTGGGACATGTTGCTAAACGCAGCCGCTGCTCGCTAGCGTCCTCGTGAACACCATTGCAAGCGAAGTGGTCGAGCCGATGCAGCGGACGGCCGTTTTCGGCCGCCTCCAGGGCTGTGCCATGCTTGGCCAGGCTATCGGCTTCCTGACCGGCGGCATAATTGGTGACACGTTTGGCATTCGCAAGCCTTTCGAGACCGCATTCTTCTCGTTCCTGATCGCCACTGTTTATGTCCAGCTGTGCCTGCCATATATCCCGCCAGGGCAGCTGAGCCAGAGCAAGAATACAGAGAAGGGTATCAAGGGCTTCTTTGCTCCACTCAGGGTCCTCGCGCCGCAGACTATCAGGCTCCAGAACGGCCAGGTCAAGAAGCACTATGGTGTCCTCTTTCTCTGCTGTGGCGTCTTTACGGGCGTGGTAAGATCCATGATCACAGTGGCATCTCTGACCTGCTAGAGGCGGTTCTTTGCTAACGGAATACATCACAGCTCGCAACTGGCTACGTTCCGACCCTGGTCCAGCTTTACGCCACCTCGCAGTTCGGGTTCAGACAAGTCGAAAACGGCTTTCTTACCTCTGGGAACGCCCTGATGCGCGCCGTTTTCCTTACGTTCATGTTTCCCAGTATTATTGACAGGGGGCGCAAATGGTTCGTGGCCCCTGAGCAGGCATCGCCTGCACCGATCGAGCCCGCTGAGCCTGGCGAGATTCCGACGGAGCCAGCTCTGTTTGACGCTCCTTCCGGAGTCCAAGGCGAAGACCAACCCAACGAGCCAATGGTAACTTCGCAGCCCAATGAAAGAGCGAGTTGCGGATTCGATCTGTACTTTCTCCGCTCCAGTCTTCTCGTGGACGGCGCGGTCACCACAGTATCGGCCTACGCCAGTGAGGGCTGGCACATGTACCTGGCTGCCCTCCTGCTACCCTTTGGCTCCGGAACTGCTCCTGCGGCCAAGGGAGTCATTACCGAGATGTGCCCGCCGTCGCAACGAGCTGACGCACTCAGCGCCATCACCCTCGTCGAGAACATTGCGAGGCTGTCCACACTTGGGCTTTTTGGCTTCGTGTTCGCCTCGCTTTCCGAGATTGGCCAGGAATATCTCACATTCTTCATCAATGCGGTGAGTCCATCTCCGGTATCCCAAAATCGCAACTAGTTGCTGAACTTCATGCAGGCGGTCGCTGTGGTGGCCATGGCCGTTCTTTTGCTTTCGCATTTCCCGCCAGAGAACAGCTCACTCGTCGAGGACGAGGATGAGGAATGATAAATAGGTCAAGGCGACGAGGCTGTGAGCTCGTTAAACGAGTGCTAGTGTGCTGTCGTTATATATAACCATCTGGAACACCGACTAGATATCTATCTTTTTGTCCAGGGTTCAAACTCTAGCTCCCGGCTGTACGCTGTCGGCATCCCCAAGATATAAAAGACTGTACGAAAAGGCAACACACAGAGAACCAACGTCGATGGATCAAGAATACCCGAATTGTCCAACAAACCGAGACGGCCAAGTCGACTCAGGCCCCGCATCCTCCTGTCCCCTGCCTATGACAACCAAGATTACCAGCCCCTGGAAGCCAGCTTGTCGGCCTGAGGCAGACTATCGCAGTTGATGCCAACCATGGCCTCGCCCAGGCCGGTGCTAAACTCGGCGAGGACCTTGGGGTCCTTGTAGTGGGTGGTGGCCTGGACGATGGCGCGCGCACGCTTTGCAGGGTCCCCGGACTTGAATATGCCACTGCCGACAAAGACGCCGTCGCAGCCGAGCTGCATCATGAGGGCGGCATCAGCAGGGGTGGCGATGCCACCGGCGGCGAAGTTGACGACGGGCAGGCGACCCAGCTCGGCCGTCTGCCTGAGCAGGGCGGCGTCGACCTCGAGCTCGCGCGCGAGCTGGCGGATGGCCAGGTCGCCGCCGTCGGCGAGGGCGGCGCGGGCGCGGGCGATGTCGGCCTTGAGGGTGCGCATGTGCGTGACGGCCTGGACGACGTCGCCGGTGCCCGCCTCGCCCTTTGTGCGGATCATGGCGGCGCCCTCGGAGATGCGGCGCAGGGCCTCGCCCAGGCCGCGGCAGCCGCAGACAAAGGGGACGGCGAAGCCGGACTTTTCGATGTGGTACTTCTCGTCGGCGGGCGTCAGGACCTCGCTCTCGTCGATGTAGTCGATCTCGAGCGCCTCGAGGATCTGGGCCTCGACGAAGTGGCCGATGCGCGCCTTGGCCATGACGGGGATGGTGACGGCGGCCTTGATCTCGTTGATGACGTGCGGGTCGCTCATGCGTGCGACGCCGCCGTCCTTGCGGATGTCGGCCGGCACGCGCTCGAGCGCCATGACGGCGCACGCGCCCGCCTCCTCGGCGATGCGGGCCTGCTCGGCGTTGGTGACATCCATGATGACGCCGCCCTTGAGCATCTGCGCCAGCCCGGCCTTGACGGCGAAGCTGGGCGGGACCTTGGCGCCGCCGTTGCCGTTGGCCGTTGCCGATGCGTCAGAGGCCATTGCGGATATGTGAGAGGGTTCGCGTGGGGATAGGATGTTTGTGGAAGAGGTGAAGTCGTGGGGGGAAGAAAGCTCGAGAGGGAGAGAGATTTGGTGGCTAAACAGCTAAACCGGACCCCTGGAGAAGTACAGGATAACCGTCGCTGCAAAAAGACAACAAGAGCACGCTCGAACGACAAGCTTGAACGATCTGGCAACGAGAAAAGGGCTTGCTATTCCACCACGTTCCGATCAATGCGATCCTGGGGGAGCCAGACTTTTTTTTATAAACAAAGTCTATCCCGGCGGAAAGCGCAGCGACAGAGGGGCCTCCCTTGCTTGAGTCACCGAGCAGCAGCAATTGGCTTGGGGGGTGGGGTTGGTCTAGAAGCAAGGCGTGTGCGTTGAAGAAGTGTGTGTGTGTGTGTGTTGGCAGCGACTTCGGCTGACTTGAAGCGCATGAGCTGCCGCCGCTGAGTCGACGGCGCTGGCCGGTCAAGTCATTGAGACATTTTCCCCTGGTCCCCTTCTTTTTTCTCCTCTTGGAAGAGGGAGGGGACGAGGTCTAAGGGCCAGAACAGGGGGCCGGCTCACCATTTTCCGAGGCACAGACCTGGCCCGTTGCTGCAAGGCGTCGTTTTGGGAAGCCAGAGACATGTACACAAGGATCAAGGGAGAGGCCGCCGTCCTTCTGTCTGCCTGCCGTACTTTGGGGGAATCTGCAGCGGCGGTGGCAGCGGCAACGACAGAAGATCGCTGCAGCAAGGGAGGTCGTGCAAATGCGCAAATCATTCGATTATAAAATCGCCCCAACAGCCGCTAGCCGCCACCTCCCCGTGCCCCCCGCGCCGTTCTGGCCTTCTCGGCAGGCAAATTTTTTTTTTGTCGCGATCTGCTGCGGGTGAGCAGTGTAGGTGTTGGCGGATTTTACTGGTCTCAAAGTGCCATGGATGCTAGGGGCACGCTAACGGCATGCATGCGATCATCACTTGGCCGCCGACCCTGGGGGCCGTGTCGGAACACGAACCCCGCGGGATACGCTATACGGCTCGACTCGGCGATCCTGGAGAGGACGCTAGCTGGAGAGTACGTAACTCGCCTGCTTACCGAGGTATATGTCTAGGTAGGTAGGTAGGTAAGTAGGTACGTATCTAGGTAGGCACATAACATCCGGGACCTTGTAGGTGAAAGGGCGCGCCCCGAGCTGCTGTAACTTTCTGACAGGCAATGCGGGTGTGTGTCATGCATCGCCCTCCTCAGCCTCAATAAGCATTTTTTTCTTCCGCCGATCTCGTACAGAAGCAAGGTTTAGAGCACGTAGGGTGGTCTGACTCGGCAATTACAAGATACACATACCACCTGAGAATACGAATCGGGTACTCAATTTGGAATTCAGGGCCCCTTGATATCCGCCAACTTTATTTTTCTGAATCCTCATTTTTTGTTATCTTATCATGTATTATCTGACTACAGCAACTTCTTCAGCTCGGCAACAATCGCGTCGCCCATCTCCTTTGTCCCCGCGGCGCCGTCCAGGTCCTTGGTGCGGACGCCCGAGTCGATGGCCTTCTTGACCGCGGCCTCGATGGCGTCGGCCTCGGCGGGCATGCGGAGCGAGTAGCGCAGCATCATGGCGACGGACAGGATGGTGCCGACGGGGTTGACGATGCCCTTGCCCGAGATGTCCGGGGCGGAGCCGTGGATGGGCTCGTAGATGCCGTTGCACCTGCTCTCGCCGTCGGGGATGGTGCCCAGGCTCGCGCTGGGGAGCAGGCCCAGGCTGCCGGGGATGACGCTGGCCTCGTCGCTGATGATGTCGCCGAACAGGTTGCTCGTGATGACGACGCCGTTGAGCGCGCGCGGGTTCTTGACCATGAGCATGGCGGCCGAGTCGATGAGGTGGTGGCCGAGCTCGAGCTGCGGGAACTCGCTTGCGAAGACCTCGTCCACCACCTTGCGCCACAGCCGGCTGGTCGCCAGCACGTTCGCCTTGTCGAGGCTCCAGACCTTGGCGGGCGGGTCGCGCGCGAGGGCGAGGCGGGCGCCCAGGCGCGCGATGCGCTCGATCTCGGGCCGCGAGTAGGGCTCCGTGTCGAGCGCGAAGCCGGAGCCGTCGTCCTCGGTGCGGTCGCCAAAGTAGATGCCGCCCGTGAGCTCGCGCACCACGACGAAGTCGGTGCCGCGGCACACTTCGGCCTTGAGCGGCGAGAAGTCGACGAGGCTGTCCGAGGCGAAGGAGCACGGGCGCAGGTTGCCAAAGGTGCCCAGCTCCTTGCGGAGCTTGAGGAGCCCCTGCTCGGGCCGGACGGGGGACGAGGGCCCCCACTCGGGCCCGCCGATGGCGCCGAGCAGGATCGCGTCGGCGGCCTTGGCGGCCGAGAGGGCCTCGTCTGTGAGGGGGGTGCCGTGCGCGTTGATGGAGGCCTTGTGTATGTGCCGCGGTTCCGTGTTACGCCCAGGTCAGCAGGGCTTGCCCATTGAGCTTTTGAGGGGATACACGACGGGAGGTTGCCCAAGTGAATAGACACGCGTGTGTGACGGGACGGGATGTAACCATGGAGAGAGCTCGCCCGCGTGTGTGGCGGGTGGTAGCATCAGTGGAGGGACTTACACCGCCGAGCAGGTGGTCCTGCAGGTTAAACTTGACGCCGGCCTTGCTTTGTGCCTCGACGGTTCTCAAGATCTGGATGGCAACTTGTAAGTCCCCAGCGTCCGTTGGTTCTGCAAAAGTACACGGGCATGTGCAATCTGCCTGATACTGCTGCCGTGTGGCTCAATTGCCATCATACCTTAATTGCCTCGCCAACGACCTAATGTGCACAAAATCAACCGCGGATTTCTCGTTAGCCTCAAAACAAGCAAAGTATCTACTGGAGAAGGATGACGCCCGTACCTCTGGACCAGCATGGTCGCCGGCAAACACGACGATATTGAAGGACGACATTGCGGGATTGTTTTTGGGGCAAACGTATCGGCGAGGGCGGACTGGGAACCTGACCTCTGACGGGGTGTGAGGGGATTTGAGTAGAGGAGCAAGAGGTGATCTGAAAGTCAAAGCAAAACTGAAGCCGTGAACTTTTTCGTGGTCCACGCTCGAGGTCGGTTCAGCGTGGACGTGGAAAGCAGTCTGCGATATCGGCGCATTCCCTGCGCGCTCAAGTACCCCGCCAACAGATCCACCTTGTCCAATGTCTGCGCCGACTGCGGAACCGCCCGGCCCCGAACCGCACACCTCCCTTGCCTCCCTGGCTATAGCCGACTCTTGCCGGAGAATTTCTAGCGGCAAAGGATGAAAAAAAAAGAAAAAGGAACAACACTGGGCGGCGGACGCCACACAAGGATGAAGGCAAGGGATCATGCAGCCATCAAGGACATCTAGCGTCTGCCTCGAAGCGGTTGGTACTTTGTATTTTGTCAGCTAGTGAGTCAACGGCATGAGTGGTTTGTAGCCAACAACCTGGTAGGTACCTCTGAGTATTTAGGTATTTATCGAGCACTTTGCTCTCCCGTGCCCTATAGACCTTGTCCGTGTCGCCTCGGCCTTCCGCATTGCCCGCCACGACAAAAAAAAAAAGAAAATGGCAGCACCTGCAACCATGACTGTCGGCGTCTTGGCGCTCCAGGGCGCGTTCGCTGAGCATCTCACCCTGCTTCGCAGAGCGGGAGCAACGATCGCCGGCGAATCTCCCGCCTTCGAGTTCATAGAGGTTCGCACGCCGGAGCAGTTGGCCCGCTGCGATGCTCTGGTCATCCCTGGTGGAGAGAGCACCACCCTCGCCTTTGTGGCCAAGCAGACCAACCTTATGGAGCCCCTGCGGCAGTTCGTCAAGTAGGCTCCTGTCTTTTTTTTTTTTTCTTTTCTTTTCTTTTTTCTTTTTTCTTTTTTTTCTTCTTTTTCTTCTTTTTTTTTCTGCTCCCTGTTATCTTTCCTTTACCCTCTGTTTCCGAGGCTGACACCCACGTTTAGAGTCGACTCAAAGCCCATCTGGGGCACCTGCGCGGGCCTCATCCTGCTCGCCGACGAAGCCACGGGCGCCAAAAAGGGCGGGCAGGAGCTGGTGGGCGGCCTGCACATCCGCGCCCACAGGAACCACTTTGGTCGGCAGGTGCACAGCTTCCAGGCCGGCCTGGACCTGACCTTCCTCGCGGACCTCCAGCAGGACGGCGGCGGCGGCGGTAAGGAAGCAGTGGCCTCGGGACCGTTTCCGGGCGTCTTCATCAGGGCCCCCGTCGTCGAGAAGATCCTGGCGGGCGACGGCGCGGCGGGCCCCCACGTCGAGGTGCTCGGCTCCGTGTCCCGTGGCGGCGAGGGCGGCGAGGAGGACATCGTCGCGGTGCGCCAGGGCAACATCTTTGCCACGAGCTTCCACCCGGAGCTGACGGACGACGTCCGTGTTCACTTGTGGTGGCTGCAGCAGGCTGTCAAGGTCAAGACTGGCAACTGACAGTCTGTAGTTACCCCGCTTGGATCTTGTCTTTGGAGTGGTATTAGACCTGTTAGCGTTGCTAAATTACGGCTTGGACGTATTGTTGTGTATTAGGCATTGCTGCCCCGGCAGATAGATTATAATACAGCAGGTATCGTTTTTTTGTGGCTCGGGAAAGGTCAAGACTACCGGAAAGGACGGTATCAGCCAGGGCACCCTCTACCTACATGGGTGTAGCCGCGGATCATGGACAGGGTGTAGGAAACTCGCCCAAGGCTAACATGTCGGGAGCAATGGCCACCAGCCGGGGCCCAACCTGACGGGCTCAGTCGTGATTCGTCTTCACCACCAACCCTTTCGGCCGCGAATACTGACAGCACGCACCGACCTCTAGGTCATTTACCCGACCGGGTATGACAAGGGCGGGTGATTCTTTCCGCATGTCCTTGGCCAACGCGGCTGCGTCGGCTCGGTCCGTGTTCCGCTCTGGGTGCTACGGACCTGGACACACGTGCGCCATGGCCGGGCGTAGGCCTCATTGCACAATGACTTCCCCCAGTCCTCAATGCCTCGGATGCCACAGCTCTGACGGCTGCGCCTTAATTTCACTAGACAAAACGTACAAAGCCAGGGACCTACTCCCCGTTCCAGATGAGGTGAGGTAGAGGGACTGGCAGCCATGCGCGGAACGGAACACAAGACGGATTGTTGGGTCTCATGTCAAAGGAAAAGATACGCCATATTTACTGTAAGCACCCTGGTGGCCCTATATATACAAAGAAGTGCCATGTAACGGAAGAACCAGACTAAAATAAAAGGGTGAGTCGACGCCTGCCAGAGATCAGATCCGCCACTCCCGTCCTCGAAGCGAGTACGCGGCCACTGCCACGACCGCCCCGTCTACTTGGCGAAGCACTTGATGGCCTGTGCCTTGTTGCCCCAGCTGATCTCGGGGTCGTCAAGGTCCTGGTGGACACCGCCCGACGCCAGGCGGTCGCCCCAGTCGTTGTCGAAGCCGGGGCGGACGTTGCAGTCGGCGAACCTGAGCGCTGGTGTTAGATTTACAGAAGCAGGACGATGATTATGAGGAGGGGTGGGGCCACTTACGCAAACAGAGTACACTCGGTGGTCCCACGGGGGCCGTTCTGAACCGAGGAGAGGCCGGCGGCGGTTCCAGGAGGGAAGTCGCCCCGGATGTTGACTTGGGACGCGAATCTGTCAGCATGGCATCTTACATGCGCCGCCGGGCTTGCTTTGCAAAGGGAATTCTTACTGCACTGGCCGTGAGGGACCTCGTAGCGCTTGTGGAAGCCGGCGAAGTTGGGGAGGGAGTAGGCGTCCATCCACGACGAGCCCTCGCGAGCCTGCAGGTCCGGTGACTGCTGGCTCGTCGGGGCACAGTCGGCGGCGCCGAGGAGTGCGGCGCAGATGGCCGAGAGGACGGAACCGGTCTTCATGGTGGCAAGGTGGTACAAGACCAAAATGGTTGGTCGAGATAAAAATCGGCTTTAATATCAAGGCCGGGTGAAGTGAGTCAAGGGCGGATGAGCATGAGAGAAGGGACCTTTTTTTTTCGTGAACATGACGGCATAGGAACCCCGAAGCTATATACCCAGCGAGGCATCCGTGACGAAGGGGGGGGAAACGGCAACTTGGCCGCGGCCGGGGATTCAGATTCAAAGCAAGGACATCATTCGACGTCAGCTACGACGGGCCCCAGCACGTCGAGCAGCACAGCAGAGTGACGGTATCCTGCAGGTGATTCGATCGTCGGTATTGTGCTGGCCAGCAAGGGGCCACCCCTTTTTCGCCGGTAGAAATTGTGATGTGACCTGTAAGTGACGGGAGTGGCGGCCTGATTGGCTACCACACAGACGGGCACCAAACTCACCAGGGCGGGCGCCTAGCGGAAACCCCACCGCGAGCAGCGCTCTTTGCGGGTTGCGTCAGCTGGGCACTGACATTGGACGGCGCCGACGTTGGGGGTTAATGCTGGAACTGAAAAAGGTTCGTCACGCGCAAATCACAGGGCCGGGGACATCACGACACCAAAATGAAGGCCTATCACGGCCCCCAGAGACAGCGAGGCTGTGATTTGCCAATGGGGGTGAATCAATCGGTGCGGGGTTTCTTGTTAGTGAGGTCGTCACTTCCTTTCCAAACATGAACACACTTGGGTACATCCAAATCAAATGGAGGCCAAACCCCCGCCCCATAGCATGGATCACATATGCATCGTTGAAGCGATTCCGGAGGGCGGGGGCCCGCCTCAATCTTGTCCTTTTTTTCCTGCTTTGGATTTTCCCGGCTTTGCCCATCACACCAACCGACCTGCGCGCATTTGTCCACGGCGGCTTGGCAACGCAGAAACGACCCAGCGGCGCAGCAGCCGGGGGGGAGGAGGGATGAGCAATGGAAAACTCCCGCCTTGGCCGCGTCACTCCGGAGGAGGAGCCAACATACAATGCATACCGCATCACCCTCTGTGCTGAGGGGAGGGAAGGGGGGCCAGCCCAGCCCAGCCCAGCTCAGCCTTGGCCGCGGCCCGGCAGTCCTGCTCCATCAGCCGCCGGGAAGGGCCGAAGGGGGCCGAAGGCTGTTGGCCCCCATTTTCGGCCTCGGGGGGAGGGCCGGCACCAACGTCAAGGTGCATATGGGCTCTTGCCGACGCGAGATGAGCAAATGCTGTTGGTTGGTAAGGCGATGCCCGGGGTCAAGTTTGGGAGTGACAGTCCAAGGTAGGTGCGGGGGGCCGGGATCAGCAACAGGCACGCACAACGCAAGGGATGTGTGCAACCCCGACGGGCTAGGTAGCAAAACCCTCGTCGGTCGGGGTCGGCGGCATGAGGCCATCAAGGCATCGTAGGGCCTGCCCAGCCAACAAAGCGGGCCGCGCCACTGTAACGCGAGCCGCCCTTGGGTGAGGTGTGTGGACGTTGGTGTTGGGCGCACGACATTTACGACATTTCCAGGCGCTACCATGACCGACATGGAAGCTAGCCGGAGGCGAATTAGTTACTGATTACCTGGGCACTGCCAGTTGAGCAGGATGAGCTGATCAAATGGAGGCCAGGCCAAGGAAAAAAAAACACGCTATTTACAAGCTATCGCTGAGAACCACCGCCGTCGCGCCCAAACATGCACAACGCCCGCTTTTCAAACCTCGGGCTTCTGAGCGTACGTGACGACACTGGCGCGAAACGTGGAAAGTCAGTAATTGCCGCTCAAAGACGCCTCCACCTCCACCTCGACGTCGCGTCACGTCATGTCACAAGAAACGCCCAAAACTCACATCTTCCAGTACCCGTGGATGTTCCTGTTGCGCAGGTCCTTGCGCACGTCGACCAGGAACAGCTCGAGCTCGTCGGGCTTCCAGCCGAGGGCGCGGGTGAAGAGGGCCAGGCTGAGGGCCTGGAGCCCCTGCATGATGTTCTCGAGGCACCAGGCGCCGAGCTCCTTGTGCTTGGGGTCCTTGGGCCACGTGTTCATGGGCCACTTGTAGACGCGCTGCACCACGTTCGTGAAGCCGACGTCGAGGAGCTGCTGCCGGTACGCGAGCCCCGAGTCCAGCCGGCTCCCCAGCTTGTCGGCCGCCTCGGCCATGAATTTGCTCCATTTGTACACGGCCAGGTCCTCCGTCAAGGTGCCGTCGTCCGAGTACATGGGGTATATGGGGTCGTGGAGCTCGACCCAGCCGCCCGGCGCGAGGTTCCTGCACATTTTTTTTCTCTCGCGTCAGAGAGAGCCCAGGGCCGCCGCCCAAGAATGCAAATCCGCTTACTGGTAGATTTGGCCAAACAGCCCGGGCCAGTCCCGGATCGACGCCGCCATCATGCGCAGGTGCACAAAGTCAAAGGGGTCGTTGTAGGTCCACTCGGCCTCGATGTCATCAACATAGAAGGTGACATTCGGGGGCACACTGTCATAAACCATAGTCTTGTCAGCAACCAATCCTTCTCTATCTCCTTGTTCACCACGTTGGCCATCAGTCCATGAACCTACAAGGATGGCTGGATCGGACTCAGGTCGACTCCTATCACCTGTCGACAGGGTCCCGTTAGTAAACGCGCCCAGCTCACTCGGGCGGTTCCGCGGCAAGTTGAATCTCATCATCGATCGTACCTGTGTTTCAGGGTGTTCGTCGGCTGCGTGTATTTCAAGCCTTTGTTAGCGGTGCACGCCCAAAGAAAAGAGGTGTAATAAAGGCGACCAAGCTCGGATCACAGCCTACCAAAGTCCATGGTCCAGATCCCGGTGCCGCATCCGACGTCTAGGGCCCGGTGGATCGTGTGTCCGTGCTTGCCCGCCGGGCAAGTGTAAAGTTGGTTGTCGATCGTCAGCACGCACATGGCGTGTTGGAGATCTGCGGTCACGTTGCACAGCGGATGGTTCCTGCGTTAGCTTTGTTTCACTCTCAGGTAACATGTCTAGGGGGGAGCAACGGCTATCAAATAACTTCGATGGCGGCCGTTCACGCACCAAGACGCTCGTTTTCAATCTGTACGCCGACAACCAGATAGGCTGTAAGCTCTTTGCACCTTGATGGGTGTTTTCACTTTTGGACAGGGTTCCAAACGTTACCTCGTCGTTCGGAAGTACATATGCTAATCCATTGCCAAAGTCGCACAGCGTCAGCATACCGCATGCTTCTCCCGGAAACTTGCACGAGACAGGGGCCGGCCATGGGGCTAAGCAATTAGGGATACTTGCCGCCAGCTTTGAAGGCGTGGTATGTTCGCCCGTTCTCGACACGATACTTTAGGATGCTGGATGCGAGCGAAGCACTGTCACCGCCGACCGAGTTCTATCAAACGCCACGATATGTCAACCATTGTCGTGCTGGTTCCCTGCGTCACTGCGTATATGTTCTCGTGGAAACTTACGACGTCGAGCGCCGAGTCGCCGTCGTCATCATCGTCGACGGTCTTTGATGGGAGAGCAAAAAGAGACAAGCGTCAGAAACCGAGGTGGAGACCCATGAACAGGTGGGGCATCCATTCGGCGACGCCCCGCAAAATAAGCATCATGTCTTCAGGGGCTGTTGTGAGAGCTCACGTCTGCCTCCAGCGCGGCGGTTCCGGGATGGACCTGAGGCGGCGGCGTCTGGACCGCGGGCGGAGGAGTGTTGACGGGACTGGCGGCGGCAGCGGCGGCCGCTGCCGTGGCGGTGCCGGCGGCGGGAGTGCCAGGGCTGGCTGGGGTCGGCAGCCCCGCAGGGCTGGAGGGAGTCCCCGGCGCCGGTGGCGGGTCAGCAGCAGCCGGCGGCGGGCTCGAGGGGTGCTGCTTGGCGGTTTCGTCGGACATTGTCCTGACCTGCGCTAGGAAGGGGGGGTAGAGAACCAGAATATCGGGGTAAAATGCTCGTGGTTGCCGGAAACACCAGATCGCTCGTGTCAAAGATGGACGGGGCCGAGAGTTGGTAGCTCGGCAACAGGAAGGGAGGGGGGAAAGGAGGGAAAGAGCGAGAATAGACGACGTCGCCTGGCGAGGGGAGGGGCTAGCAAAGGCGGCGGGGGAGGGGAAAAAAGGAGGGGACTGGCAGACTAGCAGCAATCGCCTGCTCGGGAACGAGTCACGGCACCAGCCCGTCTCATCTGAACAATTCCCCCCAGACGGGTTTAGCCCTCTTTTTTGACACCTCCCCCGCGGGCCTGAATGCCGCCATTCACCGAACGGGGCCCCCTGCCAGCAGGTGGCACGTCAACGGTGCGATTTGGCCATGCGAGTACGGGCCGGTGTGCGGCCGCCAGCGGGTTTGGCAGGAGGGCCAGGGGTCCAGTCCTGTTCGAGCATATTGTGGGGGCTGGAGGGGGAGCCCTGAAAGTGGCTCGTGGGCCGTTTATCATGGGAATTTTGTGTGTTGTGATCACACGCTTCATAAGCATCCTCCCCCAGATGTCCGCCGGGACCGCCGGGTTGGTGAATCGTGATACAGCCCGTCTGGGATGCTACCAATCTGACGGTTGCTGGGGAGGTGGAGACATCACTCGATATCGATTGTTCCAGCCATTTGCTGTCGCCACAACCTTTTTTTTTTCCAGGGGACTTCCCCGCATTCCATGGAGGCGTTTGCGCTCCAGTCTCCAGGCTTTTGTATTGCGACCTGAGCTATAACCCCCATTGGAATTGCCCACACGCACATAATATGCACGCTCCATGGCTGGTTTGAGACTTGCTTACAAAGATGGTGCCAGCTTCCAGTCGCGTTTCCGTGAAAGTCAGATCGATCTGCCGTTCCCGCACCATGCATAGTTTGCATAAATGCATGGCCGCCCTGGATTGGCCGATGCCGGAGATTGATGCATGCGGTGATCACATGACAGGGGCATGTCCCATTTTTCCATGCCCAATGGGAAAGAGTTTGCTCCCAGTCACGATGGCAACCACTGCCAAGGAACGCTGTATAAATTTTACAGGGCGCAGTAGTTGGGTGAGGAGGCGTATCTGCACTTTTATGCTTGATCCAATGCCACCCTCTTCAGACCCTGTTCCGGCTTTTGCACGGGTTTCTCTATTCCATTGTAGAATGTAGAATATCCTAGAAGCGAGCCGGAATGGTATCAATAGTGTCTTATAAGAGCTGTTGTGCATATTAGCATTTATAAATCGGGTATGATGCCGTTGCACGGATGCAAGGCTGGAGCAACGCCCAAGACCTTGTGCCGCCCAATCAGGCTACTTTCGTTGAGCTTTCACATCTCGCTGGGAATCACGGCCCCCTCAGCGCCGAGCGTGGCATAGAACAGCTTCGTCTCGGCGCAGATGACCATCCTTCCCTTCCCGGCAAAGGCAAAGTTGGCCACACCGGTCCCAATGAAGATTTTGCCAATCAGCTTGCCCGAGGGGTTCCAGACGTGGACGCCGTCTCCAACGCCAGCGTAAACGTTCCCCTTGGCATCGCAGTGAACGCCTGAGAACGTTTGTACGGCTTCGTTAGCTCTTGTTGTCTCCCATATGACGCCCGACCTTTCCTGCACGGGAGGGTGTTGTGTCTGTGGCTTACCATCAGGGACCCCGCTGCTGGCATAGGCAAACGTCTTGCGGTTGCCCCATGTTCCATCGGCCTCAACATCGAATCGATAGCTTGGAGAACGAGCCTTGTCAGCACCACAGAATCTTCAATTTCGACAGGAACACACGAGACCGCCAAGCCTACATGGTGGCTGGCCTTGAAAGGTTAAGCCCGAGAACTCCATGGCTGAGGCCAGTGTCGGTGACGTAGGCACGCTTCCCATCGGGGGAAAACACAAGACCTGTACCCGCTGTTAGACGATATCACTCCATTTTTCTTCCCATCACTGCCCGAAGCCGCTGGAAATACACTTGCCATTTGGAGCGTCAAAACCATCGGCCACAACGGACACGGCGCCAGTGCTATCATCATAGCGGTAGACCTGGTTCGGAAGGCCGGGGGCCGGTCTGAAGTTCTGCCAGAATCCGTACAGAACGTCGGTGAAGTAGAGGTCCCGGTTGCGAGGGTTGACGGCAACGTCATTGAGGGAGCTGAACTGACGTCCATAGAAGTTGTTGAGAAGGACTGCCATGAACCTCGGTTAGACCTTGTTATTGCCAGAAGGGGCCGTGAGGGGGCGTACTGACCTGTCGTGTTATACGGAGCGACAGGATCCATGACGAACAGGGTCGAAGGGATGTTCTCTCCCATACCCTCGCCAGCAAAGACAATTTTGCCTCGGTAGTTGGTGCCGCCTGGAGTTGATGGTTTATTAGCATACATGCGGTAACGGCGAGCACTTATTCACTTGTACGCACCGTTGGCGTTGATGATGGTGGGCTTCGCGTCCACGGTCGTGATCTCAACCTTGCCCGTTGCGTTCCTCTGGCCCGACACAGCCGCGGCCTGGGCGAGGGAGATCTTTTGAACAATGGCGGACTTATTCAGGCCGGTTCCTGCAGCAGGTGCGCCTGCGTTTTGCGCAAAGAAAACCTCCTCGGTCTTGGGGCTCCTGTTGTTTGGGGGCCAACGGTTAACGCCTGATGTTACCCGTCGAGTAGGAGCTCGAATCGGGGCGGCACTCACCATACAACAGCCTCGTGGAAAATGGGGTCCGAGGCGGTTTGCCCAATCAGCGTCAGGGTTGGGTTTGACCCAATGACTTTGAGGAATTCCTTGTCATAGACGTGGAATGGCTTGTTGGACAGAGACTCAACCGTGGTGCCGGGAGGCGTGAAGGCCTAGGTAGGCATACCGGTTAGGCCTGTGACGTTCACCGGGGGACACCAGCTTGGCACTTACACCGGAGATGTTGAAGACGGCAGGCGGCGGCACGGACGGAAGGTTGTTGAAGCTCTTCTGGTCGATGAGCTGGGCCTGGGACGGGACCCGACCCAGCGCCACCTGCGCCCGAGACAGCACGACAGCGGCCGCGGCCGCGGCAAAGACGGACGAGTACATGGTGAGCTTTGACGGCGAGCTTGTGTGGACGTGGTCGTGCTGTGGCTGACCAGACTGCCGCTGCTGCTGGTTCACGCCGGGCCGTCGTCTCTTTTTCAACTCGTCGCCGCGGCCCCGTTGGGCGCGCCCCATGACAACGCGGTGTAACCCAAGACACAGTGTAACCAAAGGGCTAAAGCGTTGGGGGGTCCCAAGCAACGATCCCATATTCGGTGCCGCTTTAGGACGAGGCATTGGCGATGAGGGCACCAATCACTAGCGCGCCCTTGCGGGGCCACCCCCGCCTGTTCGTTCCCCTTTTTACCGGATCTGCAGGCCCGAGAAAGGTTGTTTAGGCTCCATGTTCGCGAAAATAAGAATAAGGTATCCATCCCTTCAAGTGCCGTTAGGCCCAGGTCGCCCGCATAGGAAGGTGATGGGCAAAGGCACCCCTGCTTGTTGTCGTGACTCGGAGGACGGATTTGCAGGAGCGCGGTGCGAGTATTGCGAGGTACCGCTTTGTAATAATGACTGGTGCTGGTACTTCTATCACGGGCTAGAAAAGGTGCAGGTGGAAGTACCGAAAAAATGAACGTGTTTATTTGCTGAAGCACGCGAGATCAGCGACCGGGGGCTCAACGGCACCCAAAGGGATACTTCTCTAACAGGAGGGATATTCCCCGATCAGACGTTGCCCTGTGCACCACGCCAAGCATTTGTCCTCAGGAACCCGATCTCGGTCAAAACCGTCAGCCAACGGAGCGCAATATTTGCCAAGACCATGCCTGGGAAGGCCATGCCTGGGAAGCCCAAAAATATCACGACGCTCCCTTTGAAACCCTCAGCCTCACCAGAAGCGGCGGCTTGACCCAGGAGAGGTATGTCTTTTGCGACACGGCCCAGCTCTCCTGGCCAGGCAGGACCTCGACGTCGAAGCGCCAGTACAGCCGCGCGATGACGTGCCTGACCTCGAGGAGCGCGAGGTTCTGCCCGACGCAGTTGCGCGGCCCGTAGCTGAAGGGCCGAAACACGTCGACGTTGTCGCCCGCGAACCGACCCGCCTCCTCCTCCTCCTCCTCCCCTGTGCCGCCGCCGCCGCCGCCGCCCGCCATCCAGCGCTCCGGCACGAAGGCGAGCGGGTCCGCAAAGTGCACTGGCGATCGGTACGCCGCGTACTGCGCGAACCCGACCGTGCTGCCCCCGGCCACGAACCGGCCGGCGATGACGGCC